ATTTATTAGAAAAAAATAAATATCTAAATAAAGAAAAAATTTCAAAATCTAATCAAGAAAGAAAATTATTTGAATTTCCCGCGAACACAACCCTGCTTTGAACATTGACATTTGTAAGGTTTTAGCGTGCGACATCACTTTTGTGATTCATTCATGTAGGGTCAAGTTAATATTCATAAAATCCTTATATTTAAGTTTTCCACCGTAATCATAGCATTCAAAAATTCATCAAGTGCTTTATAATATTAAGTGCCTTATCGACAATCGTTTGCAGCTAAAGTTTCCATCGTTTGTTGTGTTTTTAAAGTGTTAAAGGTATTTTTAGCAGCCAACCATCGGAATTTATCACGATTCAATGGCTATTCGTGGTTTTGTGTTGAAAATTCAGAGAAGCGTGAATGAAATGAAAAGTCATTACAATCTTATTAAATAATTAACGAATGCAACAATTTCGTAATAAATTCAACACATAATCACAGATTGGCCCAGTGACTTTTGTTAAAACAACGAAAAAAAAAATCTTATCTTGCTCCACCTAATTTCTCTTTATAGTTTTTATCAACGATAATCATTCCCCGTTCTTCATTGTTTGACTAAATGTGTGACAATATTCGCAACTGATTCAGCGATTGATATTGGACTCATTTTTTTATTTCATCGTCCCGGTGGATTTTCGATAGAAACAACAAAAAAAAAACTTTTGAATGCACAGAACAACGCACACCGCTAGAAATCCCATGATGCCAGTGGTAAATAACAACAATGACTCGTCGGGGCTACCAGATGACATCAAAGTGAAAATTGCTTATAATGGTGAAGTGTTGATATTTTATATAAGCAAAAATATCACGTACGAAGAGTTGTGTAAGGAGATTCGCGGCATTTGCCGTTTTGCACCTGACCAAGTCTTCACAATGAAATGGATTGACGAGGAGAACGATCCATGCACCATCAGCTGTCAAATGGAGCTTAATGAAGCGATTCGTCTCTACGAACAAAATCACGATTCTGAACTTTTTATTCACGTCTTTCCAAACGCTCCAGCAGCTCCAGGTTTGAGTTGCATTGGTGAAGATCGAAGTATTTATCGTCGTGGTGCAAGACGTTGGCGTAAACTTTATCGCATTAATGGACATATCTTTCAAGCAAAGCGTTTCAATCGACGAGCATTTTGTGCTTTCTGTCATGATCGAATTTGGGGTTTAGGCCGGCAAGGGTTCAAGTGCATTCAATGCAAACTTCTAGTGCACAAGAAATGTCATAAACTCGTACAGAAACCATGCAATGAGCAAGCAGAGCCTGTCATTGCATTAAATGGCGAAAGTGAACAAAAGACGACACAACCAGAAGCACCAACAACAATGGTCGAATATCTTGAAAGCGGTGAGAGCGATCAAGTCGCTGTCGAACCAACAGCACAAGCAAATAATGAAGAGCCACTTGAACCAGGCTCACAACGACAATATTCAATTGCTGATTTCGAGTTGATTCGTGTTATCGGACGGGGAAGTTATGCGAAAGTTCTCATGGTGGAATTGAAGAAAACAAAACGAATTTATGCAATGAAAGTCATCAAGAAAGCTTTGGTAACTGACGATGAAGACATCGATTGGGTGCAAACAGAAAAGCATGTGTTTGAAACAGCATCAAATCATCCATTTTTAGTTGGCCTTCATTCATGCTTTCAAACACCATCACGATTATTTTTCGTCATTGAATTCGTACGTGGTGGCGATTTAATGTTTCACATGCAAAGACAAAGACGTTTACCAGAAGAACATGCGAGATTTTATGCAGCAGAAATCAGTTTAGCTTTGAACTTTCTTCATGAGAAAGGAATTATTTATCGTGATTTGAAGTTGGATAATGTTCTGTTAGATCACGAAGGTCACATCAAGTTGACGGATTATGGAATGTGTAAAGAAGGAATCAAGCCAGGCGACACAACAGCGACGTTCTGTGGAACGCCAAATTATATTGCGCCGGAAATTTTACGTGGTGAAGATTATGGCTTTAGTGTTGATTGGTGGGCTTTGGGCGTTCTTCTATATGAGATGTTAGCTGGTAGATCACCGTTTGACATTGCGGGAGCGTCGGAGAATCCTGATCAAAACACTGAAGATTATTTGTTCCAAGTTATTCTGGAGAAGACAATTCGAATTCCGCGTTCGTTAAGCGTCAAAGCGGCTTCGGTGCTTAAAGGATTTCTCAATAAAAATCCATCGGATCGGTTGGGATGTAATCGAGAGGCGGCATTTATGGACATTATGAATCATCCATTCTTCAAGCAAATTGATTGGGATTTATTGGAACAAAAGCAGGTGACGCCTCCATTCAAACCACGTCTTGACTTGGATCGTGATATTCGGTAAGAAAAAGAAAACTTTCATTCACAAAATGATTTATTTTTTCATTTACTTTATCTTTAGTGAGGATATCGCAAACTTCCCACCGGAATTTACTGAAGAGCCGGTTAAATTGACCCCAGATGATGAGCGTGTCATCGAGAAAATTGATCAATCGGAATTCGAAGGCTTCGAATATGTGAATCCACTGCTGATGTCACTTGAAGACTGCGTTTAACATCAAATCGATTCTTAACATCCAAATTTCATTCATATCTTCCAATTTCTCTTCTTTTCTTTCTGGTTCTTACGCGGTGTGAGTATTCCCATTGATCCCACAACAATTTCTCAAGTACCCGAAAGCGAATCAAACAAGAAGAATTTTTTACTTTCTTCCTTTTTTTTTTGTTGGTAAAACTTTTCATTCTCATCTAACTGTAACAGTATCATCACAACAACAATAACAGACTTCATTCCACAGAGAATGTTTTTCTTTCTTTTTCCACACGTTGGTTGGGACCAAAAAAAAGGAAGAAAAAGTTAAAAAAAAATTTGTTTCTCTTCAACATTCCAAAAAAAAGTCTGAAAATTCTTTTCATCTTCATTATTATTGACTTAAGATTGTTGATTATCCTACTAAGCAAGAGTTAAGGAAAAAAAAACGAAAATTAAATAACATTCCATGCTTATTTCAAGGGCAGTGAGTAATTAGAAGCATAAGAGAAATTATTTCGTAAAGTAAATAGGAAATGAAAAGTGTAGAGGGAAGAACAATATTTAGTGTGTTAGCATACTGAACAGAAAGAAGAGAAAAAATATTTTTTTATCAACGTTACTTTAAGTATTTTGTAGGCGTATTGCAAAAGACAGAAACACTTTAATAGACTTTTCCTAAAACAAAACATTTAATAAACATTTGATAATAATTCATGTTAGCTTTAGGTGATTATATTGATGAGTAAAATAGAACAAATGACAGAGAATTCCACATAACTAGAAGAAGTAATTGTATTAATCAGCTTTTTCTTTTAATCAATGTTAACAATCTTCAATTTTTTTTGTAAAGAGTTCCTTGAATGGAAATATAAAACGGGAAGTTTTAAAAGATAACAGATAATCGCTTTGTACTTAAATATTGATAAACAGAGACACACAAAAAAGAAGAAATCTCTTAAAATCAGAACGATTTATGATGAAACAATGATTACCACCCACGCCTTTCTGATAAAAGTATTAGCATTTATTTTTGACTTTGAAAGGGATTTCTGATAGAGAGTGACTAAGCTTTGCTTTAATTATACTTAATTCGGCTTGTTAAATGTGTCATTATTAAAGTTGAAGTGGCTTTAAGATATTACTTTAAAGTAGGAATGTCGATTGAATTTCAGCATTTTTGAATCATTTAATTTATTGCTAAAAAACACGATGCAATAAATTAATTTAATTTTGCTATCGGCATTCATTCTTCAAAGCTTTCACTACCATCAAGTCATGTTGCAAAATATTTTTCATGTTTTTAAATATTGAGCTTTGATCCAATACACCCACGCACATATTTTTTTTGTATGTTCGCTTTGATCGCATCATCAATGAGCTCGTTTTTTCTCCCGGTTATTATCAGTTCTTGATTAAAAAGCAATGAAGATAAAAAAAAATTCTTTTCATGAATTTTTTTCCTTTCTTTTTATGAAATTGTACGATAATGGGTCGATATCTTCTAATGAGATTTTAGCTAATCCAAAACAAAAAAAAAGAAATTTTTTCGGCTTTTCTGTTTTTTATCAAACGCTGATTAATTAGAAAATGTCAGAGGGATTCCACCACCCTCGTTTTGATTATTTTATTCGATGGAGAAGAAAACATTCATTATACCAAATTACATTTTATATTCCGATAGCTCAACGTTTTCTTCCTTTTTTCTTCTTTTATCTTTCACTTGTAAGCATGTTTCTCGTAGAAGCTCGATCTGGTTGATTAAAAACGACAATTTTTCTGTTGTGCTGATAACGCTTGTCGTGAGGAAACGAAGATATTTTGTGGGAATTGATTTGTCACGAGTGAAGCATGCATGGTTGACACACGGGAAATGTTTAGCAACATTGTTTAATTTGAGGATAAGACAGTTGGGAAACACCACAACGAATAAAATAAAGGAAAGAAGAAATTGCGTAATTTCCTTGAATTTAATCAAAGCTTAAGTCACTCAAAATTCTTTCATTGATCAATGAAATCATGGCAACTGATTCTAAATAATTATTATAAATAAAATAAAAGCAAAAGTATAAATAAATATTAGTTTAAAGAGGGATAAGTTTGAGAAAGTTTCAGATCATGTTTTCAAAAATTTCTTAATCTAATTTTCACGGATCGAGTATGGCAAGCAATCAGAAATGGGAGATTTTTTTAAGAAAAAAAAAAGACTAAAGAAAAGCGGAAAAAGTTTCCTTCTTCTCTTCTACTTAGGTAGAAAGGAAAGTTTGAGATAGCAAGAGAAGCATAAAGATTATGGAAGAATAAATATTAAATTCTTAAAATTGTATTTTTTTTTCCTTAAGCATTAAATTAAATTTCTTTTTGTTTGTTTTTACCTCCCTCCGGAAAGTAAGCAATAACGAGGGAAAAAAAAGAAAGTAAAAAAATTACTTTAGGAAACTTTTGTTTCATTTTACTTTCCTTTTTTTCAAAAAAATTATTAGGGATTGTTTACAAGCTTGGTCACGAATGGAATGAATTTAAGTAAATGAGTCATATGAAAGTTTAGTATTTTGTGACATCATTTTCAATTCATGTCTTTGAAAACAGAAGATAACGCCAAGGGGAAATTCATCGAAACATTTGGCCGACAAAAGCACTTGGCAAATCTCAAGCTTTTCGAAGTATCATTTAGAGGTAGCCAACAAAAGCACTTCGATGAATTACCCCTTGAAATTCGCTACTGCTTCATCTAAATAATTTCTTTGAAAAGAGAAAATGTAACTTAATTCAAATTTAATTTAACATTTAAATTTATTCAATTTATCCACCAATTTTATTATCGTGTAATGATTATTTGTTTCTTTTATATCTTCAAAGAAGCTGCTTCATCATATCATTATATTAATTCATTAATAAAAGGAAGAATTTTGTTCTTTTGAAAGCAGAAACTCATCATCTTCTCGTCTTGATTAAATTTATTTGATTTCCAGGAATTTTTCTTAATGTGAATCGGATGAGTGAATTTTCTTGTTTACTTCTCTTTACTTATTAAAGAAGGAAATGATGGAAGTTGGAGCTGAATAAAAGAACACGTCACACTACCTTTACATACTTATTTACGTAGCAGAATTGACAAGATAAGAAGATCAACAACTGTCAACAATGTCTCGTATTTTTCTGTCTTCACTTCGCATGAAATTAATACATAAAAATTTTTCTTTTTTTTCCCTCATAAATTAAAAACAAATTTATTTCAGGCTTCTTTGAATTTTGTTTTCATTCGATTCGTTTTGAACCTTAAGATGATTTCAAAGTATATCATTAGGACTAAGTAAGTATAAGCAAAAAAGCACAGAGGAAGAAGAAAAAAAAAACGCAAAACTCAATACCTTTTTTTTTGTTGAATTCAAAACTCCATAAAAAAGCTTTCAGCTTTAAATTTTCTTCTTTTCCTTTTTTTTTTCTCGCTTTTATTGTGATGAAAGGCGAAACGAGTCTGCTGATGGATGTGAGATGGTGTGTAGGTGTTTTGGAAATAAATGCAAAAGCAGAGTGAAAAAGAAGGAACAAGAGACTTCCTTTCTTGGCTAGATTAATTGGATTTTTAATTAAGATAGCCAACAAAGCGTGATGGAGGCATGAAGGGATCTTGATGACTGAATGAGAATGTCAATAAGTTGAAAGGAAAAATCAGGCTTTTCTCCTTTTGGGAACTTACCTTTATCACTTATTGGCGTTTCTAGCTGTAAAAGTTGATCCGATGATTGTGACGTAGTCGGCTGGTTTCGTTGCTGATGCTTTTGCTGCTGCAGATTAGAACTACAAATCGCCGTAGTCCATAGCGACTGCAGACCTTAATAAAGAAAAACGACATAAAACAGAAAAGTTTTCAATGCAAGCGAGGAAAACTTCTTTAAGAAAAATTAAAAGAATGAATCACCCTTTTCTCTCGTGGCAAATTTTCTTTCATTAACCGAGAACTTTTCAATTGTATTCAAGAAAAAGGAGATTGGGTCTTTTTTCCTTCCTTTCTTTATTTAAACCCATCAAACAATGAAAGAAGAAAAAAAAAGAAGCAAAATGCCAAACGGAATTCATTGACTTTAAAATAAAATTAAATAAAAAGAAAATTTTCAAACCAAACTTCGATGCTCCATCTTTTCTTTTCTCATGTTTGTGCCTCGCAGGGCTTTTCGCTTCGAAACAAAAACATTTCGAATGATGAATATTAATCAGAATGAAAAACAAATGAACGAAAAATAACAGCAAGCAAGAACGAACAATGAGACGCTTAGACGAATAATTGGGCGTGTGGATTGCTATAAATTTTCCAAACTGTAAACGGCACAATTTTTGATGAGCCCAAAACATGAAGAAAACTTTTTTATTTTTGAATGTGAAATTCTTATTGTGGTTCTTTCTGATTATCGCTTTTGAAAGAGATGGGCGGTGGTTGGTTAGTTTAAGACACAGAGATAAAATATTGCGAGCTTCAAATCGCAATAGCAAATTACGAATTTCCCTCTGACTTAGTGATTAGAAGTTCTAAGCACAACTATATCATTAGCATCCGCTCCCTCAGCTTATTTTAACGAGTGTTTAGCGAGTTATTGTTTTCCTCGCTTTTCAAGTAATTAGTTGGGTAGTTTGCAATTAAGACATGCTAATTATATTGTTTCCAGCTATATTTAGTTTGAGGAGTTGAGATTCTTTTCGTTCGTGATTCCGAAGCAAAAGTTAACTTCTCTGATAACAGCGTTTGAGTTCCGTTCCGGTGCTTTGTTCATAAATTATTTTCGTCTGTCGATTGCTGCACAATCAATCATCATTCCAACGATAGAAAGCTTATGACTTGAAAGCAAAAATTATTTCTTCACTGAACTTTTTTGATGGAAAGATATGCAAAGAATTCTAAATATTCACAAGATTAAATAAGAGAAATTTATTTCCGTTTGAAAGCTTTACTTGCATTTTATGTAATTAATCTTTACTTTAATTAAAATCCAAAAGAATGCTTTGTATATCATGAGTCAAATCTCATTGCAAAAGAATTCTTTGGTCAATCCTTTGAAAGCTGTTTACTTTGACAAGAAATATAACAAAGCTTTGAATTGGTATAGAAGTTAAATTAAGTTGATAAAAAAGTTTTCAAAGCTTTTCACTGTTCATTGCTCAACCGAACAACAATTTTGTTCAGCCATTTTTGTTGTCTGACAGCAGCCATGATAATTTAATGAAAATTAATTTATGCAAATGCCCTTAAAATAACTAGTTATAAATATCATTTTTTGTCGTCCCATAAGCTTTACTTGTGTGTCCTTTTTACAAGCCTTAAAGTTTAGACTCTTGTCTCGAAAACAGCTCCATTAAGTCATCGTCCCTTTTCGACTCGATTTCTTTTTATTTCGAATGGGTTTCTTCTTTCTGCCCTTTTAAACACATCTACATATTTTCTTAAGCTCTCCGCATGTTTGTTTTTGGGGTTTTATCGCCTCCAAACATTTTTCTCGGCCACTTTTTATCTTTTCTTATGTTTATTTTTTTTATTTTATTTTATTTTGTCTTTAAAAAAAGAACGAGATGAATAAAACTAGGAACAAGAATCAATGCTTATTCTATTTCTGCTATTTATAAAGCTGAATAAAGTCCCATTTAAAGTTATAGAAGCTTTCGTTCCTTTCGACAGAAATAAACTCTTTCCTCTCACACCCCCGCTCAAGCCGCCCCATCTTTTGCGTAAATGTATATAAAGCACTTCCGATACGCAATAGTCAACTAAATTAGAATAAAGCTAATACACCGATTCCATTTGTTGAATGGTAATGATAACAGTGAAGCGAGAGAATCCCGAAATAAAATTTGTGAACCTGTAAGTCAAGTATAGCTGAAGAAGAAAAGAGGAAAAAATTGAAATTCATTCTCGTTCTTCTTATCTTCCAGCTCGCCTGCTTTCTGTCGACACTGAATGATGGGGGGAAAGATGTGGAGATGCGTACACGTTCACTCTTTTTTTAAACTCGAGAACTGAAGCTCGTTATATAAATATTTTTTCGGTATAATAAAATGTATCATGTCTTTCTGAATGAACGAATGAGATAGGATGAGAAATGTATGCAAATAAATTAAACGAATGTTGTGCGGTTCGCAGAGTGTACATACCTACTTAGATAGAGAAAAGCGAGAGAAGGAAAGAGACTCCTTGTGAATAAAAATATTTAAGTAGAAGGCTCACCTTTTATCATTTACATATTTAACGAATTTTATTTTATGTTGGCTTGCCTCGACAGAAACGATTGTGAGGGATCGAAACACAAGACATGCAGCTACGTATAAGATTCCACCGCCACCAGTCGATTTATTATTCATAGATAAGCCTCAGTTGTTACGTTTGTTAACAGTATTTCAAGTCGCATAAGCTTAAAAAAGAACTTTTATTTTATCACTTTGCTTTTAACGATAAATGCTTATCGTCTTCTTTCTCCCCTTGAAAAAAAGTTGGCGAGGGAATAAGCAACGAAAAAGAAATACGTGAGAGAGAAAAATATGACAAAGCAATTGACTTTTATGTTTAAAATCTCACATTTTCCATTATCAAATCGATCGAGATATGTTGAAACATAAATATAAAAAGTTTTCATATCACAATTTAAGGTAAAAATTTTCCTGCTTACAATTTCAAATTGAATGAAGTGTCGAGTTACGCTTTGAACTTCAGAAAAAGGTTTAAAAATTTATTTGCTTTTGACATGAAAGCAGAACTTTTTCCAGGGTGGAATGTGTTGTTATTAATTGTCATTTCATTGCTTCCCAACACACATTTAATTTTATTTTTCTTTTGCATTAAAAGCTTTAAATAGTCGAGTATTTAAAACCATCAAGTTGTGCTTTAATTTAGTGTCTTGTTTCATGATTTCATTCATGTAAAGAATTCTTCATGGTGTTGTTAGTGAATGCATTAAGAGATAAAATATCCCAAGCATTCCAACTAAAGAGAAAACTTCTCCGTTCTTTAATTTTCTAGGAAAAATGTGGAAATAGAAATCGCCTGGGAATACTTAAATGGAATGAATGGACGAAAGATGGTAAAGCAAACAAACACAAGCAAATATCTATGCATACTTTTATCCCTTTATGCTTTATGTCATACACAATCAAGCTCACTTTCCTTGAAACATTATCCGTTATGTTTTGAGACCTTTCCCAAATACACAAGAGAGAGTAAAGAAAGGAAAGAATCTTCTGCTCCCTCATCATCATCTACAAATTTCTTACATCCTATCATCAACAAACACATGACGACAGAATGAGAAAAAAGGGGATGCGAATGGGAGCGAGCGTGTTAAAAGTGAAAAGATCCATTATCCTCTATGTTGAATACAATGCATATTATGCTAAACAAGTACAGCTAGTTGTGTAGATTTAATAATAAATATCGTTCATCTTATGCGTAGCATCTCGGAGTAACAAGCTTTCGCCTTTTGTTATGACGGATGGAAGTTTATAATCAAACAAGCTTCACGATTACATTAAGCGTTTCTATACATATATTCCTTTTTCGTGAACGTCTGGCGTGTGAATGTTCATAAAAAGTAACACGTGTTACATCTGCAACAGAGAGTCATCATCATCTTTAAAGTACTCGCTACCTTTTAACTGTTGTTTTTCTGTGCGGCAGGTAAATGGTGAATGTTCGCGACTGTAGCTGCTGTTGGCATCATTACGTTAATATTCATTTAATTAGAAACCTGTTCGATTATATTGCCTCGAGAGATGAACGAGAACAAATTAACAACATGAATTCTTTCAGACATCTTTCGGTCTGAATGAAAAGCTTTTCAAGGGAATATAAAAAGCATCTCTTTGATGATTTGAAATCAAAATTTCAAGGTGGTGGAGAAAAAGTTGAATGATGAAAGAAAAATGAAGTAAACGAGACATATTTAAAATTCATGAAAGTGAAATTTGTACAAACAGACAATTTTTCCTTCTTTTCTAACAACCACTTGGATATTCAAGGCAAAAGATCCATCAAGATATAAATTTAAATGTTTTGAAAGGGAAAATTTTCAACGACAAATTGTTTACAATCAAATCTCGGAAAATCCTTTTCTACTATTTCATTTCTTTTTCATTTTCCTTCCTTTAAAATGCTGAGGTTTGAATTTCAGACAAAATATGCTACCTCAAGTAATTCACAAACATCCGTCATAGATTTTATCAGAGAAGAAGAGAACAAGCTTTGTCTGAACTAAATTGAAGGAAAATCCTTAAGATTAATTTTCATTCACTTTCACATACGACAAGCATCCTTGAAGCATAAAAGCTTTTTTCTCTTTTATTTTTTGGAAACATGAAGATTGCTTCATTCCAACCATTTCTTGTCTTTCTCCTCGTTTATTTTTTTGGCAAGGACTTGGAATTTTTTTCATAATTTAGTTTGTTGTTTTAAGATTTTTTTTTGTGCTTACCATGCGAGTTTTTTCTTCGATCCTTTTCCTTTTTTTTGTGCATTGAAAAACAAATAGAAAAAAAGGCAGAAAATTGTTTTGCAATCTCTTAAAAAATTGATTAAAAAAGTTTCGAGTTGATTGTGGGTGGTTGATTGAAATTTAATCTAAGTTTGTTTGTTTGTTGTTGGCTGAAATGCGGTGATGTTATCATTCTATATTGGGTCAACATTGAGAATCATATCATAGAAGATGTTGGAAAACCACTATCATGATCCAAACTTATCGACTAAGTTTACTCAGAAAGTGTCGAGATTATTCATAGATAATTTTGAAGTTATTGAGATGAAAACTTTAAGTGCATATGAAAAATTCCTTGAAATTGAAGCTTATTTCATATTTATTTTTCCAATTTAAATGCTACATGATTTTCCATATCCCAAGCTATGTTTTCTTTATTCACAGAGTTGGCTAAATGAAACCCTTCATTCAACTGCTTTTTTGTTTCATGAACCTTAAACATGAATTAAAAAAATAATAAAGGAGAAACTTTTATTTTTTATCTTACGACTCGTCTTCCTTCTCTGAGGAAATCCCTCAAGCACTTTAGAGACGATCTCGTTTTTGTTCTTATTACAACAAATGAGTCTCGGTCGGTCTCAAGAAATTTTATTGATGTGAATGAGAAATATAATCTGAAAACGGTGACCCCTCCACATGAGAGTTAAAATTATGTTAGCAAACGTAAGTGGAGAATGAAAACATACTTTTCAGTTATTATCGCTTAAAAGTGAGGAAAACACTTGTCGGATGAGCTTCGAGACGACTCAAGGCGAAAAAATTATTTCATTTCTCATAGCATAGCTTTTTATTGAAGGCATTTATCAAAACAGAGTTTATGAGGGTATTTGTGGGTGTGTGATTTAGGAAAAAAAATAAAAACGAGGCAGAATCTCTTGCCATGAAGCACAAGCCTTGAAAAGTGATATTTTTATTCATCTTGATGCGAAACAAATTTAAAACCTGACACGCAAATTATGATTTGCAGCTCCACTCAGCCTTTTTTCCACTTGAATAAAATGTGAAATGTTGGAGAAAACACGCAGGTAGCAGGCGCTTATTAGAATCATTATTCACGATGTCATTGTTATGAGAGAGAGACGATGGAAAGTCTGCTGTTTCAAGAGCTGATTGTATTTGTTGTGACATCGTTATTTTACACTTTTAAACATGTACAAGCAGACATTTCCTCTGGTTTGTAAGTTTTTCTCTCTTCTGGAACAGCAAACAAAAACTTCACAACGATAATTAATTTAGACACTGAATATTTTGCACAGGAATTTATAAAAAGAGTAAAAAATTCGTTCATTCCATTAAAGACGAAAAACTTTCAAACCTTTATTTAAAAAAGGAAACTTTATAAGGTTGAAAGGAAAACCTTAAAGTTCATTCTTTTGAAATTTTCATGCACAAAGCTTTGTTGTTCAAATATGCGAATAGAGGAGAAAAAAAAAAGAAAATTATCGTCACCATCGCATCTCATTGCGTACCATTTGTAGTCACATCTTGAGATAAAAGCGTGCGCTTGTTTTATCCTGCCGAAAGGGGTTTCCAAACTCAAAAAAATATTATCATGTGCTGAACAATACAGAAAGAGGCAAAAGGGAAAAGGAAAAACACAAAAGTATCCTTTTGCGTTTATTTGATTATGCCATCGCTCATCTCATTCGTGTTAGTAACTAGCAAAAGCATCAGAATTGAAGGAAAACAAAAAAAGAGAAGAAGTCGAAACCGTAAAAAAGGAATCGTTTGGGCACACGGACGCAAATTAAAAAAGCCTTTTAAATGAGGGAAAAAACGTAATGATGATGCGATTAGTGCTTCGAGGTATAACTGTCTTTAAGCTCTTCTTTTTATTCTTCACTTCTCCCCTAAAAGTGAGACAGAAAAAAAAAAGATTTCACTTGTCTACGAGGCAGGCGACTGAGGATTTTCGTAAAGTATCGTCTACTTAAAAAAATGATAGCAACTCACAAAACTAAGCGCCTCGTTGAACATCAGAACATTAATGAAGAAATTGTAGAGTTTAATATAATTTTTATTGCATGTTTTCTCGTTTTGTGCTGTGATTTTCACAAAAGGAAAAGCAATTTTTCAACTTTAACGAGCACTGATGGAGTATTTCTTTTAAGCTTGGCAATTTTCCTTTTGCATAATGAGTTTCGTCTTCGTCTTTCTCTTGTAAATATCTTTCTTATTACTTTCAAAGAAAGAAATAAACAGAAATCGTCATCATCTACTCATAAGTAATGATATGATTGATGCCACCGGCAAGAACTTGTAATTGGATGTGATGAGAATAAGAAAAATGTAAAGCTTTTATTCATACTTTCTTTTACGCCCACCACAAGCCTCACTCATGTAAATATTTATTTATTTTTATGATAGAATCAAGAATGCTATGTTTGTGATGTGGAGTGATGAAATTCTTATTCTCTTATTTATCTCGCGATGTGAATTTGTTTTCAGCATAAAAAATGTTATGCAACGTGATGAAAATATTCAAGTTTCCTTCGATTTGATCATTTTTAAAGTACTGCGTGTTGGCATGTGCTAGCAAACAATTTCCTTTCTACAATTGAAGCATCAAATCGTGTTTTTGAAAAGAAAAACTCAACAAGTTGTAGTTGAAAGTTGTATCGATTGCTTGTTCGTTTTTTTCTATCGTTATAAGCTGAAACGAAGCACTTCAAAGTTGCATGTACACAACAGAAGCTTTGCAATCTTCAACATTCAACAAAAAAAAGGTAAACACTTTGAATGACTTCAAACAAGTAGCAGATAAGAATCTTAACAGATATGAATCTTGCTTATATTTTTAAAAGCTTGACAACATTTTATTTATGGGTTAAATGAAAGTCAATTTTTAATGTAAGCATAATTCGTATTTTCTCGCTACTTCTGATAATATTTTAAGCTTAACATGAAAGTGAAACTTAAGTAGATAAAACTTTTAACCACCACAGCAGCGAATCTTGTTAACCTTAATTTGAGTGTAAAATGCAGTAAAAAAAACTACAGGCGAGCTTTTATCTCGTGATCAAGCAAAAAAAAAGCAGAACAACCACTTTCGAGTTGAAAACACATTTTTCTGCTATTTTTAAGTCTGTAAATTTAATTTGCGGTTGTTTAATTCTTTTTTTTTTGTGTCTCTACAACAGCGGGATGATGGAAATGAAGGCAAGCAAAAGTTCTTGTTGGTTGTGAAACATTTTGCCAAAGAATAAAAAATATCTGCAGAGTACTTAATTATGAGATTTGAAAATGATAAATTTGAGCTTGTCGCTAATACTTGTGGGAAAACATGAAGAAAAACAATGAAATTAATTATTTTTCACGTTTGGATTGCGAGATGAAACTTTTTTAATCCACTCGATGAATATTTATTTTTACGCATTGAATTGTTGAAAATATTTTTTTTATATCTTTCTTAAGCTGTTCAGAATATCTGAAGGAAAAACAGAAAAGTTTTGAAAGGAAAATTTATCACTTTGTGTGTGGAAAACTTTTCCCTTCTGTTCGTTGTGTTTTTTTTTATTTCTCGTAAACTTTTTACCCGACAGTTGCAGTTGTGTTGTTGATGAGAGAAAAAGAAAAGAAAAACATTGAAGTGAAAGAATTTATTTGTGAATGCGTGTCGAACGGATCAGAAGCTTGTCGTCTGTTTTGAAAGTGTTAAGTACATTGTACAATAAAAACTTCATAACTTTCCTCTCGAATGATTTGTTTCGGTTTGTCGTAAAGAGAAATATAAAAAATAAATAAAATGGCACCGGAAATTCATTTCCTTACAGAAGAAAATGTGCTGTCGAAGAGATGTTGAACTTTTCAACGTTTTGAGTTTAGAATGACAGCGAGAAAATTGTCTCATTTCTGCCGTTTCTTAAATCCTTTTATGGCATTCTTAATACCTTCTCTTTTTGCCTTCCATTCCATCTTATGTAATAAATATTCTCTACACTCTAATTCCAAGCAATTTTACAAACGAATTGAATCGTCGTGAAAGCCCTTGAATTGTCATTACGTAAGCTTTTCTTCTGCTGCTTGTGCCGCTCGCATGTGTTTGCATATGAAAACATGGGGTGGAATGATGAAAGAATTTTTTCCTTTCGATATTCTACGCTATGATAAAATCATGTATGATGAGAAATATATTGACAATAAAATCAAATGTAATCATTACTCTATATGCGTTAGATGGTTGATATAACATTTGATGATTTGAGCTTAAAGCTAGGGGACGATAAAAGAAAAAAGCGAGGAAAAGATTATGGTTGGTTTATGTGGTTGAATTTATCGTTGTTAGCACACAAGTTTAATTTGCTTTCATGTTGAGTAAACTATTGAAGTGAGATGTGACATCGTAATAGATAATTGAAACTATGTTCGCTTTCAAAGAAAATTTCTTCGAATATTTAATCCAATTTAGATTAATTTTCTTCTCAATTTCAATCTTCAATCAATTGACAAAGTAAAATGTTGTAATTTAATTAAAAAATAATTGAAATCTTAGCAAGCCAAGTAGTTGCGCTTGAAATTGAAAACTGAAACTATTTTTGAGTTTATCACGCCAAAAACTATCTTCGTTGCTAATGAAAGCTCTCGTTCTTTATGCTTCCAATGGTTTAATGTTATTACCTTTAAAATCACATTACATCATTTCTATCTTTACCTTGTTAAGCACTTATGCTTCAATTTATTACTTGATATCGCATTCTACAATCAAATTGACTTCCCCAAAATGACACTAAAGCGACTCAATTATTGATGTATGGGGAAAACCAAGCTGTGACAACAACTAAAGCAGAGCAAAGATATTTTGCTTTGAAATTCCAAGAAAATTTAAATCAAATTGAATATCAAGATAAGATTTTCTTTTATTCCTACAACAATTGAGTTATTTATTTCATAAAGCAACATAATATGATGCCTTTGATTCGATTCCATGCAACCATTAAATATTCGGATTTATTTATTATAGCAAATTCTTGGACGTCAGCCTGGAAAAATATCAAAAGCAACGTGTTTCGTTCGCTCCATGGATGAACAAAGCTCAACATCTACATAAATATGTTCACCCATCATGCGAATATATACTTTTTTATGTTCGCTTAAAAGCAGACGATTTTTATTTATGATGCCAATGATGTTGCTTTTTCTCTTCTTGTAAAAATAAAGAAACTTTTGTAATTTATGTGAGTACGTTGATGTCTGTTATTCAGCTCCTGTCAAGCATTATCGCAAAGGATAAAAATATATGTGGAAGGATAACTTGCAACGAAACTTTTCAGCCTCCCACACTACTTTGTACACTTTTATAATAAATTTATGTATTGGGCGTTGCTGACGTGGGATGTTTCTGCTTAGCGAAACATTTAGCGCAATTAGTCTTCAAGTGAAACTTTTTTCTTCCAACTCGTTATTTTTGTATCAAGCTGTTCATCAACTAGGGAATGATCTCATCAAAATACCGGTGAGTAGCTTTCAACAGCTTCGTTTAGAATTATTTTAACCCTTCGTTTCATTAGAAGTATCTACTTAATTTTCACAGCGATGAATTCATTGAACAGAACGTTTTAACATCATAGTTAGCAACCTAAGCTGTCTACAAACAAAAATATAGACATAAATTAAGCGACAATGGCAAACATTTTCAAACTGACAAAGTTGTAGTAATAGAATTTCAAACATTCACAGTTTACACGCATGCAAGCATACAGAATGTTGCATTAATTTGCAATTCCTACTGACATTCCCTAACGTGTAATAAAATTAAAACTTTATTGTTATCATGTTGAAAATTGCTTTAAATTTAATCTGGCATATGTAGAAAAACATTTTTCGGTATTTTTAGTTTAGAAATTTGTTTCTGTTAACGATTTTAGTTTTGTGAATGTTCGCGGTGATCAAAATACTGACAATGCAAGTTTGGAGGCTGCAATTGCAATAAATTTATGAAACAAGGCAATTTTGATAGTTTGTTTACAGGAAAACTTTCCAAATTTTAATTACAACCGCAAGGTGCAAACGCTGAATAATTTTCAATTTGTCAGTTCGATCAGAAATGAATAAAATCGAATTACCAACAGTTAAGCATCATTTAAAACGAATTATTTTCCATAAATAGTATCAATGAAATTATGCTAATAATTCAAGATTATTTCAATTGAATTCAGGAGGTTTTTAAACTTTCAGAAATAAATCAATTGAAACTTTTTACTCATTGTTTTACCTATAAAAATTTTCATATCAATTTGAATCTCAAATTGAAATGCAAAAACTGTTTCCATTCAGCAATTTCAGATTTTATATTTCTTTCTTCAATTTGGTTGTTAAATCGAAAACATTTAAATTTCAACTTTAAAAATTTGAGATATGTGAACGTGATGTGAAGATGTGAAAGTTTATGGTCGTTCAATCGTAAATTTTTGGAATTATTCAATTAAAATATCGAGCAATTTAGGGACGAAAGCTTTTGTATGAATATCGATTGTTTTAGAGTGGCCGATGCTAACCACATTTCATAATTAATTTCCACCACCTCACCGTTTCCGATAACAATTTATTTTATGAAAAAAAGAAGAAACAAATTTATCGAGTGAATTAAATCGTCCTTATTTATTGGACATTTCCGTCACCATTTTGTGAGAGCGTAAAAATCTGTTCAATTTAATCAAATAGAAGGAAGAAAGTAATTTACTGTCGATTGGATACTTTCACTCATACCTTACAAACCAAAGTGCTTAAAACTTATCATGCGATAATAAACTGATCATAAAAACCTCCGCCTGGATTCGCCCGGATATTGCTTCAAGTTGTTAAGACCGAAAGTAATCCGAAATCCCGTCGCGATTTCCTTCGCTTCGTTCCTTTTACTTTTCTTTATATCTAAATCGAGATATAGCTTTTTTATACTTCTAGCTCGCCAAACGAGCTGAGAATAACCAACGCCTTATCTCTGTGAATGATGTCTAACTTAATTTTCTCCGGTTCAAACCCTTTTCGAAATGATAATCATAATATTTTTTCTTAAGTGAGAAACAAAAGTAGAAAGAAAAAAAAAGTACCGTAGAGAGAAACAGTGAAAAGTGTAGGAGGATTACGACAAAAGTAAGAAGACAAAACGCTGAGAATTTTTATCTCTTAATAAAGCAGTGGATGCTTATCATGCTTCGAATTTTCTTTCTTTTTTTTTTGTTTGTTTGTTCGCTTTATGACAGCTTTCGTTTGCTTTTTGTGCCATTCGCAATTGTCTTGCGCTGCGTTTTTCTGCGACTGTCATTGTTTGAAGTTGTCACACACAGATCTCATATTTTTTTTCAATTATTTTAATGACTTTCGTTTTCGCTTACTCCTTGTAAGCGTCTCAAGATTTCTGACATCTTATTTTTGATTTTGATCTGTTGACATGCAAAGCTTTCGTTCCCATCGAAGGATTGCCTACCTTTCACTTAACTAATGAAATGTAAACATCACAGGTCGGTTGTGTATTTGAGTAGGAGTGAAAGACTGAAAGGTTTCTCGAAATTAGTGTGATGGTTCAATATTTATTTGGGATAGTTTCAAAATCATTCGAGCCATGTATGAATTGGAAATTTCTTGACATTTATGACAACCTAATTTTCGAGAGTTTGTTAACTTTGTGAAGTTTCAAGGGATGCAAACTTAAGCTCACCGTAAGTTCGTTTACAAAGTTTGTCTAACGTTTCAAGTAAGTTTTGATATGATTCTAGATTTATTTTTACATTTCTTAGAAGTCTCAAATCTCCACTGACCCTTTGCCTATGTTCATTTCTTTTTGTTTTCGTCTTTCAATCTTGAAATATATCTCAGTTTTATCTCTCTATGATATCTTTAAATCTGAACCCTTATTACACGCAGCATTAAGCTTTAGTTTTGGTGCCACAAGGTTCATTCCTTTATTTTTCTTTTCTCAACAATCACCGTGATGAGTGAAAAATAAAAGCTCAAGACGTAAAGTTAAAAGCGAGAAATCATCGTCACTCTTACAACAAAACTTTTATGATTTGTTCGAGTTCAGTGATTTGCAATTATCCCAATGAATGTTGATTGCAATGATTTATAAAGTTTTTAGTCACAAACTTCTCCATGATGATATTTCATACGAAAGGTTTAATGGATTGAATGAGAAATTCAAGAATAATGATGATGTAAGACTTTTCTTTAGCTCGAATGCATCAGATAAGTTTCATTCAGTTTGCTATTAATGTTAATTTAAGTTTTAATGATTAGAATGAATTTTTCAAATACTAAATCAAGAAATGCCAGAAGATAATTCAATTAATCGCTTCATTTAATCTGATAGGAAATCAAATTTCTCGCTTATCTAACTTTTATTAATTTTTCAATTCTCACATCGTGTTATTAAAATCGAAATAAATTTGTTTCACATTTCTTTCCCCTTACCAAGCTTTCAAGCTTAATTACAGTCGATTTCTATAACTTTTGCTTCTATCCAACTCCTATTAAGTTTCTCTTCGTTTTCAGCTCATAGCGTGAATGATTTAGTAGAGGAGAAATTCTATTGGGGCCGTAACAAATTGTAGTCCATTATTTCCGGAATGATTAGGATTTAGATGATTATCTCATGCGAGAGCTTCTCCCTTTATTCACCCGCTCGTTGACATCGCTTTTATAGAGACACAAACAATAAATTTCGACAGACTCGAAGCGAAATGTGAAGTCGCGACAAGCGGATAGTAGAGAAGAACAAAAAATGACTCTCACAATAAATTAATATCAATTTTGTGTGAGCGCGCGATTCTGCTTAACCATCTCAAGGGATATTTAATGCGAATCATCAGTAATTTATTGTTTCCATCGAATCGGAATAAAACAATTTTTTCCCTCGTCGCTCTTCGATAGATATTCGTCGTTCTTTTTTTTTGTTTTGCTTTAGCACTTACAAATTTCCACAACTTTTTTTTTGCTGCTTGACTGGCGATGTTATAATACACGCTTTGTGTCGATGGCACACATAAAAGTTTCAACGAAACTCGTAAGCACCGAATGGTTTGATAAAAAATTGAAATGTGAATTTGATATTTTATCGATTTTTCTCACATCGTTTATTCTTATATGCCGTAAAGAAATGGTTGAGGTAATAAGCCTAATTGGGCAAATTTTTTTTTCACTTTTGTAAGCAGACATTTTCACTAATGATGTCATTTCAGGAGAGAAAAAAATGTATTCACGCTGTTATACATATTTAAGATACATAAAGTTACTTACTTCTTTTGACTTCCGACCACGTTTTGAAAGCTTTCTTATAATCCTTTCATAACATAAAAGCTCTTCGTGTTTCTTTGAACTTTTCGCTCGATTTCACTAATTAGGCCACAAATTGTAGCAACTTCTATCACTAAATCGTTTTTTTTATTTTGTTTTGTTGGATGGACTCTCGTGGTTGATCACGAAAACAGCAAAATTATCTTCTGTTGCTTATCAAATCGAAAACTTATTAAGCGTGGAGTAGAAAGAACTTTGACCTTTTTCGACTTCGCCTTTTTTTATTTAATTTTTTTTATTTCCCTTTTCTTGAAGTCTTGAAACGATACTCGAAAGAAAAATACTTTAATTTGACCTCATTAGTGAATCTCTCAGTTTTTTTATGATAGAAAGCATTAACTCTGCTAACAACAAAAAAAGCTTTTCCGATTGAATTAGTTGCTGTTTTTTCTTCTTTTGCCTTTGTGCCTTGTTTGACTGACGAAATTGAATTTTTAATGAGCACAAATTATCACACCATTTAGCTATGAAAATTTTATGACCAATTTTATTCTCGACAAGAAGATTTTAATGATTTTTTATCATTCTTTGGTAAAATCTTTATGAGACGTTTCAATAATCACGCGCGCAACTTTTTATTTCATCCTTTGGGACGCATTAAATATTTTTTTGTGTGTGTTTATGTGGGTTGTATTCGATATCAATGTATATCCTTCCTTCTTTAGGTTGTCATTAAATCTAAGACACTCGTAACGACAACAACAACAACAACTTGCAATTTGGAATGTCACTTTTCACATATGAACACATAAATCTCACCAATAGGAAATAAATGTCACATCAAAAAGTTAAAGTTCGTGACAGCGATGGCGAATTAATACGCTTTCCTATAACAAACTAACCGACTCTTATGTACATACTTTCCTATCTAATTAATTTCCATATGAACTCAATCAATCGTTAAAGTTAATGAGCTGACATCAGCTAAACTTCTGTTTTCTTGAATTTATTTTTTTTTCTCCAAACAAACCTTGCTTTTGTTTTCCTTTATTTTCTTTTTTCTTCTTTTCCTTTTCTTTAGAAATTTTCTCTGGGAAAACCTTTTTAAGAAGTTGGAAACTTTTTTGGGAGAAGATTATACTTGATTGAGATCTACTACGATACTGGACCAATTTAGCGATTCTAAGGATTCTTATAAAGGAGAAAATTCTTCGTATTTTTCCTTTTCATGAAAATTTCTCTCAATTTTTTTCTCACTTCAAATAAGAGGAAAATTCTTCTCGCAAGTTTCTCATTTTGAGAGAGAAAAAACTGTCAAATTATCGAGAATCATACTGCGTTTCATGATTTTCATTCTAAGAAATGAAAATTCATTTTCCTCTCTCAAATTATGTTGAATCTTTCTCTCTTTCTCTTTTAATTTCCCACGTATACGTGAAATAAAGTTTTCCATAAATTGACACAGTTGAGGCATAAGAAGAACAAGAAGAAGAAGAATTACATTAATAAATACTCATTAAAGCTTTCTCTTCACCCTAATGATCTTAACGGTTGTATAGTTATTGAATCATAAGTGGAAAATAATTGCTTCAAATTTTTCATTCTCCCCTTTCTTCGCAACCATTTACCGTGTCAAATGGCCGTGCCGAAAGTTTTGTTGTTAGGGGATGAGAATATAAATTGATAAGAGAAATAAATACAACTAAAACCTTCATACGTTGTTGATACATTTCGGCTCTTTAAGATATTTGTTTAGTGGGAACAAATAGAACAAAAGCACTAAAAAAGGCAATGAAATGAAACAAACGTTTCCAAAAATTAATATTTTCTCCATAATTAAGCAGAACGGCAAATGCTGGAAGGAAAAACAAACAAACACGAGGGACAGAAAAAAAAATCGTATTTGGGTTTCTTTTTTATGCTGCGCTGCCACCCCAGAATGGCTACAGCTGAGAGCGAAAGAAAGAAAAAAGCTTTTTTATTGCTTTATGTTGAAGCAAACATTAAAACGCAGCATGAATATTAAATAGAATAAACGTCCGCTCTCTGATGAGTTTCTTAAAAGATTTGAGTTTATCATCAACAAACAACGGCCGTTTCTGATGCGTCTAAAAAGTCGTTCAAATTAATAAGCCGTAGAATTACTTTGCTGCAAAATAAACATTCTTCGTTGACACATGAAAATCGAAGAAGAATACCAAAATTGCCATTGTCGTTGGACCTTCAGAAAAATCTTTTAAGTATTCACAAGTCAGGGGATAAGTCAAGAGATAAGCGTACCAGTCCATAAATACAATTTAAAAGTGTGAAACAGAAGAATGATAAGAAAAATGAACATTTCTTCCCTGTTGGAAAGAAATTTTAAATATTTTATCTTGACTTTTTTTTTAATTTTGTTTTCTTTTCATCCTGAAGTTTTTCTTTTACTGTGGATGCGAACAAAGAGAAATTTTTATAAATATTATCTTTTAAATATTATTCATTTTTATTTTCAATAACAAAAAAAAGCTCTGAGAGTGCAATAATATAATAAAAGCCAATTTGATAACGGGCTATAGCTGTTGACGTAAAAAATGTTTTTTCTTTCTTTCTTCTTTCTTTCTTTTTATCGTCTTTAAGTCGTCTTTGTTGCTATTATTAGATCAGTTTTGAATCGAATGTGAACAGGGGATGAAAAAAGAAAAAAAACGACGAGTTGCTGATGTCAGCAAATGCTCTTGAACTGTTTATTGTGTTTCTTTTTTATCTCGGTCTTAAGACTTATTTAGATTGTTATCACATGAAGAATTAATTCAATAAGAAAAACTTCTTATTCTTTAAGTCTTTGCACAAAGTTTTGAAAGTTTGGATGTTATTTTTAAACGTTACATACTATAACGACTGACCCGAGAAAAGCACTCTGGCGCCACGAAAAACTTTTATCTATTCATGGGTCTCTGACTTTATTTCATGGAAGGTTTTCTTTCATTCATTCTTTCATGTTATTCTCAACATTAAATTTATTGTATAACTTTCTCTGAACTTATCTTGAGAAGAAAAAAAAGTCATCGACGATGTCCCAGTTGAATAGAACTCTGAAACAAAAATTACCATTCATTATTCAAAGGTTATTCGTAAATGTTATGTATTGAATAATGAGAATAAGTTCATAAAATATCAATAGGTTATGGTCAAGAAACGATTTGCTCGATAGAAATTTATTTCTGTGGCAAATGTACCATAATCAGAATTCTCCCTGGAAATGATTGTGAAGAAAATTGGAAATATTGAAAATGAAAGAGAATCAATCATCAGATGAGAAGATCAGAAATGTGGAAAGTTTAGATGTTCGCGGTTGAGGAATTAAGAGCGATATAAAGCTTTCACTTAAGGAAGCTTATGCTTCGCTAACAAACAATGTTTCTTGTCTTTTAACAATGGTTATAAATCACTGCCAAAAAGCCTTAGCTTCCTTATGATGATAAATCGCTATGACATCCAATGAGTACAAATGAACACATTGATAATCTGCACAAACAGTAAAATATTCCATTAAAGAACTTGTACTTTAATGGAAATATAATCATCGCCAACACGATTTATGACTTGCCATTGATTTCCTTACAAAACCGACACTCAAATGTTTCTTACATAAATTGTCGCAATGCATTAACATCATTAAGGATATATTTTGATGTTTTGATAATCATAAATTATATTTGTGAGCTAAGAAAAGCGATAGAAATTCTTCTTTTCTTATTTTAAAGCTTTAAAATGTTCCCAGTTATTGAAAAGGAAGAAAAGTTTCACGTGAAAAGTTATTTCTCATAAATTAATTGCTTTCATATTTCAAAAATTTTCCGCATTCTAACGATGAAAAAAAAGGAAAAGAGCAGCCTCGAATTGTTTCGTTTTTATCGCATTGCGAAGTTCAGTTGAAATGAGAAAAAGTTATGCGACCAACTTTTAATGGTTGAAGTTGACATCGATTTTAATTGTTTCAATTCGAATTCATCACAGGGGATTGACAGAACAAATGGAACAATAGCAGAATTTTCGTCCCACTTTTAATCTCAAACACGATCCATCAAACTGGAATATTTTTCCATATCATTGAACTAGTACAAGAAATTAGTTTTCACCTTTATGATTCTCATCCCTTTTCAGTTTGTTTTGTGTCGTGTTGTGAGAAAAGTTATGACGATAATAACCAAAACATTCAAGAATCACAAAAGCAACTCTCCTGGATTCTCGATAAGAAACAAAAGACGAAATCATATGAAAATTGATTAATGATCCGAACACTTGATGGCATTTTGATAGCAGCCCTAAAAGCAAAGAATTTCATATTCACAAGAATATTGAACAAAGAATAAGACATGACAAAAATCAAAAAGAAAATTCATAATTTTCCACATAAAATAGTTAAGAAGTAAAAGTTTTCAACGACGACGACGACACGACAAACTGTGACTCTACGTTATTAAAGAAAGAAAAATATCAATCAATCACTAACTAGTGCACAGTACCATAACATGACATGTTGAAGTCGCCTTTTTATTGTTAGAATGTGAATGATATCGAATAGGTATTTGATAGATTTTCTTCCATGTCCCCCCTTAGATTTCCTAAATAATCAAACTCGCAAAAATATACGAGAAAAATGTCGGTAATTCTACTCGGAAAAGCTTATCTCGTGGTAAGCAGAGACGAAGTCGAACCCTCTTTTAATATGTAATCCATGAATGACGAATCAAAGTTATACAAAAGGGTCGCTCGGGATATCGAAGCTTTAGTCACCATCTTTGACATTGAATCGAATCCGATTATTCATATAACTTGGAACTTGAAATAACAGATTGGCTCTAATCCTTTTCGTCTTGTTTCAGTCTCTTTTTTGTTTCTTTTCTGCCTGCGGTGTCCTAATAATCTTTTCTCCATTTATTTTCAAACTTAATTGAATTTAACGCGGAAAACTTTACGATAAAAACGAGAAAGTAAAATCTAAACTTTCTTTAAAAGAAGAAAAATATCATTTGTTGCGGTTAATTAACCACCAAGCATCACACCATAGGGCTTCTTCATTAATAATCATCACCTCAGCAATGTTAATCGACAGAAAAAAGTTTTCTCCTTCATCAGCCGTTGTTGATGTTCTTCAGTCTTTACTTTTTTATGTGAAAGTGCTGTGCATTGAACGTGCTTAACAAATAGCTGAGGCAATGTTGTTTAATTATGAAAGTAAATAAAATTAATGGCAATAATCTTGGTTGAATCCTTGGAAACATTCAAAGGGGAAGCGAAGAAGAATTTCATCTACTGATAAAACAAGGAAAAGAGTTTCATTTAGTAAATTATATTTACTTAACATGCTTCACTGGGCTAATCCGTTCTTATCATCACTCATACACACTTCGCAATTGGCAGTCATAAAAAGTCGGATTTGTGTGCAAGTGAACGAGAACTTTTGTGCTGATGAAGGAGAAAGTTGGAAGCTTTTCACTTTGAGAATCGTCATTTTTCACTCTGTTAAACCAGCACTCGTCGTTACTTGTATTTCTGCAACGCTTTTCATTCCTAAAAAACACGAGACAGGAAACTCTGAATGCTATTCAAGCATTTGTCGACATTTCAAACAGAATAAAAAAGTTTTTAATGGATTGACAATGCTTTCAGTTCTTCTCTCTTTTTTTCATTCTGATATAAAATTATTTTGTTTGCTTGTCTTTAAAAATAAAATGAAGAAAGCTTACATTTTATTATGGGACGTAAAAGTGAATGTGCATTGCAATGTTGAAAACGAAAGAAATTTTAAATGTTGAGTTATCATATAAGCTTTGACAATAAATTTTCTTTTATCTTAATTATTTCAATTCCATCTGGTTTTGAAAACTTTGCTCATTCATTGAGTATTCAGTCAGTCAGCAATTACTAGAAGCTGTAAAACATCATAAAGAATTGTTTGTATCATTTCATTTTATCAACCCCAAACCACCCAAACAAATTGCCAACATAATGAATTAATTTTTCGTTTTTGAAAATATTTACGACATAAAACATCGTAAATCAATTGTTGGTTGAAAAACTGTTCGTTTAAGTTTTCCTCTGCTTCAGACATTTCAACGACCGCAAACTTCTCTTCAACCGGTGATGTCACACATTTATCACAAAACTCAAAATGAAGACCGGATGAGGCTGTTCAACAAGCGTCGTTTGAAGATTTATGTGTTGAATCTTTTGAGGGAATTACGTTTAATTAAAATTAATAAATGAATGCTACATCGTACGTACTGGTACTATAAAAAAGGAAAATGAAATATCGACAATTTTAAGGCTCGATGATTTTTTCCATTGTTTTATTTATGATCATGAACTTTGCGGTTTCAGACTTTACGACGGTTCAATGAGATTTTCCTTTGCCAGATTGCTTCACATCAATCCAAATTCTGTGAATTCACTTTTTATTTCTACTCCCACACAAGATTTATTATAATTAAAGTTGGAGATTCATGATTGGAATTTCCATCACACTGAAACTTGATGGGTTTTAAACAGATGATTATGTATATTCGGAAAACTTTAAGTTCACACATAATTTCAAACTAAACATTATGCTGCTCCATCGAGGATACTTTTGAGCTTTCACAGAAACTTAACTCAGCATCTGCTTTTAAGAAAACAATTTTACTCTTCTCAGTTTGCTTCTTGTTGTTATCAAAAAGTTGTTACTTGTTGGAGATTCGTTTGTCTTGGCACACTTAAAAGCCATTGTGTCTTATCTTCATTTTACTCGTCTAGTCTTTAAGATTTATGTTTCATGTTGTAAGTTTTTTTTGATTACACTTGTTTTCTACCTGAACGAACAAGTACAGAAAATAAAGAAGGGTTTAGTTCATTTGTTCTTCAACTTGCAGTGGTTTTGGAAGCATTCAACCAGCAAGCCATCAATCTCATTAAAAGGAAAAAAAAATTGCCAGTGTTTAAAAGTCATTTAGAATGAGGTGAACGAATGAGTTGTATCTAAGATTTAAAATATAATTTATTTTGCTTTCATTTTAGTTATTTCATTGTTTCGCTCGTGGTAATCACAACAATTACTTTATCTTCATCCCAAGCATTCAGAGAAGTAGTTGATTGTGAGAAAATAACAATAAACAGATGTTACATTGGGAGTGAAAGAATCTTCTCAAGCGAATTCATTTTCCTGAGAAAGCATGAGAACATCGTTTCTATCGATATGAATGATAATAAGAACATTCGATATTTACCGATCAATACAGCTGAGATGTTTCCTAATTTAATAGTTTATCAAGGTTCTCGTTGTAGCATCAAAGCAATACATAAGATTAACTTTCAGAACTTGACAAAGACGGAAACACTCGCTCTACCTTTCAACTACATCGAGACAATCGAAGGAAACACTTTTGAAGAAATGATTTCATTGACACATCTCGATTTACGTGAGATAAAACTTCTAAACTTATCTTTTTAGTCACTAAAACTAATAAATCTTCCTTCAGAAAATAATCGAATTAAACATATGAACGGACGAGCTTTGGATGTCATAATAAACGTGCAACGTGTCATATTAATAAACAATATTTGTATTGACAAAGACTTTGACGATGACAACGGATCGAGACCTGAAGTTATAGCAGAAATGCCTTCGATTGTACAAGAAAATTGTGGCTTTTGTGACATGACTGACATCTTAAGTCATTGTGATGTTATAAACAACTTTAAAAGTACAATTCGATTAATGTTACGAAGCTTTCAGATTCGTAATCAATTAACCGCTGACACTAAAATAGTTTCAGAAACAAGCCACGAGGGCGAAGAACCAGGAAATAAAACTTGCGAAGCAGAAGACATGATAAAAAGTTTCATGCATCAATTGTGATTTTTTAAGGAGTTTTTCTTAATTATTTTAACATTTTTTCTTTGTCGAAAAGTAAATTTATAAATCTTCTTAATTGTTTTGTTTTCTTACCTGAAAAGTTTGCCTTTCCTTTGTTGATGTCTTAATTATATCTTTCATCTCTCATGTCTGAAGTGATTAAGGTGCGACATGAATTTATTTTACGTTAACTTAACTAATATTTAATAGGAGTAACAAACAAAAAAGTCTTTCGGGAATACTTTTCTGCGAAAGAACAAAAAACTTAATAATTCAAAACCTTTCAACATTACTTCAGTCTTAAAATTTCCACTCAAATATCCGAAGCATTTGCTTGAGTGGAAAGCTACTTGAGAAATAAATATTTTTATGAAGAATTGTTGAGATTCTGACAGACATTTTCCATTTTCTTTCATACATTTATTAATGAGTGGAAAGCTCGTAAGATTTTATTAACACTATTCATGGAATGCAGTTGCGATAATAAAACAAAAAAATGAAAGCTTGTTTCATATTTCTTTCCCTTTTTTACTTACAATACTCACCCGACATTAGCCATAAATCTTGCATCTTTATCGGCATCACGCATTCATTGTTTTATGTTTCCAGGCACGTAAACTTTTACGAACGAAGAGCTTTATGATATATTTTTTTCAATGTTTTCACAGATGAAAGTGCTTTTGGCTGCGGTGCTGTTTTGCTGGATGACTTTAAAATGTTGTTGAATGCGTAAAAATGTCATTTATTTTCCCAGCAGTCACTCGAAGCAATTCCTGCTGAAATGAAGAATGAGAATGCAAGGAGATACTTTCCAACAAAGAAAATTTTAAGCGCTTTAATAAACCAGACATTTCTCATAAAATAACCATCAACCCCGCATTTTTCTTTTTTATTCTCTTACGAATGACCCTGTCGTAAAATTACAAGAATAACAACAATGGAAATAAAAAGAAATGTTTTTAAAATCATCATCATCTTCCATTTCTATGTTTTGCCTTGTGGGAGAGGTCAAAGGGTGGGGGTGGTTGAAAGGAAAGAATTAATTAAATGTCTTCTTCTATTTACTTTTAAAGAAAGGACATTTGGACGTTGGGGATGAAGCGAGAAAGAAAGAAAGAAAGACAAAAAAAGTAAACGGCAATGAAAACATAGAAGACAACTTTTAATTATGGTTACTCTGGCAAGTAATGCCAACATTGTTGCCTTGCAAATTAATTCGTTTTCCTTGTCGTGTTCATCATCGTGTCAACTTCAAAAAGTATCATAAATTGTAGTATGGAAATTGAAAATTTATGATAAATGAAAATTGAAATGACAATTTGCTTTACTTTGTTAGATATTTCATGGATTGAGATGAGAAGTTTCACCAAAATTATTGCTTGGAACCCGCAATACAATAATAAATAAATTGAGCTGAAGAGAAGAACTTTGAAAGTAAATATAAAAACTTTTCAATTGCGTTTTGTCTTTCAGTAAATGGAGAAACTTTAATAGGAATGAAAAACTTTTATTACGTTTATTCAACGAGTGAATTTCGTTCTTGATTTTCATCGCTGCGTGCGGTTATAAGAGATGAGGAAAATTTTGAGAATGAAGGTAAGAAAGTTTTCCATGGAATAGATTTTCAACAAACGTATGTTTATCTCATCGACTTCTGTCTTTTAAGTTTCTTTCAATCAATATATGAACTCTTTCCACGCGACAATCGTTTCCTTGCCCTCCCTTTATAAAGCTTTCATAGAAGAAAACTTTTTTCTCCCCTTTTTCAGCTGTCGCTTAAGCTCGAAAGTTTATTTGACTCAGCACATCTCATTCTCTAGATTTTCGCTTCGATGTTGCTCTTATCAAGTGAAGAAGAAAGCAAAAATAAGACGAAGAATAAGAAGGCAAAATGTCACAAAAAGCAGATAAATCTCGATTAACGGAATGAATCGAAAACGTAAAAGAAAGCAAAAAAAAATCTTATTTTCTCTTTTTACACCTCCTCGAACGAGCTGGGGATGTGTGACTGGAATTTAAATTTCATTTCATCAAACAACGAATCAATGTTTAAGAAGAGAAAAAACCTGGCCGTGTGAATTGATGGAAGAAATTGAGTTTAAATATCAATTCCTTGCGCCATTCATCACATGTTTGTTCTGCTGATTTCACATATCTATCAACACGATTAAGATTAAGTTGTAAATATTTTATTAACTTCATTTGGAGAATTAAACGATTTTAAATAACTTAATAAATTCCTTTGAATTCCCCATCCGAAACGTGCTTTAAATTTATTTTCATTAAAAAATTCATAGCTATTAAATTCACCAACGAAGAGTCAATAAATGCTCTCCCCGTCTCGAGATCGTTAAAAAGTTTGTTCTTAGCTTTCTTTATTACAGAGATCTTCATGCGATTCAATAAAGTTGATGCATGTTAAGATTCTATAAACCATTGAAAGCTTTAATTGCGAAGCGTTGTACGTTTTTCTTTCAACATTTATATCTCTTGATGCGAGCATGCGATTGTGCTGATGAGTCTTGGAAAAGTCACGTAAAAGCAGTTTATACATTAAGGGATACGTTAAGTATTTTCGTGTCTCAATTGGGAATATTATATTGATGACTAGAAGCAAACTACGCTCATGAATATTCGTCTGTTTATGTTGTTTTCTTGTTTTCCGATAGATCAATTAAGATCGATGCTTAACGAGGGAAAAGAGCTTGTCACATGTCGATAAAAGTTTCTTCTTCCCTTGAAACAAGGAATCTGACGGAAAATGGGAATTTGGAATGTATTTATTTGATTCATAAATGATCTCAAGTTGAAACATATCATTGAAATTGCGTGTGACACTAACAAATCACGACGATTTCCCTCGACTCCAAAATCACATTCCAAAACTCATCTTTTTCACAATCAACTTTTATCGTTGTTGTAAGTTTATCTTACTTGAAATTTCTTTTCAAACTTTTATATCGCATTGACTTTTGCGAAATGTTTTACTTGGATTTACAAAATCTTACAATGATTGTAATTGTGTTCTTATTGATTTACAAATTATATCAGCGGAATGCAAATTATGTCAAGAAACGGAATGTGAAAATGGCAAAAATGTTTCCGTTATTAGGATTTCCAGTCGAAATTCTCGTTGAGAATCGTCACAGCAACGAAGTCTTTAGAGATTATTATAATCAATTTTCTGACACGAAGTTTGAGTCTTTATTTAGAACAATTTCCTTCAATCAATAAGCAGCGCTTTGGATTGACGTTGATATTAATGTAATTTCAGATTCTTCGGAATATTTCAATTCCCAAAGTCACTTCATATCATTAGGGATTTGGATTTAATTCGTCAAATCAAAAGCAAGGACTTTGGAAAATTTCATGAATCATCAATCAGTGTTTGACAGGTCAACGGACAACTTGTTTTCGAAGGTTTCGAGACAGGAAGTGATAAACAACTTGAAATTCATTCAGTTCGAGGGTTTATTAAGTGATTACGTACGTAAACATTCGAGTGAGTTTGATACTGAAATTATTTATTTTTAAGGTCTGACTTTGGATTGTCAATTAACCCACTCAAAGAATCTGATAATCACTTCTGATGGAAATTTCCAACATCAATGATAAATTTTTATTGCTTATAATGTCTCAAGCTCATGAATTTAAAAGGAATTCTTTATCACATGTTTTATACAATTTATTTCCATTTCTTTCTGTATTTTAACATTTCGATGTTAAATCGGAAAAGATGTAGAATATTTCAGTGAATTGATAAGTTCAAACATAACACATGAAGAAGAAAATAACATCAAGATTAATGATGTCATAAATTTATTGATTCAAGAGAGATCAGATGGGGTGATAGAGACACAGAATTTATAAGGCTTACGTAGAGCTTCAACTTCAATTTAGATGTTCTTGAACTAACAAAATTTCGTAAATAAAAGCTTTGAAGAGAAATTGACAGTTTCACAAAGAAAAAAAACTCTTAAGAAGTTCAAGATGTTTCTATAGAAATCTTTAATAGCATTATTTTCACCCTTAGGACTTAAAAGAAAATCTTTTTACAAGAAAACTTGCATTTGCAGTCTCAAACCTAATTTAAAAACTTGTAGAGACTCTCAATGAAGCGTGGGTGACATTGAAGTTGCAGAGAAATGATTGTAATGCTTTCTAACGCGATAAATTTCCATGAATGACTGCGCAATGTTTAATTGATTTACAGCATTGACGTTTATTGATTGGAAGGAACATTTTAGTATTTATTGCGTAATTTTCCTAATCTTGTAATTTCCTTTGTTCAATTGAATAGGGACAACACAAAAACTCTAATTATATTTGTTTCGTTACAATGAATATTTAATTACCGAAATAATTTGACAACAAGATAACTATCTGAGCTTCCACTTTTCATTTATTCCCTTTTTCAACAAAATTCAATGCTTTCACCTAATGACAAAGTTCACAAAACTTATAAATACGGAGTGTTGTATTAAACTTTTTTTCCCATCTCTTTTATGTTTCATAATTAAAAAATGACATGATTTTATATAAAGACAAAGTATTTGATGAGTAAAAGTTTTTTAATTTCAAGTTTCACATTGCATGGAAAATGTAAAAAGGAAACTTCAAATCGGTATGTCTGAATTATCATAAAAACTTGATATAAGAAGCAGATACTGTATAAAAATAAATTAAGGTTAAAAGCTTTGAATTTAATTCTAAAACTTCACATTACTGACTGGGCCAATGGTTGGGCATCAACCCTCTAAATGTGTTTCTAAAAGAACTTGTTCTGAGAAATCTGTAGCTAATTCTTCATCCATGCCTTGCTTCTTATCATGAAGAATGTCAGCTTTTTCCTCTTCGAATGTTAATCTTCAAAACTCAAATGATTAGAACGATGTTGTGTCATTCATCTTTGACATTAGTTACGGTATAAAGAAGTCCCTGTAATAAAATTAACTTATAAAAAAGGAAACATTTCAAAATCATGCGAACTTACTCCTTTTCTTTATACGTGAGCATATTTACTCAACAGAGATGAATTAATAATTCGCCATTTATGTAGACTCAGCAACTTCTGGAATTGCGCAACCTCAATAGACGCACATCTCTAAGTCAGGTTACTAACATTATTTTACCTAAGTAAAAGACAGTATTAAAAAAATAATCGAAATTTATATTAACAATTGGACAATTAACGTTGCTAAGAAACCAGGACAGGAAACGTTTCAACGCACTTAAATAGGGACCTCGCACCACGGATTAAGGCGCTGGCAAGTTTTATCCCAAGTAGAGTTGCAAATAAATAATTGGAAAAGAAAGAGACCAGGCCCATTATATAGGAGAGGGAAAAATAATAAAAGAGGTGAGAGACAACAATCAACTTGACGCATGGGAAAGTTTCTACATGGACAACGACAAGAATCTTCGTAATAATCTTAGAAAAATTTTTCATTAAGCTTTCAAAATTTGATGAAACATTTATTTCTAAAAACAATAGATATTGTGACGGAAAATTCAGCAAAGAGAGATAATCCTTCTGTCGGATCAAATATGAGTCGGATCAAAAAACTTTTTCCTTTCGACAACTTAAAAAGAAAACTTATGTGAAATGAGTGGGTAAGTATAAACTTTGACTTTAATAATTATTTTCCTTGTACCTTTTACTGACACTTAACATTTGTATGCTTTTCTAGCCGCGACGAATATTACCGCGTCCACGCTGACCTGGTCAACGCCTTCTTTCGCGCCTTTGCGCCTGACTTTGACATGCCATCGCTAATGTGAGTATCTGCTTTAATCATGGAACCGATTTTCCTTGTTTCATTTCTTAACCCCTTAATTTCTTTTTCTCTTTTCTTTTTTTCTTAACAGACCTTGTCAACCCACGGAAGACTCTTCCGACGATCCCTCCAAAAAGACAGCCAAAACTTCAACCGAGAAAGTTGCTGGAGCTGCCGAAGTCTATTGTTCTTGTAAAGACACGGAATCGAGGTGAGAATTATTTGCGATCCTAGCTTAAACCGAGATTTAGTGAGACATATTTTAGGTTTAGAAACCGTCAGCGCCGTCGTAGTCGTTCTTAATCGTCAGTTGAAGACGCATTTACCAGTCAGTTTCTGTTCGAGAAAATCCAAGTCGAAAGTAAATGCGCCATTTTCTTTTCTTTTGTTCAGAATCTAATTGTCTCATGATTTAGGTCGCTAATAGTCGTCGCCTCGTAAAGTCAGAATTGAATTCGTAGAAGAAACTCAAGCAATCTAGTAGAAAGGTAATCGATTTAATATTGCGATAAATATCTGAAATTTAGAACGCTCGGATTTCATTTTAGACTTGCTAGAGATAACTAGTCGAACTCGTTGTCAGGACGTCGAAAATCTTAGGAACAAATTCGTGTTGTAAGCAATTATAGGGTAGTTGGCTAATTATCGACCACCTCGAAATCGCGTTCAATTATCGACCACTACTTTCGAACTTAATTTTCTTAGCTATTTTTTATTATTTATGGCTTAGAACTTTGTAGAGAGGTAGAGCATAGTCCAAAGTAGCTTTCTACAAAGTTTTAAGCCATAAATAATAAAAAATAGCTGAGAAAATTAAGTTCGAAAGTAGTGGTCGATAATTGAACGCGATTTCGAGGTGGTCGATAATTAGCCAACCACCCTATTTTTAGTCAATCGCCAGAACTTTCATTGTTAATTTTCCTTTAGAAATAAAATCAGACCCAGACCCAGACTCAGACAGACAGACCTCAGACCACACAGCCAGTCAAATCGTAACATTTATAACGAGTCGGAAAAGATTTGCAAATAAAAACACGAAGTTATTCAACAAAAATTCGTCTGCATTTTATACACGTTAGTCCTCGACAACACAACGCAATTCGATTAAATTGCCGATTTCGCTGAGAGGTTTCTTTCTAATAAGATAAATTTACGTTAGTTAGAATGTTAAAATTATGTTCGAATATGGCTTGAATTCGCATGTTTGTTTAAAACATTTTTTTAAAAAAATAAATATTTGACGGACAACATTTTAAAATCAATTAAACTTTAGAAATAAATGAATGGCGTCCAGTCTTGTTGTTTTTAACTTATTCTATTTTTTTCTGAGCTCACGTTTCGTTTACTGACTGGACGNGGGGATGATTTTCAAAAATCTTTTTTGAATATATTTTTATTTCCATCTCTTTTATGTTTCATAATTAAAAAATGACATGATTTTATATAAAGACAAAGTATTTGATGAGTAAAAGTTTTTTAATTTCAAGTTTCACATTGCATGGAAAATGTAAAAAGGAAACTTCAAATCGGTATGTCTGAATTATCATAAAAACTTGATATAAGAAGCAGATACTGTATAAAAATAAATTAAGGTTAAAAGCTTTGAATTTAATTCTAAAACTTCACATTACTGACTGGGCCAATGGTTGGGCATCAACCCTCTAAATGTGTTTCTAAAAGAACTTGTTCTGAGAAATCTGTAGCTAATTCTTCATCCATGCCTTGCTTCTTATCATGAAGAATGTCAGCTTTTTCCTCTTCGAATGTTAATCTTCAAAACTCAAATGATTAGAACGATGTTGTGTCATTCATCTTTGACATTAGTTACGGTATAAAGAAGTCCCTGTAATAAAATTAACTTATAAAAAAGGAAACATTTCAAAATCATGCGAACTTACTCCTTTTCTTTATACGTGAGCATATTTACTCAACAGAGATGCATTAATAATTCGCCATTTATGTAGACTCAGCAACTTCTGGAATTGCGCAACCTCAATAGACGCACATCTCTAAGTCAGGTCACTAATATTATTTTACCTAAGTAAAAGACAGTATTAAAAAAATAATCGAAATTTATATTAACAATTGGACAATTAACGTTGCTAAGAAACCAGGACAGGAAACGTTTCAACGCACTTAAATAGGGACCTCGCACCACGGATTAAGGCACTGGCAAGTTTTATCCCAAGTAGAGTTGCAAATAAATAATTGGAAAAGAAAGAGACCAGGCCCATTATATATTACGAATATTACCACGTCCACGCTGACCTGGTCAACGCCTTCTTTCGCGCCTTTGCGCCTGACTTTGACATGCCATCGCTAATGTGAGTATCTGCTTTAATCATGGAACCGATTTTCCTTGTTTCATTTCTTAACCCCTTAATTTCTTTTTCTCTTTTCTTTTTTTCTTAACAGACCTTGTCAACCCACGGAAGACTCTTCCGACGATCCCTCCAAAAAGACAGCCAAAACTTCAACCGAGAAAGTTGCTGGAGCTGCTGAAGGCGATCTCAGTGAGTCTTCACCACCAGAAAATAGTTCTGATTCCGATTTGGAACTCAACAACACGTAAGTTTTATTTTAACATTGCCTTCTTCATTTTGTTTCACAATTTCCTTTGTTCTCATCTTCTTTTTCAGAGTTGTTGCCGCTCAACTCGAACCTGTTGCTGATCAGGTCGATGTTTCCAACCAGGTCGAACCCGTAGTCGTTCCCGCTGAACCCGTAGCCGTTCCCGCTGAACCCGTAGTCGTTCCCGTGCGTCCGCGACCCGTTATCGAATACGAACTGGACAATGATGAAGATCCTGAATACGAATATTCGTAAGTTGCACATATCAAAGAAAATTCTATTATTTTTTTCCCTTTTCTCTTTTACACTTTTATTTCTTTTTTTTTTTATCACTTTCTTGAATTAATTTGTCCAATTTATCGTCGTAAAGGCTTTAAGCGCTGACACCAGTGTACGGTGTGTCCGATCCCGATGGCTATCCGATATAAACTAACTATCAGTGTGAGTGTATCCTCGTACCCGCCCGCTGTCGGTGTGGGTAATCTAGTACCTCATACCGGTACAGTAAGTTTTCTAAATAAAAAAACTTTGAATTTTAATTTCATTTTTAAAGTCTTCAGCTTTTAATTTCAGATTATTTTAATTTCTAATAAATAAGCACAATCGATACATGTTCGGGTATGTAAAACTTAGAATGAATATGAGCAGAGTGGACTATGGATCGTAAAACGTTACAAATTTTATTATATAAAATTGTTTTGAGACGAGTTGCAACGCAATTCGATTAAATTGCCGATTTCGCTGAGAGGTTTCTTCCTAATAAGATAAATTTACGTTAGTTAAGATGCTTATGCATCTTTAGAAACAATTCTCACCTTTCAGGAAACATTAAATCAAACAGAGAATTAATAAAAATGAACTTCGCGATCTTTCTTGGTTGATTTTAAAACGTAGGACGAATTTTCTATCCTTTTCTCGCAAGTTAATCCACGTTGATCCACGTTGATCCGAAGGGATTTTTTTAGATTGGAAACCGTGGGGATCGTCAAAATTATGTTCGAATATGGCTTGAATTCGCATGTTTGTTTATAACATTTTTTTAACAATATAAATATTTGACGGACAACATTTTAAAATCAATTAAACTTTAGAAATAAATCAGTCTTGTTGTTTTTAACTTATTCTATTTTTTTCTGAGCTCACGTTTCGTTTACTGACTGGACGCAATTCATTTATTTTTAAATATACTCAATTTCAGTCGTCACTAAATAAAGTTATCAATTAAACTATTAAAAAACAAATTAAAATAAAAATACTAAAATTGCTCGCTGTTCACTGGAGCCTCAGCGACACTGAGTCTTCTAAAATAATTCAACAAATCGAAAAAAACTAAATCAAATACGTTAATTGTCCAATTATAAATGATGGAAAAGAAGAAAATTAAATCTTATAAAGTTCAAAAAGTAGATAACTTTGCACTTCGTAGTTTTAAAAAACCTCAAGGTAAGTGAAGTGCAAAAAAAATGATTAATCAGTCTACAAACAGAATTTATGATGAGTTTGAGATTTCAACCAAAATGGAACACATTTTTGGGCTTTTTAAAATTAAATTTTTCATCTTTTCCATTTCGAACATTTTTTTAATAAATCTTTCACTTACTTTTTGCTGCATGTAAACTTCACTAAAGGTTGAATGCAAATGATCCTTCTCTTCAACGATTCACTTTAAAACGTGTGTAGCTGAAATAAAATTGTGCTCAAACTCTCGCGTAATGATCGAATAGAAGATAAGGAACAAATGAAAAGATATTGAAAGAGACGCAACGAGAAGAGATCTAAACTGCTTCGCACATTTCTCAATTTTTGAATCCTTCAATGTGAAGTAAAGGTGAAATTCATTCGATATTGTGTTTAGTTCTTAGTAAAGCCTCAAATAAATGTAGAAAACTCAATAGTTTGATTGAAGCCGACTGAAACAATTCGGATCTACTTACATTAATAATGACATGATTTTATATTTAAAGACAAAGTATTTGATGAGTAAAAGTTTTTTAATTTCAAGTTTCACATTGCATGGAAAATGTAAAAAGGAAACTTCAAATCGGTATGTCTGAATTATCATAAAAACTTGATATAAGAAGCAGATACTGTATAAAAATAAATTAAGTTAAAAAGCTTTGAATATAATTATAAAACTTCACATTATTCTATCTGGAAGTGAGTTCAAAAGGTGAACGTTAAGCATAATAATTTCGATTGCAATTTTAATAGAAACCATCTCATGTCTTAATTTTTGTTGAAAAGAAACTTCTTCTTAGCATTCTACATATTTTGTACCTTCATCTTCATTCATCGAGGTGGTTGCTTGTAAAATTCATGAAGAAGAAAAAGTTATGATGATCCCTGGAAATATGAGTTAACTTCATTCATATGTTTACAGCAGTTTGTGAGCTAACAGAGATGTTTATGCTTCTAAAGCATTTTCTTATCTTTCTCCTTTCTCGACATATTAAGTTGTTAGCGTAAAGATTTTCATTGACTTTACAATTTAATTTCTCATGCATTCACCCAACTAAATATGATTCTGAAAAGCCGGAAATTAAATCTTGTTCCTACATTAAGAGCAACAGAAACTAAGACGAACTTTCTGAATGCGCTTAACGGTCTTAAGCAAGAAGAAGAGATGGATAGAAGGCAAAGAAAGTATTACAAATTTATGACGGAGAAAATCTCTTGAGGAAGTAAATCTCTTTCATAGAGAATTCACGTCTTTGCAATTAAAATCCCCTCTTTAGCTTATTTTAAGAGATATAAAAAAATAGGAAAATATTTCACCAAAGCTTTTTTCTCGTTGAAAATATCTCAGCAAGAAAGCTGAAACAGATGTTTTTGATCGCATTAGATAAGAATCAAATAAAAAAAAGAATTGGGGTAAGAAAATCATGGAATTATCACCATGGACATGAAATTCCCTAAGAAAACATTGTGGCTTAAATTTTACCAGTTAGACAAGATATTTGCGGATATTTTGGAAGAGATGAAATTCTGATAAAAAAATCTCACAAGATTTTATCGAAATTCTTCTCTGAAATATATTTGTGATTTACGAGGATTTTTCTACTTAAAAAATTTCTTTTTTCTTCATTTTAATCTTGAAAATTTTTTCAACCAGAATGAACTAAGATCATAAAACTTCTTTGAAACGTCCATGGCAATAACAAGAAATCTGCTGTTCACTTGTAAATAGCCATTTTGCTTCAAAATTGTCAGAAATAAAATATCTTTTAAGAAAAGTTTGACTTTGCAAATTTTCATTTATTCCTTTTTCTTAAATTGTCATTAAATTGATTTGTACAAATTGGCATTTGCAACCCTGATAAATGATTAAATTTGAATCAAATGCACTTAAACGCTAAGTTTATAAGCACCAAGGTTGATGGTCACAACAAACCCTCACCAACAACTTCGACTTCATCACTACAGCAACCAAATTTGTTTATTTCCCTCTCACTCTCCCATTTATTCAATTAATTCTTTGAAAAGTTTGAGCAGTAAAACTGTTGTGAAAATGGTGAAAAGTAAATTGCGAGAAATATTTCGTTATCTTTTTGTTTTCATCTCAAAACGACTTCAACAATTTAATCTTTTCCAGTTACTGAACAGTTGATTCGAAAAAAGTCGGAACACAATGAGCTGCTTATTTTCAGCCTTGAGGAGATTTCATTACACCAGGAAAATATTGAAAGTATTGACTGCATTCAGGACTTTTGTCGTGAACTGAGAATTCTTCTCTTGCAATCGAATTTAATCTCAAAAATTGGTAATAATTCAATCCCCACTTCTCGTTCATTCCATTTTAAAGTTTCTGGTTTTTCTTTTTCTCTCTTCTGCTTTCTCGTTCACCAATTTCTTGTGCAATCATCCAGAAAATCTCAATAAATTGAAAAAGCTCGAGTACCTGAATCTCGCCATAAATAACATCGAGAAAATTGAAAATCTTGTTGGATGCGAATCGTTGCAGAAGTTGGATCTCACATTGAATTTTATTGGAGATTTGACGAGTGTTGAAAGTTTACAGAAAAACATTCACCTTCGGGATTTATATCTAACTGGAAACCCTTGCACGGGTGAGTATCGAAATGTTCTTTCGAATAAAATTTTCAATCAACTAATTGCCATTCAGATTATCCATCCTATCGCGATTACGTCATCGTCGCTCTTCCCCAATTGACATCGCTAGACGGTCGTGAAATTACAAGAACGGAAAGATTTAAAGCTCAGAAGAGCTTCGAGATGAACCGACGGGATGTAATTCAATTGCAGGTAAAAAGCACGCTAAGTGTTCAATGTACATAATGAAGCAAAACCGGATGGGACGAGAAGAAAAAAAAAAACGGAAGAGAAGGAAAAAAAATAACATTTAATTGTATTGCTTTCTTCGGGGATGTTATGAAAACTTTTCTTTTCCTTTTTCCGTTTTTCCCTCCCTCCCTTCTATCTCTCTTTCTCACTTTTATTTTCTCTTTTAATGGCGTTGTTTATCAACCTTTTTAATGTTTCAAACACCGTTGGCAATTAACTTTGACATCAATTTTATAAACTTTCTCTTTTGTTGGAAAAAATTAAGGCAAAATATCAAATTTCCCGTGATGAACAGAAGCTAAGGGTCGAGAATGAAATTCAAACGATGGCAAATGCTGATCTTGATGATGAAGAAAAGTTGAAAGAGTAAGTTTCAGTTGTTGCTGTAGCTGACTGAAGCATCATAATTTTTGTTTCATTTTTTCCCTCGTGAAAGATTTTGGAACATGAAGAGTGAAAATTGTCCAGAGATTCGACGAGAAATTGCTGAGAAGTCACGTCGCAAGAGCCGTGACAATCAAGTAAACCTTGTTGAGAAGAACAATGAAAAATTCACGCCCAAACTTTTCGCAAAATGTGGACGTCCTTATTGTCTCAATTTTCCAAAATTAGATTTCTCGTTTCATGATGAAACGGACCGTTACGAATTGGATTTGCATGTTTATAAGTAAAAAAATAAAATAAATTTCTTCGAGGGTAAATGTTTCATCTCTAATTGTAATTTTGTTATTTCCCTCTTCTTCTTTCCTGTTTTCATTCAGATTCCTCGACACGTCATTAATCGTTGTTGACGTTCAACCAAACTATGTTCGTGTCACTGTTAAAGGTAAATTTTTTCAAATGGCACTCAAGGACGAAGTTCGAATTGATGAAGCAACGTCTAAGAGATCTCAGACAACTGGTCATTTACTGATTGTTACGCCCAAATTAAATGTGAACAATTATGTCAGTGTCTCGACATTGTCTGAGAAATCGAAAAAGCAATCAACATTAAAAGAATCTGTTAATATTCGTGACATTATTCCCGACACACTCCAAGATGATTCAGAAATTCCGCCTTTAATTTAATTTAAATGCTTTAACTTATTTAAGAAATCGCTTTTCTTTATTTTTGATTAAAATTATTTCAAATCATTCTTTAGGTGAATTATTCTCGTGGCTTTACAAGAATTTAATAAAACAAAAAATCGACTAACATATTTACATTTAAATCAATTTGTGGGGGTGGAGAATTTTTTTTTGTCTTCGGAAAAGAAGGAAAGAAAATAAAGCGAATTTTGTCTAAATTTATGTTATTTAATGGAATTGAGAAGATGAAATGCTGATGACAATGATAAAAGTGAATTTAAACTTTCTTTTGCATTCGAAAAGATAAAAAGTAATTAAATTTGGAAATATTCCCGTTGTCATTGTTCAGCATTTCATTCATCTCAAAATCTTCTGTCATTCATTACATTCCTGATGCAAATTCAATCTTAGATCTTAAAAAGTCGACTAAGACAAAATTCACGTTGATTTCGATTTTAACATGAGAACAAATAATCGATTTCTACGTGATTTATCACTGAAATTTGGATAAGTTGCTAAATGGCAGACATAATCACAAATTGGTATTAACAAAATTCCAAATTTCTTCCAGACTTTTCTTTTTCGTTTGTTTTGATGACTAAATTGAATTGTCAGATTTTCACATTCACCAAACATTCACACATAAAATTAATGTGGATCTATTACAATTGTTATCATCATTCTTATTGATAGCTAGGTGGAGGAGAGCCAAAGCTGAAGCCATTTTTGTTGGGATCGCCGAGAACTGACGGGTCTTGTGGGAGATCTTGTGGTGATGGATTCCTGAATTGTTCGGCTGATAATCTTGTGAATAAAATTCCTACACCTTCAATTAAAGCTAATAGAACGCCACCAATGATGGCACTTCCAGTCATTGCCGCTACTCCATTACGTGCTGCTAAGATTCCGCCAGTTGCTGCTCCACTAACTATACTGTTCCATGGATCTTCCTTTTGTCTGAAGTGTACCAATGTACAATCTATTGTACTAAACATTCCACCCCAAACAGCAAAATTTCCAGCGATAATTGGTGATCGAGCTTTGATTGATGTTAAACTTCCAATCTAGAAAGCGATCATGAGTTTCAATGCCATTGATTGCATCACAACTAACAAAATTTACTCACAAATCTACGCGATAATCCTGAAGGAGCATTTCTGAAACCTTTTATTGCTTGGAAAACACCCCCACCGATGCAACCCATTGCAAATGCACCACCGCAATCATCAACGATGCGATAAGGACAAGGTTCTCTGGCGTATTCCTCCATTTCGATTAATTTTGTTTATTCTGAAAAAGTCACATTGGAAAAATTAAGATAAATGGTTAACTTGATGAAATCGATGATGAACTCGGGTTTTCTCATAATTTTGATAAAGAAGTTTTAGTTTTTCACCTTTCTCAATCACCTCTGTCTTTGAGTGGTGTCGTCGCTCGCTGAAATTAGTCGATTTAAAAATTAATTCTTCGAACAAAAGTTTTGAGTTTGTTCAGAATTTTTTTTTTCGCATTAAGTTCGTTTCGTTAAGTTTTCGTTAACTCTTGATATTCACTTTCAGCCTTATTCATATGACGCTAAGGTCAAAAACGCTTGCTCACACACATCTCTAGATTTTTTCTCTTGAAAGTTTAACTTCTAATAATATTCATATTTGAGTTAAAAATAGGAAACATTTCATCATTAAAATATTAAAAATCAGTGCATAAGAACATTATTAAAAAGGTGAATTTGGAAATTTCGTCGAAAGCGACGTATTCTCAACAAAAAACTTAAAAGTAAATTACCATCGAAGCATTTTTTTTCGACTTCTCTCCATCTCACTCTTTTCTTGTTTTTAGTTCACCGCTACATTTATTTTTATTTGTTCTTTTAACCGTGAGTGAAAAAAATGCCGCGAAAACGAGCTTCGGGATCATCGCCTGATAAACCGAATCCTACACCTCGTCGAAATACTCGTCGGGGTCGAAACAAATCTGAAGAGCCCGAGGAAGTTCCAGCAGAAATTCCTCGTCATTTATTAAGAGGCTCCGATGAATCTTCAGAAGAATCAGATAATGATTCGGATTACGGAAGTCCAAAAAAGGGACGTGGTCGAGCAAGAGGTCGGGGCCGTAAGGCAAAGGAACCGGCAGTTACGACTGAGACGCCAGTTCAACGACCACGTCGGGGAAGAAAAACTGCTGCTGCTGCTGCTGCAAGTACAACTATAACGACAGTAAGAGAACCATCACCAGACCATGCTGATCATTCACAATCAACACAGGAAACTGGTGAGACAACAACAGAAAATGAAGCATCGGAACCGTCATCAACTGTTAAGCCAACACAAGAACAAGGAAGTGAAAGTGCTGCCGCCGATTATGTCTTAATTGAATCCTCACCAGTCGAAATAAATGAAACATCATCCGAACCAGTCACTCACGACAACGATCCAGGAAAGGTAAGTGAAGTAACAATTGAACAGGATTCTTATAATGACCAAGCGCCTGTTGAACAAGAAGAAGACGGAAGTAAAGAAAATGATGTTGAGACTGGTCGTGAAAGTGTTGACAATGTTAAAGATACGAGTGAAGTTGTGGTCGAGAAAAAGGACTCGCCATCGATTGAGCCTGAGAGAATTGAAATCGAAACTGAGCCAATAGAAGAAGATGCACCAGAATCGTCTGCAAATCAAAGTGAATCGCGTTCAAACTCATCTGAAAAAGAAGTTTATAAAAAGAATCGAAGACGTTCTCGATCAAGTTCCGGAGAAATTCCTGAAGAGTCAATGGAAGTTGTTGAAGAGAGTAAAGAAAGAATTTCTCATGAGCCGGAGAAAAAGAAGGAAACAACACCAGAAGTGAAGAAAACGGTCGAGGAGAAACCTTTTCAACGTAAACGAAAGTGGACTGCAAGAAAGACTGACGATCAACCAGTTATTGCGATCACAACTGATTCTTTAAAGACAATTATTTCAGAAGAAGTTAAGCCAGTTCCACTTAGTGATGTGAAGCTTCTCACTCCATCACCTGATCGAGAACCAGAAGAAAAACGTTTACGTACAAAGTCAACAGCTGACGATAAAGACGCTAAAAAGAAACTTCTTAAAGAAAGATTAAGAAAGCAAGAAGAGGAAGAAGAGCGAAGGAACGAAATGCTTGTCAAAGCTATTGACAAGACTCAAGCATCATCGAATGGCGCAACAGCATCGAATGGAACTGCTGTCTTGTTAAAAGATCGTAAAATTTCAATGATTCTTGACGATTCAACATCAGCGCAACCGCCATCGCCACCGAAAAATGAAAGCTCAAACATTCTTTACATTACAAACTTAGTGCGACCATTTACACTTCTTCAATTGAAGCATTTGTTGCTAAGAACGGGAAAGATTGTCGAGAATGGATTTTGGATTGATAAAATAAAGTCAAAATGTTATGTGAAATATGAAACTGAAGAGTAAGTCAAGAAAATCTTTTTTATCTTTACATTTTTAATAAACTTCTCATCTTTCCAACAATTAGTGAGGCAAGTGAAACTCGACACGCATTGCATGGTGTCACATGGCCATCGTCAAATCCAAAATGTTTAAATGTTGACTTTGGAAAGGAGGAAGACATGGAAAAAGCAATTTTATCAACTTTAGACGATTTTCCAAGAATTCAAATAACAACAGAGAATCGCAGTGCGAAGGAAGAGAAGGATTTTGGATGGAGTAAAGATCCATATAAGACATCGAGCGTTGAGGATCGTTCAAGGGTAAATTTAATAAACAAAAATGATGAAAATTTCTTAATTAAAATTAATTTAAATTTACAGCCTTCTCATAACCGCCCGGTTCGTGAATGGGATGTTGGCAAAAAAGACAAAGAGGAATATGAGCGTGAGGATCGTGACAGAAGTCGTCGACGACGTTCATCAGAGCGTGAAAATCGTCGTGAGAAGGATCACATCAAGAAGGAAGAAAGACCTGAACGACGTCGTAGTTTAAGTGAATCTCCAGGTAAATTTTTGTCTTTTTATAAATTTGCCAAATTATTTTCAAAATTATTTTCTTTATTCAGGTCGCAAAGTTGAAAAAATTGAAGGTGATTCGCAGCCAGTTCGTCTCTTGGATGATTTGTTCAGAAAGACCAAAGCAATTCCATGTATTTACTGGCTTCCTTTATCAGCTGAACAAGTAAGAAAGATAATTTAGTTATAGAAATATTTAATACTTCTTCACTCATTCATAGATCGTTGAAAAAGAGGAACAACGTCAAAAGAACCTCGCCGAACATGAGCGTCGCATGGAAGAAGTTCGCAAGCAACGTGAAGAAAGAATGCGTGAACGTAGACGTTCAAATTCGCGTGACCGACGTAGAGAACGTAGTCGTGACAGACGTAGAAGATCAGTTTCACGTGATCGTAGATATAACCGACGTTAAAATTCTTTTCTATTTTCCCCTTAAGAATTTTCTTCTCCCCTTTTTTAAATTAATGATTTTCCTTATTTTTTTTTCTTGTAATCAAATCCAAAGAGAAAGAAAATATTCTTTTGGATGACATTTTGTTTCCTTCATTTTCAATTAATATTCAGAATTAGGAAAGAAAAAAAACAAACTTTCATGTCACACTTTCACACACACACAAAGATTAAAGTGACAACTCATCTTAACAGCTCGATTGATCAAAAACAAGTCAGTTGTAAGCTTTGTTAACAAAACAATTTTATTGGAATAATTATTATTTGCTTGCTTTTTCATGCTTTTCTTCATTTCTTTCTTTCTCTTTCTTCTGCACCAGAAACAATTCTTAAATAGCCAATAAGAAATAATAATTTGAGTGTTTTGTTGTGTAAAAGGAGGAAGTGTAGCTCTTAGTCTCGTTAATTTTATGAAATGCTCCCCCCCAATCAACCACATACAAAAATGGCAGATGATTTGAGTTAAAAATATAAGAAAAAGAGATGGAAGTCAATGAAAGGCGCAATTCATCATCATTTAAGTGGATTGAAGATATTTGAATAAAAATAAATCTTTGTAATGAAAAGTATTCGCTCGTTCGATGGATTTACTTCGATTATCATCGTGGGATTAAATAAATGAGAAGAAATGCAAACTTTAATAACAATTGGTAACAAAACAATGAAATGGATTCGATAAAATGATATGATTGAAGAACACAAATTAGAAATGGATAAAAAATAAAATAATTAATCTTTAAATGTGTTTTTTGTACTTTTTCACCGTTTCAGGTTCTCAATTAAAATAATTAGAAGATATTTTGGAAGTGAAATTGAAAATATTTTTATTATTTATTAGAATTACAAATGTTTATTCAGTTTTACATTTCTTTGCATCTGGCTCATCATCGTCAATTGTTTCTTCTTTTTGAACGACTATACCATCGCTATCCTTGACTTCTGAAGCTTCTCTGATTTCTTTTTCAAGACTTATTTGACTTTCCACTGAAGTGTCGTGCTTCATGAGTTCCCGAAGTGCCATCGTAGCGTAAGTCGAAGATGGAAGAATGAAATCAAGAATAATTGCCATGTTTTTACCCTCTGGATCATCTTCTGGTTCGGGATCCTTGAAAATTTTCGAATAATCAGATAATATGAGATTTGCATCATGATTTTGATATTTCATAAACTTCCAACTGAAATTTTCTGGCTTAACGAAAACCTTTCGATATGCGCCGGTTAATGAGAAAACTCTGCGAATCATAAAATAAAATTTAGAAAATTTAAAAATAAGATTTGAGACTTTAACTTACGGTTGTTTGTTTTTTAATTTTTCCGATGATAATTCGTCAATTGATAGAAGTTCATCGTAGAAAGATCCAACAACATTACTTGGATATTTGATGTCATAACCAGGAAGTGGCAACACAATGTCATAAATTGTGAAATTTCCACTGTTGACATCATCAGCTGTCAAATGACGAACCATTGTTAAAAATTTTGACTCAATTGTCTCTTCACATGCTTCGTCTTCACTCAATTCCTGATTAATTTCAATACCTTCAGTTTCCACTTTCGGTTCTTCAGTGAAAATTAAATCACCTTCGAGTACATTCAACCCCAACTCTCGTCGTTTGCTTGCAACTTTATTAAAGATGAGACTTTGATATGCGTGGGTGTAGAGCATTAGCATATTTCTTGGAAGGTTGAGAAGTGCTTGGAGATAATTTGTCGAGCCATTTTTAATGAATCCATGAAGAAGGCGAGCTTCAACACAAGTGTTGGTTGTGTGAAGACAGTCAAGTGTCTGTTTCGGATCTTTTGTTTCTGCATAACATTTTCTCATTTTCTGCATGTAGAAAGGTTCACCGTCGCGTTCTTGAAGAATCAACTCACATGCTAATTTGAAGTCAGATGCAAGAAGTGCTTTGCCGATTAAATATGTTGGAACTTTAACGCAATTTCCAAACCTTTGGAGTCCGTAATAATTGAGAAATCCAATATCTCTCAAACTTTGAAGTGACTTTTCGATTTCCTTCTCATCGCCATTGATTGAACGCAATGCGATTCTAAATCGATTTCCTTTCAAACATCCAAGTCGAAGACATTCAGGTTCGAATTTAAAGTTTCCAACTCGAATTCCTTGACATTTCTTTGCAGTTTGGCAAATCTTATTCGGTTCCATTTTCTTCACACTGATCCATTGCGATGTTTTGGCTCGCTTATCTTTCGTTCCAGCATAAGTGAAGAATGACGGCTTCACACCCAACTTTTGACTGAGTAAAGCGATAGCCTGTAATGTGTCAATATTTTCCTTATGTAGTATAAAGTAAGTGAACTCATGAGGCCATTTCCATGCATGTCCTCTTGCTTTTTCTTTCATCGTCGATTTATTGATTTGAATGAACTTTTTATCATTCTCACTTATTGTGTTGTTGAATATTTTATCACCATGAATACTTCGGAGAATTTTGTGGAGCTTTGAACGTTTGTCTTTGTCAAAATCAGTGACATCAATAAGTACAGACTTTGATTCTTCCTCATTTTTCGAATCAATAAGTTGTTCAATGAGTTTTCGTTGCTCTTCGTTAATTAACTCTTTAAATTCAACTTCATAGTCTTCCTCAGGTTCAACAGTTTCTTCAGAAATTTCAGGTAAAGCAAATTCACTTAACACAGCTTCATTTCCATCCAAGTCGATTTCATTAACATGAAAGTCAGAATATCTGTGGGAAAATATTTGAAATTTTGTTTAATTCTTGTTGACTTGATAATTACCTCGACTTGATAATTCCCTGAAAACCCTTTGTTGTAGAAATAAATTGATTAGCACCAACATCTTTTTCAGACAATCGTTCTTCCGTTTGCCATTTATTTTCTCTTCTGTCTGATTGAAATCTATTCGATTCTTTTCTTCTCGAATTGAAATTTTCTTTTCTCCCACCACGGAAATTTCTACGTTGATTACGAAAGTTTCCACGATTTCCTCCCATTTTTAATATTGTTACTTTTCTCTCAGTTTATCTGTGATAAAAATTGTTTTCAATTCATGAGGTTTTATTTCGCGTGGTTTTTGTTTATGTTTGTCGAATTAAAAAACTTCTGAGGGGTGCGAAGTTGACATTTTATGAAATTTTAAATATTGCCATGTACCCCGACAAAAAGCTTTGTATGAAAGCTCTCTAAAGATCTTCAATATATTTGACCGGTGTTATATTGGGAAGGTTATAAAAATTTGCTTAGTTATGTTGATAAATCAATTATTTATTCAATCGGGATTCATTTTACAATTCAACCGGATTAAATCATAAAAGTAATAAAATGTGTACTGATATTCTATCTTATCACAATTCACGGAGAACATCGATAACACTTAACGGTTATAAAAGGAAATCTTTGATAGATTTCTTTATTATTATTGTGAAAGAAAACAAAGAATGAAGCTTTTAATTGTTCTCGTGATATTCTTTCTGTTTGACGGTATTTACAAATTATAATTGGTAGAAAATTTATAAATTAATTTCATTTCTCAGAGTCACTGGGATCGCCTGCATTATCCAGACAAGATGACATCAAACCGAAAAGTCATCGATGGGAATTGATACCTGATGACGAAGGAAGAATGCATTTAATGGACATGAGTTCATATGTTCATTCTGTTGATCCACATTTTGATGCTGTTACCGACACAATTTTCATTCTGTTCACGCGAAGAAATCCAACTTCTGGTCAAGTCATCACTCCAACTTTGGCATCTATTCAAAGTTCATTTTTCGATAGAAATCATCCAACAAGATTCACTGTTCACGGGTGGAATGGAAGTCCACAATCAAGAGTTAATTGGCTAGTAGCTGAAGAATATTTCCGATATGGCGATTACAACGTAAGTTAAAAATAATTTTCACTATCAACACTAAAACTTTGATAAGTGATTCTAAATCTTTGCAAAGATGATAACAGTTGATTGGACTGCTGGAGGGACAACATTGAATTACATCACAGCAAGAAATCGTGTACGAGCTGTTGGGGGTGTAATTGCTAATTTCATTGACTTCCTTCATGAAAATTCTTATCTTGAATTTGAGAAACTTCACGTTATGGGACATTCTTTGGGGTGATAAATTTGCCTTATCTTTGTAATTTCTTTATTGTATATTTGATTCATAAATCAGTGGACAAATAGCAGGTTTGACAGGAAAGCAAGTTCGTCGTGGAGTCATCCAAGTAATCAGCGCTTTTGACCCAGCGGGACCACTTTTTAGTCTCGACAATCCTAATGAACGCATAGCCCCAACCGATGGAGTTTACGTTGAAAGCATTATAACTAATGGAGGCTTATTGGGATTCATGGAACCGATTTCTCATGCAACTTTTTATCCAAACTTTGGAAGAGTTCAACCTGGTTGTGAATCTGACATTACTGGGCAATGTTCGCATTCAAGATCGACACTTTTGTATGCTGAATCGATAAACTCGATGTTCACTGGTCAAGAATGTTCGTCGTTTGAAGAGATCAGAGATGGATCTTGTAATCCGACAGGAAGAACTGGTAGATTGGGTGGACCACAAGGAAGCATCGGTCAGAGGGGAAATTTCTTTATGGAAACAAATGCTGTCGAACCTTTCTCAAGAGGATAAATGAACTTTCAAATAAATAAGCGTCAGCATGCATTTTATTATGAAATAAAAGTCAATGTGATGACAGAAGTTACTTTTTCACTTGTCAGAAATAAAAAACTCCCTTTCAATAAAGAATTTTTGAGATCAAATTGATGAATAATTTCAAATAGTACTGAAACACAATTTTCTTATGAAACTATCTGTTTGAACAAATGGAATAACCAGATGGAAAACAAGTTGTTCAACGAAAATAAAATGATCACAATTCATGTAGTTTTTGAAGATAATTTCGCTTTAATGTGCAAAATTATGGAAATTTATCATGAAATTTAATTTATCATAAAATTTCTCAAAAAGTTTTATCCAACTATTGAACTGATGCATTCTGCAACTTCAAATGCTGTATTGGCTGGATTTGCTCCTGAATCTATGTTCTTACAATTTTTCCAGACAATATCCACACTTTGAGGTGGAAGCTGTTCTATTGCGTTGAAGTTATCACTCAAAGTTCCGTCTTCGTTATACTATTGCAATAGAAATTACAAATTTAATGAGATTTTCACTTTTCAAAATAATTTAACTTACCATTCCCATTCCAACCCCCATGCAATATAAATATTCTTTTTCGATTTCACTTGGAGGTATCCCAAAACTCCTTAAATCCTTTTGCTTCAGATTAAGACTTTTAAGACATTTATTTTGAATTGACACAATATTGGCCAAATTATCTCCAATAACAGCATTGACACTCACAAAAATTAATAAAAAGTTAAAGAACTTCATCATCAAGACGTCTTTATCAAAGAAGTATCAAAAGTAAATTAAAGTATAAAACAGCTTGTGAGACGTTAAATAGTTTATTTGCTTTATTTATTCATCACTCATACAAAGGGAAAAATTATTCACAAATTTCTCTGAAAATTTTTATTAATGTTTTAAGAAATTAAATGATCGAATAAATTATTCTTCGCTAGGAATCCCCAACGGTTTCTATAATGCAATTTTCAACTTCATAGGATGTATCAGCTGGTATCGGTCCTGGAATTATTTTCATGCAACTTGCTTTAATTTTCTCTTCCATGTCACACGTGTACATTTTTCGATTGAAATCCTTAGACAAAGTCCCGTCATTATTTCTCTAATTGAAATCAAAATTTAAGGAACTTTCAAGACCCTAAGATTTAACATGAAAAGTTTACCTGCCCATGTCTTCTCTCCATGCAAAATTGAAAATCCTTTTCTATCCGACTTGATGGGTCATTGAAATTCCTAACATCTTCAAAACTCAGATCATTAGACACGAGACATTTTTCAACAATTGAATCACCACAAACAACATTTATGAACACAAAAATTAATAAAAAATTGAAAAAGTTCATCGTAAATTTAATGTTACTTGTAAGAATATCAAAATCTAATTATTGTGTGGCAATAAATTGTTTCGGGCACCAAGTTTTATAATTGGTTGATTAATTAAAATCATTATCAGTCGTGGAATATCTTTACTTGTTTGCAATAGAAAAATTAGATTTTTGATGCGATTGAGCGTCGTGTTAAACACATTAAACACTGAGTTGACTACGATTTTATGTATTTAATTACCTTAATATACATTTTTATATATTTAATTTGTAATTAAATTGATTGAATTAACGAGAAGAAAATTAAAACTTGTTTTTTAAATTTCTGTAATTAATTAATGCTAAACTTTGTACCTTTCTTAACTATACAAACATTTGATATATATTGAAAACTTGGACTCATTATTCAAATTTTGTTGGCTTAAAATTTTTATGAAAGCAGCCTTCGAGTTGCTATTTATATATTGGAATTCTAATTATTGAAAGGTGAATGGCATGTGCTGTTCTAATTACATATTTTTTACTTTTATCGTGAGCTTTATCACGAATATCTAAACTTAAAAGAAGCAACATTTTCAACTTTTATCTCAGATATTATTTCAAAGCGAAAGCGAAATTTAAGAATGAATTTATTTATTGATATATCTTGTCATCCTTTGCTGCTTCAAAACAGTTTTCTCTAGAGAATTATGTGGATCACCATTTAAAGAGTTAAATAGTGTATTCGATGTCGCTGGAATAATTATAGAGAAGGCAATCGATAATACCTTAATATCTTACATCATTGAGACAACGGATTCTCTGGAACAAATTACAGCTACCGATGAAATGAAAACGCAAAAAATTCAAGAATTTATAAATAATGTTGAATTGGATGCATTTGAAAGCTCTGAAGTTTCACATTATTTTGGAAGTCTCCCTTCTCAAAAACAAGGAAACGAGTTTAAACTTGCATTGTTAACGAAACTTCTTTCAAGCTTCCGAAACACATTTAAAGATATTTCAAATTTAGTGAATAATGAGCTAAATGAAGAATTAAGTCCTGAAGATTTGCAAACTGTTTTTGAATCTATGGCAAACCAAGTGCGACTTGAATTTCCGTTGTCATGCATTCAAGAACCGCTATCAAACCTTTCACAATTAATATCTGCAAAGGATTCGGAATTCATTGAATTGTATTCTGTTGCTATTGAATCACTGAGGAACTAAGCTCAAATTGTCATAGCAAAGTTTAAAATTTTTTAATTTTATTGCAATTATTCGAGGTATACATTTGTTGTAACACATAAAATCAAAACTTTTCAATGTTCCTTCGTTTGATTTGAAATTCAATAAAATTAAGGGATGAAATTTATCTCATGAAGTAGGTAATTAAAGAAAAGTAAGATTATGAAATTTTTTATAAATATTAATCTTTATTAAATTTTTAAAGAACAAAAAACTCAAGCTTATTCAGTAATTATGTCAAATTTTTTAAGTAATTCAATGGTTGCTTTAAAATTAATTCCTTCCCTGATGACTTTACATCGATTTGTTTCTGATAGATCGATGACTGTTGAACCAAGTCGATGACTTTCAGCTTCACTCAAACATCCACCATCGAAAACGCATCCAAGCTTTCCCCATAAATGACTGAATTCGGAAATGTTCAAAGCACTTCTTTCACTGCTTAGGTTTGCTGATGTTAGTGCCATTGGTTGATTGAAAGCTCGACAAACATTTCGAATGAAAGCGAAATCAGGAATTCTGATGCCTATTTTAGACACACCAGGATTAATGAAAGGATTGTTTAGATGTTCACTCTTATCGAGAACTATTGTGACTGGTCCAGGAAGCAGCTGTGCAATCAACTGATTTGACAAATGATCAGCACAACCCCAATGTCTTAAGTCACTGAAATCACTCACACAAATTGCTACCGGCTTTTCCTCATTTCTTCCTTTTATTTTATAAAGTTTTTTTATCGCTTCTGGATCATTTGCACTGCAAGTTAATCCATAAATTGTGTCGGTAGGAACGGCAATAACTTCTCCTGACTTTAAAAGGTTTGATGCTAATTGAACAGCTTCGGGGTTTTTTGTAGGAACTACTTTTGATAATGATTGATGATACATTTTTCTTCTAATTATTCTCTGTATTCGACAGTTAAAATTCATTTATGTGAATCTAATCTCTCCAATTATGTCCACAAGCAAGGTTACAACATTTAAAGAAATTTGTCATTGGCTCATCTGCACTTCTAATTTGCATTTGCATGAAATATGCACGACCATGGCTACAAGCAGGACAAACAGCATCAGTTGAATCTACGTTCTTCCAAGCTTCACTGCCGCCCATAACATTATTATCAACTTCCTAGAATAAAAAAAGCTCGATATGGTTAAAAATTCTGAATTAAAAATTAAATTAACAAACCTTTAATTTCGGATAGATTCTTTCAGAAATCTTCTTTTTAATTTTAGATATATATGGACCTGTCAATGAAAGTAACAATTATTTCTGAATCTTAAGAAAATTACAAAGAAAAACTTATTTACATGTAGCACATGACAATCTAAGGCAAGTAGAAGAATACTCTACTAATAAAAGGTTCGAGCAAGTAGGACAAAACAAAAGCATTATCTGATAAACTTAATCATTAACACTTGTGAGTTTTAAACTCTATTTAACTCGAGTTTTCTGAAGAATGAAGCACTAATTTCACTAATTTATAATCTGTTATTACTTGTATTGTTTAGAGATGGGTGCGAAACTAAAAGAACTGCTCATATAGTTCCATCCCCTCGCTTGAATCGAAAAATTTTCGAAATTTAAACATTTTCCTTACACCGAACAATTCATTTAAAAATGGACATCCCAGCACATGTAGATAAAACTTTGAGTTCACTTTTAAACGTCTATTCAATTGTTTGTAAAGGTGAGAATAAAAAAGATTTGATCAATTAGGGTAAACATAGAAATTTCACAATTTTATTTTTGGCGGGGTTTTTTTGTTGATTATTTTCCTGTTTATCGATGTAAACAAATTCAGAAAACCCTGAATATGCAAGTTTATGTGTGCCAACAATAAAAAATCTGGTAGAAGAAGTGTGCAAGCTTGAAAAGGAAGCAAGTCTTTTCAAGGATCAGACTGAAAATGCTTCAAGTTCAGTCATTGTTTCCGGAAAGGAAACTGACCGTTTTAAACAATTCGGGGAAGACCTTGAAAATATTTATTTAACTATGAACACAGAGTCAGATGAGAGAACGATGAACGGCGAAAACTCAATGGAAGAAAATCCAACCATTTATGATCCCATTACGAAGAATCCAATAGCAGATCCAGTTCGTAATGTGATTTGTAAGCATGTTTATGACAAAATTTCTATTACGGCAGCTATCACTCAGAATAAGTTGCATCGGTAAGTTTTAAATGACATTAAATAAACTTGATTTTATGATAATTTCTTATTTCATTTCAGTTGTCCATATATAGGATGCGTTAATAAGAGAATGAGTCTCTCTAACTTAAAACCAGACAACGATTTGAAGCGAAAAATCATGTCATCGCAAGCTGACATAGATTTAATCTAAAATATTTCAAGACTACTCAACAATGGCTGTTATTAAACTATTTAAATATTTCATAATAATAAAAACACACAACAATAAAACACATCAATAAAAAGACATTAGATAATTAACGGCTTTTTATATTTTGAATCTTTGTGTACATTGCAATCTGGTATTCCAGCATAAAAGAATTCAAAACAAAGAAAAGAAAATTTTTGCAAAAGAGATTCGCCAAATAATTCGATAAAAGAAACAAGAGTCAGTTTTTATAACAATGAACAGCTCATGGATTGAAGAAACACATGGTGACGCATTGGAATTGGATGCAGACGAAGTAAGTAAAGTTTTCATGAAATATTTCAAAATGTTGTAAATTATTGCGTTTTTGCTGATGTTTACAATTGATAATTTAAATTTATGAGTCATTTGAATAATTTTGAAGTTATTCCAGGAGATCTTTAATCAATTTGATGTTATACTGACCCGTGTGCCAGCTTCACATATTAACGAAATCAACGAAGTTGGAGTTATTTTCATCTTTAAGAAACAACAAAGTTATTTCATCGAATGGAAGCCAAATGAGAATGTTGAAATTGCTGGTGCTGAAATTGCAGAAGATGCAATTGACGAATGGAGCATTATTAATCAAATCACATTTAAGCCAGCTGCAGATTCCATCAGTATTCTCTCTCCAAAATTGAAGAATCTTCGGATTCCGCTTCCAGACATTCAACAGCTAAAAGTTCAAGGTCCAGAGTTGAAATTGTACAATAGAAATGATCAACACTTAGTAACTTATAATTTTAAGCGATCAACACCAGCTTCATTTATAAGAGTTCTTCAGAATTTCCGTTTGCTTAAGCCAAGTGTACATGACAGAAATTGTTATCTCATTAAAGATCCGGAATTTGAAAAACTCCAAAGATCATTCGCTGAATTAAACATCGAAGAAATTAAAACAGCGAAATCACCACCACGACCATTTTATGCACACGGTTACGAACTTCTTTCACAAATTGGTAAAAACGTTCTCGGCAATCGAAATGATCGAATTTCGCATCAAAATCGTCCCGGTGCTTATCGATTTGAAATGGGATCTGACACTTTATCAAGCAACGATACGAGTCCTGAGATGGACAATAAAACTGAAGTAGTTGATAATAATGTAATTGAAGAGAGACTTCCATTAAGGCAGATAAAGAAACGTGACAGTCCATTGTCATTGAAACAATGGCGTGAATTTAAAACTGAAGATGGGCGAGTTTCTGATCCAGAAAGAATTAAGGAAATTATTTTTCGTGGCGGTGGTGAACCTTCATTAAGAGCTGAATTGTGGAAATATTTACTCAATTATGACATGTGGGAGCATTCGAAAATTGAACGTGATGAAAGACGAAAAGATCTTGAGGAAGAATATTATCGAATGAAGTTACAATGGACGACAATGTCGAAGAATCAAGAAAAAAATCATTCAGGATATCGAGATCGAAAATGTCAGATTGAGAAAGATGTGAAGCGAACTGATAGAAATCTTGATTTCTACAATGGTGACGATAATCCCAACATCGAGAGACTTCAAGCAATCTTATTGACTTACGTGATGTACAATTTCGATATTGGATATGTTCAGGGAATGAGTGACTTGTTGTCGCCAATTCTTTATCTTATTGATGACGAAGCTGCTTCTTTTTGGTGCTTTGTAGGATTTATGGAGAAAGTCTTTAGAAATTTCGATGAAGATCAAGCTGGAATGAAGAATCAACTTTCAAAACTTCGAACATTGATGGAGTTTGCAAATCCTAAATTATTTAAATATTTAAAAACCCACGACTCTGACAACATGTACTTCTGCTTTAGATGGCTGCTTGTTTGGTTTAAACGTGAATTTTCTCATGATGATATTCTTAAGTTGTGGGAAGTTTTGTGGACGTCAATGCCTTGCATGAATTTCCACATGTTCATTGGATTGGCGATTCTCGACAGTGAAATGAAGACTATAATTGAGAATGAGTACGGATTTACAGAAATCTTGAAGCATGTCAACGATCTTAGCGAGAAAATGAACTTGCAGCATATTCTAGAAGTGGCTGAAGCGATTTATTATCAAGTCATAAATTCAAGTAAACTTGTTGATCGTGTACGAATCATTGTTGGATTAGATCCAATAAACACATACGGCGACGATCCATATAACAGCGATGACGAAGAAGAAGCTCAAATTAAGAGAGAACAAGAAATGAAACTTAAAGTGGAAATTGATCATTCAAGATTTGTTGAAGAAACGTGCGATAATGCTTTGGATCAGAATTATTTTTAGTTTAATTTAATTAATTCACCCATGATGAGATAGAAAACTTTTCTTCTTAATTTCCTAAATTTTCAACAACAAACATGCAGCTTTTTATTATTCTTTAGTTCTTGTGACAAGACATGTATCTAAATCAGCACTTGAAAGTGATAAATTCTCAGAGAATGTGAAACAATTTCAAGTTTTGATTCTTAATGTTTTTCTTTATAAAAGTGAAACCTGTAATTATTGTGGTCAATTATTTATTCAAGTTTTCATTGCACAAAATCATTCTTAGTGTCAAAAATGTAGAAAAGAGATTAAAGTTATGATCACAACATTTATTTTTATTTATTGTACATCATATTGTACAGTGAATTCTCAATGAAATGAAAAATCTCTCTTACCGAGAGTTCACTGTAAAAGGAAAATTTTCCATCACAATTTTCTTTAGAAACTGTTTGTCTAATGAATGTGATCAGCTATGGTTAATGGAAAGTGAAATAAATAAAGGAACTTGAATATTTTTATAGAAATCAATTCTTTTTAAAAGCTTTGTAAAAGCTCACTCGAAAGCTTTAAAATTTATTTTTAGTGAAAGCTCAGCGACGTTTATCAGCTTCATTAGTCGAGCCTGCTAACTTCTTATCGTTCTTACCATTTTTAACGTTTTGATTGACATATTTATGGGCATATTTTGATATTAAATGTTAATCTTATTATCAAAAAATTAAACCAATTTTATCTTCTCCTATAAATATCTTAATTGAGGTGTGAAAATTAAACATTTGTTGATTGAAAAATGAAGTGTTTAGTTCTATCGTTGTTGCTTTTTATTGATGGTAAGTGAATAAAAATTAGTAATGATGTAAAAATAGTTTCAAGTGATGTCATTTACCAGTTTCGTTGGCATCACCTTTGCCACATCATGACGGAATATTGGAAGAAATTAAACAGAATATCGTCATCGAAGATCCTAAACATCGATGGTCAATGGTTCCAGATGCTGAAGGAAGAATGCATTTGATTGATTTAAATCCTTACGAAATGCCAGTCGAGCCTTTGTTCAATGCTGCTGCTGACATTCGTTTCATTTTACACACGCGTTCAAATCCAACAGCTGGCCAAGTCATCCAATTAGAAAACTTGGCATCATTACAAAACTCAAACTTCAATCCAGCACATGAGACGCGCATAACAATCCATGGATGGCTGGGAACAGCTGGTTCAACTGTTCATGTTAACACAAGACCTCAATACTTAGAAGTTGACAACTTTAATGTAAGTTCACACGAAAGTTCTTTAAAAAATTATCGAAAAAAATCTTTCTTAGTTGGTGACCGTTGATTGGAGTGTTGGAGCTTCAAGTATAAATTATATCACTGCTAGAAATCGAGTTGACGATGCTGCTGCTGTCGTTGCAAGATTCATTGACTTCTGTCATTTGCATGGATTTATTCAATTTCCTCGAGTTCACATAATCGGTCATTCCTTGGGGTTTGTAGCGATTTAATTCTTATCTGAAGTTTTATCAATTGTTTTTTTCTTGATAAAGTGGTCAGATGGCTGGAGTGGCAGGAAAAAGAGTTTCACGAGGAAGAGTTCAAGTCATTACAGCGCTTGACCCAGCTGGTCCACTTTTCAGTCTCAACGACCCCGACAGACGAGTGGCACCAACTGATGGCGTGTATGTTGAAGTTATTGTCACAAATGGTGGCGTTTTAGGTTTCATGGATCCCATTGGACAAGCAAACTTTTATCCTAACTTTGGAGTGGCACAACCAGGATGTGGTTCTGATGCTTCCGGGCAATGTGCACATGAGAGAGTTAACGCTTTCTTTGCTGAATCAATTCGAACTGTTTTCACTGGACGACAATGCGCTTCATTTGCTGAGATTGGTAACAATCAATGTACGCCAACTGGAGTGACATCTCGAATGGGTGGAGCATTTGGAAGCGTTGGTGCTTCAGGAATCTTCCATCTTACAACTAACGCTAATGCTCCCTTCTCAATGGGATAAATTCAATGATTTAATGAAGAAACTTATCATAATTCTATTTTTATGTCTCTGTAAGCTTCCAACTGATAAGATAAAAGTTTCTCTCTGCTTGAGTTTCAATTTTAAAGTGACAGATAAATAATAAAAGAACAGGTGGAAAAAATGAAATGTTAAGTCAAACACTTCAAAATTTTGATCCATTTGAATGCAAAATGTTTCGTTTCTGTATGCCGGAACAAAAAAACGTCAAGCACTTCCACAACATCTGTTGTAATAGCTAACCGTAGGTAATGAAATGTATTAACATTAACATTGAACGTAAATATTTATTGAGAGAAAAAGAAAATCTAGTTAAAAACTATCTGCATCCATTCCCTCGACACCAAAGGAAAGGAAACGTGTGTTTGTTTGTTTATTGCATTTGAACATAAATTAAAATGCATAAAGAGAAAAAAGAAACACTTCGCTATATGACACAATATGAAATATGCCATAAATTAATCCGCACAGCTATTCATAATTATTTTTTTTAAAAAGTAAAAGCAACAACATAAGATTAGCTAGTGGAGAATGAAAAGTGAATTTTAAATAAGACTTTTCACATACAATGAGAGCTTACGGATTATTACTTAAATAAAAGACATGCTGTGATTCCAGGAGGGCGTTTATGCTAGTTTATGTTGTGTGAAGTGCAGCATTAAGTGCATGAACGTCTAAACAATTTAACCAAGTCTCCTGGGCATGTTTTATTTATTAATTACGCAAAGCTTTATTCACGCAATATCTTTCGGTGAAGAAGGAGGAATAAAGAATAAAACACCATATGATGATTACCAAATGGATTGAGGGATTAGCTGACGGAAGAATGTTGTTGTTGATGCTTCTTCTTCTTCGTGTTTTGCACACCGAAAAATTGTTTCTTCTTGCACATTTGCCTTTGATTGTTCTTCGTATCTGAAGGACATTTCGTCGTGATTCAAACGAACAGTTCCATATCAACAAACAAAACTCATCTCAAACCGACACTCGTCATTATTTGATATTTCTTCGCATCATCTTGATGATTGATTTGATTTCTTTTCTCGTTGTTGCTTTGACCGCTTTTTTCTTTTTATGATTACACAATTTTCGTTAATAATTTTTTTGTGTGCTCTTTCGGTGAGCTTGCGAATTTAATAACTTCTGCTAGAACGAAAGGGGACGAAAGAGAAAAAGCTGAAAACTGAACCGTCTTATTAGAGTTCGTCGTAGTTTTTGTTTTCATGAAAGAATAAAAAGAATTCAGAACCCATAAAGAATTAAGAGAGGGACAGAGAGAGAGAGAGTAAAATTGGGTATCACATGGATGAAGAAAAACAACCAAAATATATAATCGGCTTCGTTTGGAAATGATGGCACTATTTATCATCATCGACTTCCAGAGCAGATGCCTTAGGTCATGTGAGCTTCGTCATTTTAAGATGAAGCCCGAAGCTTTTTGTAATTACATTTTTTTTTCATCTGTTTTCGTATATAATTATGAAGAGAAAATTACCTACGTACATTCAGAGTTGGAATAACCAAGTGGCTGCTGTTCGCCCTCCTTTTTTTTCCTTTCGCCTTCATTCCCGATTAATATTGAGAGCCGAAGAATCTCCAATAAGAAATCCAAATTAGTTATGAAATTTCAGCAGACTCAGGCGATGGTTGCCGTTTTGCGATTTTTTTTTCTTCAAGATGCTTTAGCAATGACAAAAAGAGCCATAAGCGAAACCGAATACAATTAAAGAAATTGACGATTTGTGTCTTTCCGAAAGGAAGAATAAGAATTCTCGTGCTGGCGGTGAGTGAGTGAAAGAGAGATTATAATTTGGCACTGTCTCAAGGATAAATATTTCGTTTTGACGGTTCCTCAAATTATGGACATTGTGAAGAGTGCAGTAATTTCCTTCCACTTTAGATCGTCTTTGGATTACTTACATGTGAGATTACTTCGTTAAATAATGAAAATTACAATCAAAATCAGAACTTTGCGATCTTTTAATTACACAGCGCTTTGTTGACATAGCCTGCGCCTGGTTAGTTTGATGATGAAGCAAAAGAAAAAAATGAAAAGAAAGAAAAGATTTTCATTGTTATTAACTTCATCATATATAAGTACAAAGGGGGGAAGATGATTCAGTTCAATCGATGCTTTTTCTCGTCATTTATTTTATGTGAAAACAAAGAAATAATTATGTTCTCCAGATGAGTTTCTCGCGGAACAACAATCACCACTAAAATGTTATAACCTACCCGAAATTTGACAGTCTGTGAAGAAAACGAGAGATAATTGATGGTAAATCATATCCATCAGCCTTCGAAACAACAGAAACATTAATGAAAGCTCATTCGTAAGAAAAAAGATCGGGGAGAGAATGTAATTTCTGAAAGAACAAAAATTTATTAAAATTATGTTAAAGAAACAAGACGAAGGTTTGCACAATTGATCGAGCTTATAAAGATCAAACAGTTTTTTGATTGTTTTTCGAAAGCAAGAGAAAAACTTTTGTGTATTAAAGTCCACTTCACTGATCTGACTTTGCATGCGTGTAAAAAAATGAGTTGAAGAATTTTTCCTGATTATGGTTCTCATTCTCGACTCGAGAGATTCCAAACTTGATATTTTTGTTGCACATTTCCATCTCATTTCCTTCTCCTTTTCATCGTCTTATTATTGTCCATTGTCTGGTGTGGAGATTGATGTAGAGAGCCCAATATTTACTTGAGTTCTTCGAAAATTGCCTTCGATCTTCTTCATTACGAATAAAGGTTAAAAGAAGTATGTATGAGGTTTATTTTATAAACTTATTTCTTTTGAAAACTCATTAACTCATGTAATTTGATATACAATGATCATAATGATATCAATTAACCATCATATAAATTTTATATTTTGATGAATATCGGCTACAGTCTGCGAGCTACCATTAGGAATTTTTTTTCATTCTTTTTTTGTATTTTTGTTTCAATTAAAATGACATATAATGGAAATTAAGAAGAAAAGATATGAATTGGACTTGTGAACGAAGCAAGTATGTATTACAAATTGATATGACCAAAAAATTCAATATGAAACAAAAGAATTAAATATAATTTCGCGCTTTAGTCGTCTTAATCACTTTTTAACAAGACCGGTTTTTGGTCACATGCAAAACGAATTAAAATCACATCGAAAAATTTCTTTGCAATTCAAAATTGAAAAAAAAAGCAAACGAAGTCATTAGTTAGTTAAAATAAGAACTGACATTTGACGTTAACTAATTAACAAATTAAAATTTTTAAGCTTGTGCATCACGCAATGAATTAAAATTTTGCACCTTAAAAGTTGAAACACAATTTTTTCATTTGCTTTTATTTCTTGAAATTTAATTATTCTGCATCAGGCATCGTATCCACTTAACGTCACATAGTTAATGAATTCTCAAAGGTATACAAAAATTTAAGGACAGTGATGAAGATGTTTATGGCACTTCATTAATGTCAGAAGATGGCAATGAATCAATAATGAAGTTGTTGGGGTCTTCATTTCTCATTATGATATCGAATATGACTCTTGATATTGACAGATGTTTGTCAAATATTCTCGCATTTAAATCTTTTATTTCATTCAAAATAAAACGTTCACCATTACTCGAAAATATCATCCCGACACTTTTGTAATTGTCACCAATCAATTATTGACTGCGCCACGCAAAATATTTGCAATTATCGAAAATCCCAAACGAAAATTAAATAAAATTTAATCAAAAGTTGTTTTTCTTCTCCTGCTTGCTTCGACTTGTAATCGAAATCACTTTGTCGAATTTATTGCAAAAACACTGAAGTCAACGTAATGTGCATCAATTTTTCATCAGTTTAAGCGTACGAATATCGAGACATACGATCCAAGTAAATTGAAAACGAAATAAAGGAAGAAAATAAAGGGAATGGCAGCCGAACCAGCTAATGCACATTCAACAATTCAAAGATTAAATGATTGTGAGATGAAGAAAATTTTCTCATTCTTCTTTTCATTATCAATTACAAAACATTTTCATGCTCCATTCTTATGCTCTCAATTCAACGACGTTCTCAACACATTTTCCAATGAAATTTTTGTCCCAACCAGCAGCAGCCAAAATGTCGCATTGAATTGACAAAACAAAGCACAACAACAGAAAAAGGTTGTAATTTAATCTCACCGCTTGTACGTTCACTCACAAACCCAAATCGTACATGAGCAAGTAAGCAAAAGATTCATGAAAATCAGATGAAAGAGATTTTTTCTTGTTCTCGTCGAATTTTTATTGCAACAATGTTGCGTGAAACAAGATGCAAGACGGGAATTTAATTTATTAAAGCATAACAAAAAGGCATAGAAGAGAAAAACAAGTTGTGGCGATGTTATAGGTTGATCGTTTTTCTTCCGTTTACAAAGAATATGTGGGAATAATTCGTGAGTCATGTAACATGAACATAGCGAACTCAAAATCTTGATATCATTGACGAACAACTTCAAGTCACATTAACATTCATTGAATGTCTCTGAGAATCTGTGAAATGAATTTTGACATTCCATAACAGTTTTAGAATCTAAAGATCATCACCGACTTTAAGTATCGACAACTGAGGCTTGTTTGCAGTTTTTATTCGCTTTTCTTTCTTATATCGTTATAAAGAATTATAAAGAATAAAAGAAAGATATTAAATGATGTAAAATATTGTGTGATCTGTTACAAACTGCGCCGTTCCGATGATGTTTGATGAATCGTGAGTTTAATGAGAAATTTTCTATTGGATTACTTAAGAAGATTAATGTCTAGCAATAGATTCAATGACTTCACATGATGTTGAAGGAAAGCAGACACAAAGTTATCAATTTGCGGTGAGAACCGCTAATCGCATCATATCGAGATCAACTGCTGTGATCACTGATCAATGTATGTGAAAACGAGCTGAAGATTTGCGACCTAAAATTCCTTTCATGCTTCATGGAATGATGGAAAGTAAAGAAACAGATGAAATATTTTTGATTGTTTTGTAGAGAACTGAATAGGAGAAAATCTCCTACAAATATTTGATTTACGATTTAAGAGTGACGACAAATAAACTCGAATATCCTATGCAAATACCGTCAGATTGCATCCCAAACATGGCTCATGTTTTTCGCATAAGAAACTCTCAAAAAATCAGGAAAGGAAATTGATTTTTAAGTCAATCACTTCGATGATCGTTCTCTTTATTCAATCGAGATAAAGAAAATAAAAAAAAAGGTTTTTTGTGAGGTAAAAAATGTGCAAAGCAGACATTCGAAGAAGGAAGAGAATCGCAGGGAGTTTGAAATCGAACACAGAGTAATTTTGATTCAATTTGCAGTAAAGGTTTATTTTCTCTAAAGGCGCGTTTAAAAGGTCAATTTAATTGCAGAAAAGGCGCATTAAAAACGTTGTTGTTACGTAAATAAATGATTCGCACACACAGATGTTGTTGATACTGATCTCACTCGCTACTAATGCATTTCATTTCACTTCAATCGATCCATCAAGTTGTGTAAGATGACAATTCTGTTTTTCCTTCTTCCTGCTTCTGCCATAAAGCTTTAACTTTAAGTCTGTTAACGAAATAAATGAATTCTCGCGCAATTGGATATTTAATAAATCGAATCATTTTTTTAAACGCTGCCTTGTGCATGAAGATTGCGTTTTGTGCAGCGCCACAGCGAGTTTTCGTCACTCGCGAGCCAACCACTCGTGTTTTAATTGATAAGCCATTAACATATCGGATGCTTGAGCTGCGATGTGTTGTCGTGAGAATTTCACATTATTTCTTTCAATTTAAAACTTAAGAAAATAAAATAAATCGTAAAAAGACGAAAAATACATTCACTGTGTCTCTTTAACGGCGCGAATAACTTTTTTCATTTCTTTTCTTATTTTTTTCACCAATATGTCGAATTCACGATGAAAAATTCATAACAACTTGACTCTATGCGCGCACCATAAACAGGAAAGTTAGTAAGTGAGTTTAAAAAATAAATAAGAGAAGTGCATCGCGATTCATGCGGTTTTCACGTAAGAAAGCAACAAATGAATTAAATAATTCTTTTACGAATCGAGGAACTTCGGCATGACTTAATCTTTGGAAGAATTCTTTTCACTGATAAACTCAAAATTCCCACAAATGTTTTAATGAGAGCGTAGATATATGAAAATTCCAATTCTTTTCCGATTAATTTCTAGGAATTTTGAGATTCTCCAAAATAATTAAAAAGTTAACTTTCAAGTATAGCACGAACTTAAATTCGATGACAATCAAAATCAATTCTTCATCACCCTCTTCACCTCTTTAAAGCTTATCAAATCTCATCAAATTATGTTGAGGAGAAAGTGAACAAAGCGTCAAGATGAATGAGACATGAAGAGTCATAGAGAGAAACACGGAAATTCATCCGCGCACTTTACTGTAATCATAAGAAAAACTGCAAGCTAGCAAATAAATCAGACAGCAATAATTTGATTTGCCATTTACGTGAGCGAATATAATGGGCATTAGATATTTAGCTTTTCCTTTCCTTTCCTTTCGTTTCCCTCTGTGATTAAATCTGGTTTCGTGATTTCTCTCATGGTTGTCGTTGTTGCTTCTGTCCTCACTTTAACACGAAGATTTCTCGAAGCAGTGAAGCGATAAAAACTATCCGAGTGATTTTCATCTAATTAATTGAATTTGGCTACAAATCACCACGAAACAAACGAAGAATGAAGAGAAATAAAAAGTTGTAAAAACTTTCGATTGATGCTGTGATGACTTGGTTTCTGGGTCATTCCATTCATCATTAGATTTCCAATGTGCTGTTGAATGATGGATTAATTTTACTTATAATTAAAGCATTTTTCATTTATATTTGTAATGATCTCCTTTTGATTGCAATCGTTAGACACTCGGGGTCGAGTGAAAGAAATTAAAAAGCAAAGCAAAATAATTTATTCATGTTTAGTCTTAATTATGTGTAAGCTTACAACTTTTCACTTTCAATCTCTTCACAAAAATGTGCACCATTAATCTGGATGACTGTTTGAACATAAATGTGCATTATGCAATTAATTACAGCATCCATACTGACCTGAATTTAAGCAGCGAGCGATTTTTTACGGCTTTTGTTTCTAATTCTCGTTAGTTTCGGTCTATTGCTGAATAATAATTTTTCCCCCGCTCCCCTCCTTCGTTCTTCCATTGAAGTTGTGTGTTCAATCATGCGCGATTAAATATAAAGCTCCAACAGCTACATTAAAGGTGCAATAACTGCAACGTCGCTTCATAAATTTGCATAGAATTTCAAATCGAACGAACAAAAAGAGACTCTTTTTAAAACATTCCACGATATTTATGTTATTCGTTAGCCAAATGAAGCAGTAAAACTCTCGCTTATTAAAATATTTCTATTTCTTTTGTGCATATCTCACACGAAACTTCGAAGTTCAAATAATAAAAATGCATAAAGTTTATTTCTTCTCGTGTTCATTTATGATTAAGTAACAGCTTTGATTAACTTTAAATGGCGTTTTGTCATTTCATTTCATACCAAAATGATTCAACAGCAAACAAAGTTCACACGAATTAATATTTTATTATTAATTTCTTTGAATACCACCGAGACATAAATGTCTAATGAGTCGTTATCAAGTGTTTTATGTTGAAGCTTGGGTAGTTAAGATAGACAAACATTCTTGCATTAATAAATATTTTCCCTTTTTTTGTCAATATTTTACAGTTTAATATAAAAAAGCACAATTTTAATTAGTGTAAGAAGCTTTTCTTTGTTGTTAAATAAATTATTAAATTGATCATCTCTCTCATCTCTTCTAAGTATTTTTTATTACACTCGTTTATTTAATGAGTTTTCCTTTAACTTATCCATAAAGCTTAGTCAAGAACTGACGACGATCAATTGCTGCTGCTGCTGCTGCTACTCGATGGTTAAGAAAAAAGAAATATTAAAAGGTTCACGATGAAGATTGAACAACAAATTGATGATTGTAGTGGGATAATCAAGCGACATCATGGCTTAAGATAATTTATCATAAAATAAAAAATAATAAAAAAGCAAAACAACATTGAACGGAACGCGAGAACTTGCAATGTGTCAATGTTTTAATTTTTCATTTTTAGCGATTTCCAAAACACCGCCGTTGACATTTCACACAGAGAGTGTTAACTAATTAATTTTGTCTTTTTATTCTGCTTTCCTTGTCGCTACAATTGACGAAACTTTTGTGAAGCACAACAGTGGACAAAGGAGACAAACCGACAACCCAGAAAAATGTTTATCAATATTTTTGATTTGTCTTATTAAGCGTGAATTTCTTACGTTTGACTGAAACAACAGCCACACAAATTAAGAGAAACGATCTTTGAGAACTTTTATGGTCGCACAAGCGATTTTAATAATTGTGTGAGCTTGTTCGTTGTGTGGCAAATTTTTAAATTCAATTTATTATGGTAATTTTTCCACCGTGTTTGAAGCTTTTTGAAAGAATAAAGAAAACATGGTTATGACTCTTATTAAAATCGCTCATTAGATGACAAATAAAAAAAAGAATTTAGCTTGATAGAACTCGTTTTCCGGTCAAAAACTTAAAATGAAAGAAACCTCCGAATAGAAATTCCAAATGGGTCATGAGCTATTGCTATTGTGTTTAGGGAAAGAGAGAGAAAAATCACCATTCGCACGAGGCGGTGGTACAAGATTTCTCATTTGTACTTACTCGAAATGTCCATTATAATGACCGAACCACTGCTGTTGTTTCAAATGCGCTGTCAACCATATCAAATTTTGGATCATAATTATTTAGTTTCTGTAGCTGTTCGACCTCGAAATTAAAAAAGAAAAAAAATTGTCCCAACAACAAAATAAATAAAAATTTTAAACGCAATTAATGAATCAGAAATCAAAAAAATGTACGAAGAAGAATGAAAATGATTTATAATTTGATTCTATTTGTGAACCATCTATCTTCACTCCTGTCATGATTCATTTGCATCATCCCGGATTATTAAGTTCCGTAAATGACTCCAGAAACGTGCGACTAACTTTCATTGACTTTTATGCAAATGACAACGAGTACGAGCGGCCTTTTCTTAAAACCATCAAGACTTCATCCGACGATATTTTTCTCGACAAACTACTGGAACGAAGTCAAATTGTGATGAAAAGAAAAGAAAAATCAACAAAAGCTGTAAGCTCATTAAAGTCTTATAATGATCTCGAAAAACACCCGCGATCTGATGTTTGTTAGGGTTTCTTTCGTATCAATATTTCTCCAGCATGGAAAACGTGGAGAGACAAGAAAATGTTCAAATTTGGTGAAATTTCTTATTCATATATTTCGACATTTTGGCAGCATTAATCATTTTAAATGCACAGCACCAACGGGGAAGCAAAACGGCTGAGAGACAAAAAGTCAACGAAAAGAAAAATTATAATAAAAATTGAAGTTGAAAGGAAAACAATCAGCAAAATATATTTACGAAGACTAAACATGAAATTGATTGTTGGGAAAAAGGAAGAGAAGGGCAAGCGCGACCTGATGATATCGAGAAGCCGCTGAGTTTTTTTTGTTTTCGGCAGACAAAACTTCTTTTTTTCCTTTCTGTCTTCTCCATCATCATTTCAAAAAGCCACAAATGAAATAAAGAAAGCCAAGAAACAAAAAAAAAACACACAAATTGCATAAGAAAAAAAAAGTGTTTGATTCTCTGAATTCTTCCAATCCACCAAAAAGAAATGACTTGGCAGTGCTTTAATAAGCGTGATGAAAACATTCTCCAAACTGCATTCATGTTAATGAACTTCTAAGCTGATTGAACTTAAGAGATAATCCGCGATTTAATCAGTCACAGTCAAAGGTGTTGTTGAAGCATTTTTTCGTGATGTTCCAGCTCTGTGCTTCCATCACGTCTTCTCTCCTTTTTCCCAATCTACCATTTGTACTCACATGATGATGCTGACGATACACACATTCATGGCGATTATCACTGCAGATAATTATATGGACGAAAACATTCTTTCATTGCAATCGTATCTCGTCTTTCTCTCTTTCTTCTTATTTCTTATCTTGTCCGTTTCTCCATCTTTCCTTTTTTTTAACTTATTTATTCGTAAACACACATTTTTGGTTTACAGCAAAAGATCGTACGGAATGAAATCAGCCACATATACGACTGGCGACATAAAGGAGCACAATTTATTTATGATAAGCCAAAAAAAAGTTCTCGCATTAAAATAAGTTATTGCGTAAATATTTCTTCGGATTATTAGATCACCGACATTATAGGAATTTAATTAAATTCATTTAACAGGAGGAGATATGAATTTGTGAAGCGAAAACCTTTCGAAACATTGTTGCCACTGAAAAATTATTTTCGCCCTAGGCAACAAATGGCAAAGAAAAGCAAAGTTTGTGAAAGCAGCAGCTAAAAAGAATATTTATAAAAGTAATTTTTTAATTTCTACCAAATTATGATGCACATGAAAACTGATGTAAATTATACTTTGTTGATTTGACCGAAAACAAAGCAGCTTATGGCAAAACTGTCGGCAACAATGTTTTTTTAATGTATGTTCGGTGATCGCTGCTTGGTTATTTATTTTATAGAAAATATAAAGAAATATCTTGGAATAAAATAAAGTTAAAAAAGCTTTTAAAAAGGAGAAGAAACAACAATCGAATCATCATTTGAGCTATTTGGAAAATAAACAAGCATTCAAAAGAAGAATGAGATTCAATTTAAGTATCCTGTGTGTTCATACTTATACCAACTAAAGACTTGAATGCTAACATAAGAAATGCACAATACAAATAAAAGCTTTTCATTCTGCTGATAGTCGGCATGTTCGATTTGTGAGGGAAATGAAAATAATAAATACTTTAATAATAACTTAGCCACATACTTACATATATATGCGAGCAAACGCAATCAAAGATATTTCTTATTATCATTTGTGATGACGATTCTTGTGTTGATTGAAAGTTAAGTGGCCTTTTGTTCGTCTTTCTCCGATTTATGGTTTTTGAGAGTCCGAGGACAAATGTTGGAGATCGAAGGGAATTACAGACAAATATTCTAAACACAAAAGGAATTAAGTCTCATCAATTTAATGACGATGATGCGATTTCACGACGGGTTTACAATTCTAGTTTCCTCTCATTCTTCCCTCAATTCCCTTTCACGATATTCTGTGTTTTTTATTCTTTCTTCCCAGTATTATTTATTCTTTTCATTACAAACGTAAAATGAAGAAAGAAAACAAAAGAAATGAGTATAAAACTACCTGTCTATAGCCTTCCACTGAGATGATTCTTCTTACAACTTAAAATTAAGAACAGATCCGAGTTCTATTTTTTTCCGCGATTTGGCATTGAAAAAAGTAAAAATCATCGAACGATAATTTTCTTTCCCAATTACACTACACATCTATCGGATGGGCTTGTGGACCATAAGTGAATATTGAGGTCGCGATTATTAGCTGAGAGTATGAAAAGAAAGAAACATTCAATTTTCAATTAATTTTTCATTCTTTCCTTCTTACTACTCCACCAAATCTCTTTCCTTTAACTTATTTACAACAACATCATTGCGCTATGACTTCGTTTCTTTTTTTTTTTTTTGAGGCTGACTTTGAACATAACAAAGCATCGTTCTATCATTAATAATTTACAAAAAAAAAAGAAATAAAACATTTTTCGCTCACCACACACACACACAAAATGTGTAGAAACAGAGAATAAAGTGCTAAGAAATCTTTTCAAGCAACAGAGTAGAGAAAAATGTGCGAGGTAAAAGACTTCAACGACTATAAGAAGGAAACCTGTTTTGAATTTTTTTTAATGAACCATTTCTCACAAATACTTGCTCAATTTAATATTACGTGTGTGTGTGGAAAGGTTAAATTAAAAGAAATGTAATTTTGGGATACTTAGGCCTCTATTCATCCACGTTAGCGTTTGAATGAATTTTGTATGAGTCGCTCTTTCGCTTCTGTAACGTTTTTATTAATTTTCTTATATTTTCCTTTAGTCTTTCTCTTCGGTTTCTTGTTTCTCTTGAAACTTTGCGAGGAAAAAACATCGAGCCGAAGAAGAAAATTGTTTTCTTGCTCTCAATTCCTCCCGAAAGAATTGGATTTAAATCGCCAACGAATAAAAAATTGTTGTTGAAAGATCATAACATTTTTGTCTTAATAAACGATCGTCGTCAATGCAACGTCAGAGCGAAATACTCTCGATAATCATAACTTCAAAAACATAATTTCTACACAAGAGAGAAACATCAGATTGTGTATGTTTAATGCAAGACATTCCTGAAAGCAAGTTTCTGGGTGAAAAAATTTTCTCTCTCTTTTTCTTTGTTACTTTTCACCAGAGTCTTGACTTGGTTCAGTTTCTTTGGGTGATGTCGTCTCTTATGAATAGCTCAGCAAATCTTAACGAGTCGAGACCCTGCATTGCACACCTTCACATCTGCAAGCACGAGTTAAGGTCAAACACACTCATAGTACAACTTTTTTCTCTCTTATGTTGTTTTCTTGATTAACTCTCGTTACACAAATCTCGCTCACAAGATTTTCTCCTCACAAATATCTCGTCTCAAGACAGATATCGACTCTCAGTTGTGAAAGGTAACGCGATCGAGCGAGTAAGGTGAAATCCGCGATCGGTAATTTTTTTATTCTTTAACCTACAGATGAGTTTAAAGAATTTTTATAACAAAATAAATTAAACGTGAAAAATTGTGCTTTAACTTTGATCTTCGACTGTTTTAAAAGTCAGTTAAGATAACAAGTCTAAAGTTAAAAAAAATTAATGAAATATAAAATTAATGAAAGCTCTGAAATACCAGTTATGAAAATGTGAACTTTTTTCTCGCCGTCGTGTTTTATTTTTGGTTTCTTGTGTTTGTCGTGAAAGAAAAAAATAAGAAAGAGAAAAAAGCTAATAAGTGTCGATGATTAAAAATCAGAAGCTCTCCAGAGCTAATCAAAATTATAAAAAGAAAATTAAATAAAAAGAAATTGAAGCAATGATAAGAGAAGTTTGAACGATACTAAATGTTTGACCATCACAGAAATATTTGTTAAAGTTAAGAGAAGTAAAAGAGAAATATAAAAGGTTTACTTCGTATAAAAAAGCTTACAAGCAAAAAGATTTCTTCTCAACCATCTTTTCTCGAAGGAAAAAATAATATAAAATCGTCTTCTTCTTGATGTTGGTTCGCGTTTGTTAGCGCGGGCCAGTGTGCTGTAAGAAAAGTAAAGAAAAATATCGAAAGAAGGCAGCAAGAATGTTTTTTGTGCTTTAGCTGCAAAAAGGAATTTTAATCACAAAAAATAATTCTCCCCGTTCTGTTGCAAATTATGCACATGAATACATGCACAGACGATCGTTGGTTGTTGTGTTTCTGTTCAACGGAATTGTTTTAAGATAAATAATGACGAAATTTGAGGGACTTTAAAACATGTTCCTTATTATCTGACAAAGGAAGAAAACCACAAAACTGTTGAGGAATTTGAAAATTAATTAATTAGCCAAGAAGTCAGAATGATGTGATTAAACATGCAACACTCGCATTAACTTAAATAAAACGAACCGAAACAGCTAATAAATTTAAAAACGTTCATGATAAAACAATCCTCAAAGAGTCGTGAAAAAAAATATCTGATTAATCTGGAATAAGTCGATATTTTATTCGAGATAACTTCTAAACTTAAAGGTGATTAAAAAATTATTATTTGGTTTCTTTTTCAGGTTTTTTTTTATGATGATGATGAAGTAGCGTTTTATATTCGCATTTTGTGGTTTAAGACATTTTCCAATGTGGCAGAATTCACTCAAAGAAATTTTTATTCTTTGATAAGCTAAGCAATAGCATAAATTTTTCCCATCGCGTGAAATCAAATTTTCATTGATGAGAGTGAGTGAGGAAGAGAGAAATGGAAAGATGACAAGAGAAAAGACCAAAAAGCAACGGTACTGAAATATTTTTTGTAGTCCACATACAATATAAGTTATAATCAATATGTACGCTTGATTTTGATCAAAAAAAAAATAGAATTAAAAAAGCGAACTGCGGTGATGTTAGATGGTGTTGACTTTCTTTTAAGCGTGATATTAGACACAAAAAAAATATGTGAATGGATGAAACATGTTAAAAGGTGCTGAGTTGTGTATCAATTAACAAAACAAGAAAAAAATGATTTAATTTATAACTGAAATAAAATCAGTTGGTGATCATTTGAAAGAAGATCTGCTTCAGTCATTTCAATATCGTCAATTTATTTTATTTCATAAAGTTTTTCATGAAATTAAGTTTAATTTTCTGCATTTCTTTCTGAATGAATTTTTATGTGTCGTATTTTTGGTGAAGAAATTTCTCGAATAAAAATGATAAAAATTAAATCGTTAAAGATTAAAATTTATTGACGATCAGATGTGAAACATTACCGATTGATAATTTAAATAAATATGTTACATCTAATCAATTTTATGAGCACATTTAAGTGTTCCATAGATACATTTCTATAAATATGCTTTAAGTCTTGCTCTCGGCAACATTAAATAATGTTTCTTTAAATGAACCAATAAAAATTTAAGTACTGTTTAAAGTTATCAGCAATCAATGTTAAATATGCTTTCTTTCTTGTATCCACATTGTAACAGTTTCCTAAAAAGAATTCTATTATTTTCATTAGTAAATCTGTTGACATTTAAAATCTTTTGTTTCATCTCGTGATTGTTTCGAAGTCATCATCGACAATGCTAAGTATAATCACTATTCACCATCGCGATTCATGCGGTAACAATGCTTTAATTGCCAACCGTCTAAATATGGCTCCCTTAGTTCCAAAATAGTTTTTTAAGGTCAAATTTATGTTCATCGTTAAAGCAACAGTGATACTCAAGATTTTAAGTTAGACCTCAAAGAAAGAGAAAGAAAATTATCTGTCTGACCATTTTGATCGCCTTCGGTATGAAAAAGAAAAGATTAAGGTGAAAACAAATCAGTGAAGAATCGAGTAGACTTTTTAACAAAATCTTTGAGAAGCGTAACAGATTTGCAACATTAGAATCGAAAAATAACGAAATAGTTCAAGTTTCTTTGCTTTCATCATGCACCGGAGGTTTGTCGATCGGCTTCTTTAACAATCGTTTAATTGGTTTTCAAATACCATTCGCAAACATTTTTTTTTCTCACAAAAGGTGCTGTAGAAAAAGGAGGTAACCAAAGAGCCTGATTAATGATAGCAATTGTAATGGTATAAAGAGTAAGAGAAACTTTCAAATAGTTACGTTTGCCTAAGAGTTTCCTTTATATCCGATTGTACACCAAACAATTCCTTTGTGTCATTGATGTTTGTTTTTGATTCATGTCAAAGATTCACATGTTGCTTAATGTCCATCAATTGATGACAACTCTCGAGACGACACAATCCACTTGAAAATGGTGACTTTTGAAATGAAGAAACGGCCAAAGCCCTCTTAACCGTTTATTATTATTATTTTTTTATCGTCTTTCGTTTGTGTTGTTACGTAAAGATATTTCCGGATTTTAAATATTTTTTTTTTGATAGAAGCGCCTCCCGATGATGACTCGCTATATAATTATAAAACCATTTAGAGTGGCTCTTAAAAGATAACTTTCAGTGGTTGCTGAACAGTCATCGAAAATTTATTTTTTGTTTTTGAAATGGCCGTTCGTCAAGGCTTTTTAGTTGCTAATGTTGTGTGTTGCGTTTGATAATTATTGCCTATTAATTGAAATGAACGACGAAATTTTCTTTTCTTCATTTCGCCTTTTTTTATTTTTATTTATTTGCGCCTCTAATTTAACCAACGAATGAAATGATGAAAAAAAAAAAGAAATAAAATAAAATAAAATAAAATTTGTTATGAAATGAAAGTGAGCTCCCATTAATCAAATAAAAAACATTTGCTAGCCACAGTAAAACGAGCTTTAGTGTGGTGCGAGAGTCTCGAGTGGAATTTAAGTGGAAATATAAACGGCAAAACATGAAAAGATATGTGAAGGTAGATTTAGAGTCTCAACTCCTTAAATACTTGAGTCATTTTTATGTTTTTTACTTTTTTTGAAGGGGTGGGAATGGGAATTCATATTCTGCTTGAAAAATGAATGAGGAAATTATTATTATTATGAGACAGATACGTAAGTACAATGCTTGGTGTATCGTAGAAACTCGAGTAGTGAACTCTAAATACTCAACAACAATCAATAGCCATGTTGATGGTTTGAAGGTGCGTTTGTGAACATTTACAAATTACAAGACAACAATGATCGAACTTAAATTTGAAAGTGAATGTTAATACCTCTAACGACATTAATTAAATGTTGCACGAATGAATCCTCAAAATCGAGGGAGAATTTTAATTAATTTTTATGAACATTCTTGACAATTTCTTACTTCGGGTTCTGTAATGAAACATTTACAATGTATTGAATAAACTTAATTGTACAACACATTGTAAATTAAGAACAATGATATGAAAATAAGCAGAAATATTTTTTAATTAAAACCAATTAAGTTTCATTTAGACGATTGTACAAATAAATAAATGAAAGGGAAATTTTGAATACCTTGATCTTAATGAAGAATTTTTCTTCCGGAATCTGTGTGAAGCAAAGTTATAATTTAAGAGCCACTTTGGCACAGATTTTCGCTGCTTTTTTTATTATCGTCTTACTGAAAATAAGGAAATTGTTGGGAAGTCTTCGTTCACAGAAACTTTTACTTCACACGCTGAGACCTTCTGACAAAAGTTGATTCAAATGCTTCGTGTTTTGAAAACATTGGTTAGAGGAGTTAGAGAAGTTCACCTCACCCAATAAGCAATCGTCATCATTTAAACATTTCTTCTGTCGCTAATGTTACGACTCGCTTTCACTAACGTTAACATATTTCATAGCAATATAATCGACCATGAATTAAATCATTAAAAACGGTTTTTGGAATTTAGTAGTTAATTAGCTTTATTGCAATGATAATAAAAACAAATTTGAACTCTTTGAGTGTTTGATTGTCCCGCTTTGAAGACTCAACACGACTTCCAATTTAAAAAACTTCAATTTATTAACCGCAAACCTTTATGACATCGAACTGAGAAGTGACATGATTACAACATCAAATAATGTTGCCATCGAAACAATTTTGCGTGTTAAGTATTATTCACAGTAAAGCGTGTAAATTAATCGTTTCAAGTGATTAATACAAATCCACAAATATGTGTGCTTTGATGAATACGGAATATTAGAAATATGAAATAATATAACATGAATGCCTTTTTTTCCTCTCTCGTAAATGGTTTGAAGCGAATTTTATTTAATAAATACGCGAGAGGTTTTAGCGAGATGGAAACAAGAAAGAAGAAAAAGAAAACTTTAACCTTATTTATTTTCAATAAAAACATAAAGAAAAATCCATATAAGAAGCACGTAGCTATTTAAGAGGAAACCGAACTACATATCAATACTCACACGCGAGGAAGAGACTCACAATGTGAATAACATCATGAAATATTACGTAATATCAACATCAGTTACTTAAAGAAAGCTTTCTTTCTCTCTCACTCTGTCTCTCACCCACCGAACTACATAATATAAATAATTGATAATAGAAAAGAAAATAAAAACAGAAACACGATATAAATCTAACAATAAAGAATTTTTAATGGTAAAATATGCACAATCATTGCTCAAAATTTAAAGAATATCAAAAGACGAGTGAAATGATGAGAATACATGAGTGGAAAATAAAACATATCTGCTTACATAACAAACACATTGAGTTCTGTTCCGTATGAAATCATCTAAACCTGATGTTTCATTATGAATGCCGCAGTCTTGAGACTGAAAAAAATTATTTTAATGTCTGAGACTGTTGATGATATGAGAATCTATTAGATTAATTCATTGCAACCACTGACCACTGTATTCAACTCCATTTCTTCTCATATTCTGACATACAAAAATCTGTCATTTAACGCTCAATAAAATTCTTCAATTCCACAGAATTACCTCCGAGACACTTCTTCACACTTCGCCATTGTTTCCTCAAATATTTTTCTGTAATATTCCATCAAAATATATATTTATAAAAAAGTTTCCTTTTTCTAAACGATTTCTTTGTGTGTTCGTAATTACTAGCGAAGACAAGACAGGTAACACAAGAATGATCGTGGAATGATGATGAAGAACCGAATATAAGGAATGAAAAAAAGGAACATTTTGAAAGAATTCTTAAAGCCAAGCACCTTCTTTTTTTCCACAAAATAAAGTTTTAAAGTATCTCCGACCTGAAAAAAAATTGTTTGCTTCCTTTTGTTAATTCAAAAACCACAAAATGTAATTAATGAGTGATCATCTCGACGATTTCCTTCACAAAATTTAACTTCATTCTACCGAAGCGGCGTTTTTATATATGTCTTGAAATCTTTTTAAAATCGATATTGCATAAATCATTCGTTTAAATATCTATCTAGATCGTTGCGAATAAATTTTTTAAATTAATTTTCTCTTTCTTTTGTTGCAGACGATTAAAAACAGTAAAACATTTATTACACAATGATGCGGTGATGTATGTTGAAAAACATTCTGCTGCTTTATCCTTCACATAAGTTGAAGCATCACATCGTGAAGGAATGAATCTAAAGGCCAAGATGAGAGCAGCAAAGAGATTATTAATTAGCAAGAATTATCACTACTTCAGAAACATCCGTAAAATGTATCTATTCTGGTGCATCATGTGGCTGCTGTTATTAAGTAGTCAGAAGTCAAATTGTGAATTTATTCGTGAACTGGAAGTGTCGGAAGGTGTTCCAGTTGGACATCAGATAGGATTTATTGGAGATTTTCCTGCAGCAGTTGGTAGTGGTCCGCCATATTTAATTGTTCCAGTGCCAGGAAGTTCTGTCGATTCTGATCTTGCTATCGATCATACAACGGGTGAAGTAAGAACAAAAGTTGTGTTAGATCGCGAAACAAAATCTTCATATTCACTCGTAGCAATTCCTTTAAGTGGCCCAAACATTCGTGTTTTAGTGAGAGTGCTCGATGAAAATGACAATCCGCCAACGTTTCCAACGTCGGTTATGAACATTGAATTTCCCGAGAATACTCCGCGTGATGTTAAACGAACACTCAATCCCGCGCGAGACTCCGATCTCGGTCGTTTTAATACGCAACGTTATAATATTGTGTCGGGTAATGTGAATAACGCGTTTCGTTTGTCATCGCACCGGGAGCGAGACGGCGTCTTATATCTCGATTTACAAATCAACGGATTTCTTGATCGCGAAACAACGCCCGCATATAGTTTAGTGATTGAAGCTTTGGACGGTGGATCGCCTCCATTGCGAGGGCAGATGACTGTGAACATAACAATACAAGATGTGAATGATAATCAACCGATATTCAATCAAAGTCGATATTTCGCTGTCATTCCTGAGAATGCAACTGTCGGTACGAGTGTGCTGCAAGTGTATGCAACTGACACTGATGCTGGTGACAATGGAATGATTGAATATTCAATAAATCGAAGGCAAAGTGATAAAGAACAAATGTTTCGTATTGATTCTCACACGGGATTGATTGCCGTAAATAAAGCTTTAGATTTTGAATTGAAAGAGCTTCATGAGCTTGTGGTGGTGGCGAAAGACAATGGCGTGCAGCCTTTGGAGACAACAACTTTTGTTTCTATTCGTGTCACTGATGTTAATGACAATCAACCGATAATCAACGTCATTTTTCTCAGTGATGATGCAACACCGAAAATATCCGAATCGGCACAACCAGGCGAATTTGTTGCACGCATTTCAGTTAATGATCCCGACTCGAAAACCGAGTATTCAAATGTCAACGTGACGTTGGATGGAGGCGATGGACATTTCGGTTTGACCACGAGAGATAACATAATTTATTTGGTGATTGTTTCGCTTCCATTGGATCGTGAAATTCAGCCCAACTTTACACTGAAAGTTATCGCAACTGACACTGGTAATCCGCCACTTCATGCGTCTAAGACAATTTATCTTCGTGTCACTGACATTAATGATAACGAGCCAATGTTTGAACAAGAAGTTTATCATGCAAATGTCATGGAGGTTGCTGATCCCGGTACATCAGTGATTCAATTATTGGCTGTTGATCGCGATGAAGGAAATAATTCCGCAATAATTTATTCACTCATTGACACTCCAAATACACATTCACATTGGTTTCAAATTGATTCTCATTCAGGATTAATCACGACACGAGCACATATCGATTGCGAAACCGAACCAGTTCCACAATTAACTATAATCGCAAAAGATAATGGTCACCCTCAGCTATCATCAAGCGCAACTGTGTTGGTGACCATTCACGATGTTAATGACAACGAACCGATCTTTGATCAAAGTTTCTACAATGTTTCGGTCGTTGAGAATGAAGCTAAAGGCAGATGTATTCTTAAGGTGAGTCTTCTCAATAATTAATAGAAAGAGTCAGTTAATTGTTTTAAATTTCCATTCATTCATTCATTAAAGTTTATTCACTTTTAATGTCTTTTAAGATTTAAACATTGAAAATCCACTTAACGAAATGCATACCAAAGTTTCGCGAAAACTCTTTATAAACATTTCTCACATCAGCATCATTCTAAGCTTACAAAGTCTTGAAATATTTATCAAACATCGAGCTAGTAGAATGTGAGGCGTTCACGAAGACTTTCCATGATTTACAATTTACATATTTCTCTCATTCTTCATCATATTTTCCCCTTTTCTTTTCAAAACGAACAGAAACGAAACAGAGAGATGATTAATGATGTTTTGGTGGAATATTCATGCACCTATTTTAACAAAAAAGAAATAAAAAAGACGTTTGAATTCTTAGGAAGAGAAATTCAAAAATGGTTGGAATCTAAATAAATTCTTGATATGCGAATATTTTCTTACTTTTAATTCTGTTTTTGTGTTATGAAAGGAAGAAGTGATAGCACTCGGAAGGTTACAAGGCTTATAGATAATTGAAGATGAGCACAGAAAAGGGCAAAACAAGAACACAATCGATGCCGATTGATTACATTTAATATTTCTTTCATTTTTTATTAAAGCAATCTGCAATCAGCATATCGTTCTGCATTCTTTTTCATTTTTTGCAATCACAGAAAAGTTCCTTACTGAATTTTTAAATTATCTAAGTCTTAATGAATTCCGACGACAACGACAACAGCTCCATGTAGATAAATTGATTTTTTTTTATTATTACAAGCTGAATTCAGATTAAGAACATGAAGTGAATGTTCATCAATATCAACAATATTTAAATAAATATTTGAAAGAAGAATTAAGAAAGTAAAGAGAGTATTCCGATGAAATAAGCAAGAATTGTATGTAGATCGAATGTGTGGGCGTATTTAAATTTCTACATTGTATCAACTATCATCCGATCTAGACTTCCCCATCTCAAAATGTTTTTGTTCTCGTGGCTAATGTTAGAAGCTGTTGCGACATAAAAAACGCAAAAAAAAAATTCATTTGAAGAAGAAGTTGACGAGTTCATCGTTGGTTTATAAAGAAATCACCATCTTAATAAAAAAAATGTTTAAATTAAAAGAAAAGGAAAAAAATTCATTCGGCCTTTGCTACAAAAAAAATTCTCAGTCGTGAAAAGAAATTTGTTCGATCAAAAAAAAAAGAAAAGAGAATGAAAGAACAAAACTCGATTTCACGTTCGAAAGGAAAAAGATCTAGAAATTTTATGTTAATTATTTAACGAAATATTGTTGGCAATTATGAAGGGGAATTGAAAAGAAGACGATTTGAAGAAAATGACACATTTGATGATCGAATTTGAGAGATTCATGGAATTAAAAGCTTATCAAAACTTTCTCCTTTTAAGTGTTTTAAATTCTTGAATTGAAACGCTCATCATTTAGTAGCGCATAAATTCTAATTGTTGTTTACCACAGAAGACTTCCTATCTGATATTTCAACAACCACTGGTGATCTCTTAAAGTCACTAACCGAACAAATTTCTTAAACCAAAATTAAAAGATTTCATAAAGAATAAAAAAAAGGCCACACAACCGACAGCGATGATTTTTCATGTTTAAAAAAGACTTTTTATAGGTTTATTTTAATTTTTTTTTTCATCTCGTCTTATAATTTCCAAAATATTCAAATAAATTTTATCAGAGTTTTGGCTTATGAGGTAGAAATTAAAATCAATTTGGTTGAGATTTCGATGGTTTAAAAAAGGCAAACATGTGGTTGGGTCGCGGGTCTGCAGATGACCAGGCTGATGAAAACATTAAGAAACAGATCTTGAATAATTCGAATCGAAGACGATAGTTAATATGTAGATTGTGTTGATTTGTTTTCTTCAGTTTCAATTTTTCTTCCTTCATCAGCTTTAAAATTATTTCGAAGAAACGCTGGTAAGAAATAAAAACTTTATTTTGTGATTCGTTGATTCGTGATTACATTTATTTATAAGATGTTCGTTCATGTTTAATCTTCATTCATATTTACATCACGTTTCCTGTATGTCATCTTAAAACTTTAAACTTAATTTATATTTAATTAAATTAAAAACTTTCAGTATCTACATCGTGATTTTATGAGTTGAAAGTAGCATGAGAAGTCAGTTGCACTGTTTTAATAGCACGTGTCGAAACTACATTCCATCTTAACTGATACAGATTCATGTTGCACACATGCAACTCAACAAGTAGATACAAACGACAACAAAATGAAGTAAAATTGCGTCGTTTTGTGTTTTTGCAAAATATCCCAACTCGCTGATATTGCAAGCATGTTCCAATGTGACTAGCAGAAGTTATGAATGTGCACAAATTATCGTAATTTCTCGCTTTAAAACCAACACATGAAGTGTACCAACGATTAAATATTTCTGACATTCAAAAACGTATAAAAGTGATTTGCTTGAAAGTTGTGAAAAGTTGTTCAAATTCAAAGCATAAAGTTTTTTCATTCAACTCATGGCTTGCTATGTCAGTCCCAGCGTGTGTGTGTGTGTTTGTTGCTTGAAATTCCACATCTTTCACTTTGCTGTTTTTTTTTTGTTCGTTTCTCTTCTATCCACATGCTTAACGTCCGAAACTTAAAGTTTTCTTAATCTTTTCTTCTCGAAATAAAAAAAATTGTCCACACAAATCACTGTTTCTAATCGGCAGCTTGATGAAGTTAATTTTATCTTAATAGTCGTGAACTCTCAACCAAGTTTAAAGTCTCTCATGCTATTCATATGCGAGGACAGGCAAAGCTAGCATAATTTTAAAGATAAAATGACAAACATATTAAAAGACGTTATGCCGCTCAAAGAATTTCCTTTCCAAACATGTCAAAGTTCTTCAAGAATAAATCATGAGTTTGTCAATGTCAAGGAAAAAGTTTTTCTATATCCATGACTAACTTAAATAATTTTTCCGTCTTAAAAAAAGTTCTTAAAAGAGAAACTTTTTTATTATCTGACTGAGATACTTTTCTCTTGTAACCAGCATTCTTCTTCAGTGTCCAAAAGAAAAAAAAAAGCATTACGAAACAACAGCAGAACTACAAACACATTTGAAAAGACTTTGCGCTGGCTGGCACGAAGAGAAAATGTTTTCTTTAACTTATGTTTCTTAAAGCTTTCAGCTTTACGCTGGCGGCCATATTGTGGCTTCGTTTTATTCTCTCGATCTTGTTGCTGTACGTAGTTCTTTCGTTAACTTCTCTGGGCGCGATGATACAAGCAACAGAAAGAAAGAAAGAAAAAAAGTAAAAGACCAAACCAGCAAAATGGAATGAGAAAATTAAAAATTTCAATACACACACGAAGCATACACACAAGGGCACAGCACAAACCAAAAACGATGAACTGGCAGAGAGAAAGAATGAAATAAAACAGCGTATTTGCTATGAAATCCTAATGAAGCAACATGTTTTTTACTCTTACGAGCTTCACGAGTTGAAAAGAACTTTCCGTTTTTGCATAAATTCTCTCGCTGTTTCGAACTTGATTTTCAACTGAAACGATTAAAATATTAGTGCAACTGTTGATCTTCACTCATCAACTAATTTCTAAGATCTTGTTTCAGGTCAAATCGATGACGTTCCATTGCCTACACACATCAATATGCGAGTGAAAAAACAGAAACAGAAACATGTAGCTCTTCTCTCGCTAGTCGTTTTCTGACGTGGTCAATGATCTTACATGTCTGATTATTATTTATTATGTTTTTTTTTCGGCAGAACCCGAAACAACAGTGAAATCAGCAGAAGAATGTTTAAAGATCCAAGTTAAGAGATCCTATTTTAAGTATCTGCCAAATGCTTCGATTTCATCCTCCAAAGAGAAGTTATGAAAATAAATTAGGGGAAAAGGCTTTTTTATTCTTTATTTATACATCTCATCAATATTTAGTTAGTGGAAAGCGATTGTAAGGTATAAATGAAGCATATTGCAAAAACACCTCTTTCACATTCCCAATATTGAAGGGAGGAATCTTAAAATAAAAGAACATCGATTAGCGAGAAGCATCGAGAGCCAAACAAAATTAATTAGTTTTCTTCTGATTCATTTTGTGCTTTTTTTATATATTTTTGTGTGTGTTTGCTTCGAAAGAGGCTCACAATATTTTAATTAAAAGATAGAAGTTACTTGATAACTAACGAAGGGATGCATTCAACTTTAGCGTTATTAATGACATCTTAACATATGAGTTCTTGTTCTCAATTTTCAGATGAAATGTTGGTAAATTAGCAAGCAATTTAACTTCTCTTCGTTATATTCTAATGAACATTACTTATCAAATTTTAAGACTGGTACGGGAAAGTTGTGATTTAAACTTTAACACAAACTTTAAGGCATTAAAAATTAAGGTCTAATAACTAGCCAAACTGTAATTTCTTTCAAATTTCGTGTTAAAAATAACACGTCGTATTCAAGGTGCTAAAATTTTCTTCCTTTTCAGTTTAACTTTATGGCTCCCGTTTCAAGTCATTGTGCAACTAGAGAAGAAAAAGTCAAACATGAAATTGATGATTTCGTTCTTTAGTTCTTACCGAAAAAGATAAAAACGATGCGTAACAGTTATAAAAGTTATTTTCAATGTTTTCAAAACATTATTCATTTGAGAAAATATTTCACAGAGGCGGAAAAGAGAGACGAAAAAATGTTTTAATCTGTGAATGGACTTCACACCACTAGCTTAGAATTATGATGGAATTATAACAGAAAATGTTTCACCTAAATCTTTAGTTAAGGAGTAATTTCCGTGATATTATTAAAATGTGTTTCAACAACTGCTTTTATTACATCAAAATATTTTATCTTCAAACTTTTAAGACCTTAAGAAGCGCTCGTTGATGACGAAATATCGGAAGATCTTGGTTTTTGTGGTTTTTCCTACCTTTGGATGCAAAGCAATGTCGTAAAAGTTCGTAATGTCTTGTGAAGAGTTCTCTTGTCGACAGCACAAATGAAGAAGGAAATCCAGCGCTTAATGATTTTATAACACAATTGGCCACGGTATGCTCAATTAATACTGAATGTAAAGATGTATACAATCTCATGTAACAGCGCTTTAGAATGATTAATAAAGTGAAAATAGCTTCATACATACACGAACGATAATAATGAAAGAATAGCTGAAAGAGTCGCCTAATTGAAATATTCATGAAAACTAAAAGTTGAAGATCCAAAAGCTATTCTCTTTAATTATTACAAATGTTCTTTTATATTCTTCACATTCTCTTCCTGCATGTGACAAAATCATCGATTTAAAGCCGACCCATCAAAGACCCAAATATCGTATGTCAGAAATTTATTCGAATACTTCGTTTGTGCTATCATTGATGATGAAAATTCAATAACTTTTACAAGCGACAACTCCGAGAGATCAACCGAATAAGAAAGAAGAAAGCGAACGGGACAAGACAACGAGAAAAGTTTTTAAGCGCAAGAAACAATTCGATTCGATAAAGTAAAATGCGAAAAGAAAAAAAAATGCGAAAACTTTTTTTCTTTATTTTATTCTCGTGAAAACATGTTTTCTTAAACAGTTAATTTTTTGGATGCTATTTGGGAAAAATGGCGTAAGAAATCGACAACAAAATAAAAAGCCAAACTCGCCAATATTTAACGAAAAGGTCATTTGAAGTATTTATTTTAAATTTGTAAGATTGTTCACTCAGATTACTGTTTTGTCTTTTTATTTATTTTACTTTTTTTTTTATTTTGCACAAAGCCTTTTCGAAAGGAATTTTCTTTGCCAAATTTGAATATTTACCATTCAGTGATAATCATCAAAGTTGTGTTGACAGTTTCTTAAGCTCGCACATAAAAAAGCAACAAAAAAACAGGCGAGAATGAGATGAAAAATCTGGAAAATGTAAATGCGGAAACGAAATAAATCACTCAATAAAATTAAATAACTATTTTAAATACATTTTAATTCGATTTGTTTGTTGGTCGTGATCGGTTTTTAAGTAATTTCGTTGAATATAACGGATAATCATGTTCAACATATTATGAAACTTGTCTTATCTCTCTTTCTTCAGTTAAGTTAAAGTCAACAACCAGAAATATTCTCAAGAGTCAAGACAAAAAAACGTCTTCAATTATATTCCAATTTCCATTCATATCTCAAATCGCATTAAAAGCAATGAGAAATTATTTGAAATGACTTAGGAATGTCAAAGGATATCGACAAAGGAAGAGAAAACTTTTCTCTAAGATTTGGTGGGAACATAATTTGCGTCTGTTGTTGCTTATTATTTACGATGATGATTGTCTTAAGTCAATTTTTAGACTCATAAAAGCATTTTTTTTCTCTTTTTTTCTCGTCGTCATATTCCATTAAAGCCCAACAGAAATCTAACAAGTAAATTACATTTTAATATCCATCTACAATCTTTTCTTCGTTTCATTGTTCGCTTTCTGTTTTGTTTCAAGCCATTTTATGAAGCTTCAACTATCCCAATTCATGGTCAGATCAACGCTTTTCCTTCCTTTTTTTTCTTAAGAAGAAATCAAAAATTACACGTGAATGTAATTACTAGTTATTAGCGTCTTTCGAAAACAAAAAAAAGACAAAATTACTACCTATTTCGTCTATATATGATTTCCAACGAATGCTTGCGCTCTCTCTACCCGACGTCATCGACATAAAACAAAAAAAAAGTCAGTAGGCAAGCACCTTTCCATTCACAATCGACACAGACTTCCCCGATGAAGCCTAAAAAACTTCGTAGATGGAAAGAGAAAATTAAATATTTTGGTTGGATGGAGCTAAAAGATGGTGTAAAAGTTGCAATGTCATAGCATTAAATGTATCAGAGTTAAATTAGATGCTAAGATTCCATGACTAGGATGAAAATACAATAGACGAGCGCAATTATATAGCGATGGTTAGATTATTAATTTTTTGTTTCTTTCTTTTTTTTTTTGTTTGTTCCGATGAGAATTGAGAATTCAAATTGCTGGTTTATCTGAGTGAACTCAAGATTTCTTAAGTCTACTGTTCGCTTAAATGACTTTCAATTGTTGTTAGCATTTGCGAAACATTGCAGTGAGCAGTGAAATGTAAAAGATTGATTAATTTACTAAAAGTGTGTTGAACTTAATCAATGGAAGTTGAAAAAGTTTTTTTGGTTGTTGGTTGTGTGAAATTGTGTTGTATTATAAATGAACGCAAACACATCGTTTCACACTGACCATTGAAAGGGGGGAGAGGAGGTAAACAACACTGCCCACAGTATTATGTTCAGTTAATTATCCTTTTCACATCGTTTATCTTAAATCGTTGTTAGATATCATCTTACCAATTGTCGAGTTTCATTTTCGGTTTCTCTCGATGAACATGGAAAAACTTTTTAAACTTTCGATAAGTTTTTGTTATTCAGTGATTTAATTTCTCGATATTAAAGATATTTAATAAACAACAAAGTTGATTGAATTTTCAATAAATCATAATTTTCAAAATTCAGAAATTCTCGTCCAAGTTGGAAATTAAAAATTAAACTAATCCGCTTAAACAGATGTTAGTGGCAGAATAAGAAATTTATGCGTTAAAACGTTACCATTAGAAAGATTTATCGATGGTTTTCATTAATTGACAATCTTTTTATATCCGAGAGTGTTTTCATACACCTTTCAACATTACTTTTATGATATTTAGCAACAATCATACATACAAAGCATAAAATATAAAAAAACTACACGTGACGATATGTGTTATAATAAATTAATAACTATATGAATAAAAATGACGATCAACTTAAAGCTTCGGATTGGTGAAAGAAAAAAAAAACTGTTGGCAACAAAACGAGACTTTTGGTTGGTTGAAGCAAGTTGCAAAAATGACGAGAAGCAAAAGAAACAAGAGAAACGATGTATAATTTATGATTATTTTTCACTTCTTTTCACCGATCCTTCATTATTTCAGTGCAACATGCAACTAGTGTTTTTGTTTTAATTTACTCTTCAACTCTTTGATATTATAGGCGAAGAAAAATGTACGCGCGAGGGGAGAGAGAAAAAAAAGAAAGAAGAAAGAAAAAGAAAATATCAGAATTTCATTGTAATTGGCATTCCATTCTTATAATGAGATTTTTCTTTCTCATCGTTTATCTCATCCGTGCTTAAGTGTCCCAGCCCCTTTCAAGTTGGACTCGACTCGACCAGAAAACGTCCAAGATTTCAATAATCCAGTTTAGAGATAGATCAGAAGTTTCTTTCCAGGATGTATGAACACGGCAGGCATGAGACAAACAACGTCTTCGTTGTACATACAGAAGAAAGGGCCATTCAAGATAGATTTTCAATTCAACAATGATTATAGTTATAAGAAGTAGATTAATATCTTTCCATGCCTTTCCCTCTTACTCTTCCATGATATCGTTTTAAAACTAACAAAGAACTGCGAAATAATTTATAATTAAATGGCAGAACAACGATTAGGTACATGTGTTGGTCAAATAAATTTCACATGGATCGATGAAAATAAAAATAGACTCGCAAGTCTTTTCTTTTAAATTCTTTTATGTAGAACTTGAGTAATTAAAGTTTGAATGAGTCAGTTAAGACGAGCGAAGTTTTATAATTGTAATTTAATTCGATTGGATTTTAAAGATACATACATACATGAAGTTTTATGAAAACAAGTAGATAAGTTAATTTGCAAACATTTAATGAGGCGGTTTTGAGTTTATAAATAATCCCACAATTACGTGATTGAAATAAGAAAAAATGTTTACGTGCTTTATTCGGAAAGACTTTGATATTTCTATTGTCATTTTTGTTATGAATATTCTGCGTTTGTAAGTTGATGATAACATGCCGATAAGAATTGAGAGCGACAACAGGTCGTAAATTATTGCAATCAGCTATGAATATGAATTTCACTGTCGCTCAGTTTCTAAGAACTCAAATAAAACCTTGAGACATGAAAGAAAAAAGTAAAGAAAACGATACTTCAACAACATCAACATGGAGATTCTTTCAAACACAATTTCCTATTTTTTTTACTTCTTTCTTTATGCAATTTAATGCTCTGCAAAATGAAAACGAGAAAAGTTTGTAAAGTGAGTTAAAAGTAAAGAGATATTCATAAGAAACCTACATATTTATTCACCATTCAACTCAAGGTTAGATTTGTTTCTTTCTCTTGTACCAACCCGTCGAAAAAAAAAGAAAATGTTCAGAATTTATATAAAAGTTATGTTCATGGAGATATGTATCGTGTCTCAAGTTGCGTTTAATACTTCGTAGCTTCAACAAAACGAATGTTTAAGATTGATTTAAAAGAAATAAAATTCTTAGCTTCCATCATGTCAAACTTTCACTGATACTCAAAGACACTTCTTCACGACACAGCAAGTGCATTGATACTTAAAAAGTATTAAAATGATAAAACTTGCAACTGACTGTCAAGAACATGCACAGATCGAGTTTAAATCGAATGATTGTAGTTGTCTAGCTTCGTGTCTTGTAAAGTTAAAAGAAAAATTGTGTAGATGTCTGATTGGCAACATGAAAAATCATCATAAATTTATGTCATCTTAAAAAAGAATCAAAAAGAAAAAAAATCTGACATATTGCTGGGAAGTGAGAGAGCAAGTTAAACATGAACAATAAGACGAAACGACGGAATATGTTAAAATTGTTAAAGAATCTTGTTCTTTGAAACTAGTACTTGCCTTGCCAGCTACACAGAAACTTTTTCACCCACGATAAATACGAGAAATATTGTAAATGCAAATGAATGTTGAATTTAAGAAGTATAAACAGATTTATCGAATCGAGTCGCACGAGATATTTCCAACCATTGACCACAATCAATTTTTGCTGTTAATTTGTAGTCAACAAAGAATGGAATTGAATTGCATTGCTGCGTAAAGCCACCCATTAAGCAGCCACAACTGAAACTACTTTACATAGTCTGTCTTGTGTAAATTCCAAACGATCTGAATTGTCTACGAAAAAGAGAGAAAAAATGATGTAGCCATTTATGAAAATATTTACTAAATGTACGTGACTTTATGTATTTATGTATATTGAAACATGTGCGTAGAATCGTCGAATTCTAATTAACCAGAACAATATGGCATGCATTATGTCTTGTCTATAAATCCGGTTCTTCGTTGGAGAATCATTCGCTGAATTGAACTTCTGTTTTCTCGTTGTTGACTTCAATGAGCGTTTAATTTCATCGTCAATAAGTATACAAGCAACATAAGAAACGAGCTACCTTCACAGTTTCCTTTCTTGCGCAATGCGAAATACAAAGGGAGAGAGTAAAGAAATATATGGCAACGTTATCAGATTCTTAACTAAGTGCCATGACAGCGATTTGCCAACTACGTAAAATAACGTCATAAAATGTACAAGAGATATTACTCGATTAATGTATTAATGGAAGTTCTTCACTGTGCTGTATAGTAAGTTTGTAATTATAAAAATTCCTTCATCTGACTTCACGAATCCATATCTTCTCGTTTTCTATTTTTGTTGTATATTTATTTGTGCAATGAAGTCTTTTATGCCAACTCTTTAATGCCGAAGAAAAACAATGTTCATGAGACTTGAAGGGAAATTAAAATACATAGGCGAACAGGTTCTACCTTTTAAATCATTTCTAGATTCTCGTAGTTCACATTATTGACGCTTCAGTAAGTCATAAAGGAAAAAGAAACTTTTGTTACAGCGCGAAATTAATTTTAAGAGATGTGAGAATACATTGAGAAGCTACTAACTATCTACAAGATGATGACTGACGAGTTAAAGGTGTTGGAATTATTAAATTTACTTTTAAAACTTAAGCGAAAAAAGAAAGAAATTTCACATCAAGATAAAGTCGGCGCATAATCCATCGACTCATTCACTTTTGTTTTTGTTTTTTTTTTAATCAAGCATCGTGATCAAGTAATGCGATTGACGTTGTGCATGTTATTTCGGTTCGATATTATTTTATAATAATTCCCTGAAGGGGCAGCTACTGCACTTTTCTTCGTCTGTTGTTTCTGATGTTTCGTGCGAGGTGGATCGAGAATTGCTTTCAAGTCTCTTCTCCATTTTCCACAGGTGATTGTCTTACGTGATTACTTGATGATATTCATTAACTGCATTCGTTCAACGAATAAAGTTTGATGGAACGGTTAGTGACATTTGCGTTGATTGATGAATGATTTAATATTTGATGAATTGAAACATCACACTCTTCAAAATATTGAAAAGAATAAGAAAGTTTTATTTTATGAAAGATTTATTAAAAGCTTCCGTTTGATTTATAAATAAAATTTATAAAAGATTTAGAGAAGCTTTCTCCGACCTTTGAATGTTGTTTCAATATTTTCTCGAATTTTAGAGTCTTCATCATTAGCCACTGTTGTTTACTTGCTTGCTGTCGCTGCTTCCGCCTGATGATAATTATAATCTTTGTTCAGCTCTGTCCATCCGTCCGCGTGGTCTACCGTATACTGCCTAATCCATACGCGCTCCGGCCCAATCCCACGGGGCACTCAAGTGCACCCGGTACACTTACCAAAATCTTACTTTTGATTCATGTTGATTCTTCCATGAATTCACAATTAAACTACATGAAGAAGAAAACTATCATCAAAGGAAGAATTTTCTACATTTTAATTCCAGTAATTCTGAGAACAAACTCAAGTTTTATCACTGATGAGGGAGAAAAAATTGCTAAGTTGAACTTAATTCGATTTCGATGTAAAATTCCAATTTCGACGCTCTAAAGTCTGTTAGCTTGCCTTTGGTGTAACAAAATAGATTTCAAGGTGAAGCAAATACAAATCATTTCAAGTTGCTTTCTTGCGCGGCGAACATTGAATCAGCAATTGCTGTTATTTTGCAATGTGCTAAAGCAATAAATAATCGAACGGTGTTGAAATTATTTCATATGAAGCTGTTGTTGTACCTATAAGGAAAAAAAATTATAAGACCATCAATTGCCGCGCGCAAAATTAATAAATTTTGAATAAAAGATCATTCAATGGAGTTGGAAAGATGATGAAGCTGTTGAAGAAAATTTATTGAATCGTCGAAGTTATTTTTCTTTCTTTAATCTTTAAATGCTTAGATGATAAATTCAAACATTTCTACGACGTTTCTGGTAGAAACAACAAAGCAAGAAATGAAATTCATGTTTGTATCAGTTTTTCTTTTTATATTAAATTAATAACTCCATCACCTCAGATTGCACACATTTCTATGCTCGCCAAGCTTTATGCTGAAAGTCAATATATAAAATCTCACGATCAGTTGAGAATTTCTTCTTTAAAATCAATCTTGAATATAAAACGGCATTAAAAGTGGATTTTAATTGAAATTGAAAATGAAAGAAAGCAAAAAAAAAATAGATAGAATGAAAAATCTCACGTATAAAATTTATTTAATGTTTTTATTTTCTTTATTCATCTCAGGTCTCAGCAACCGATCCCGACTGCGGTGTAAATGCAATCGTAAACTACACCCTCGGGGAGGGCGTGAAGAAGCTAAACGACTTCGAAATTCGCTCCGACTCGGGTGAAGTTTGCATCTCGGGCGATTTAGATTATGAGTTGAGAAATTCATACGAGTTTCCAATCATCGCAACCGATCGAGGTAAGATGATTAATGTGATCATCGATGGAAATTTGCTTTAAAAACTAATAAAATTCTCGTTTTTAATTTTTTCTTCATTTCACTTACAGGTGGCTTAAGCACTACGGCGATGGTCAAAATACAATTGACCGATGTTAACGATAATCGTCCAATCTTTTATCCACGCGAATACAACGTTTCATTGCGTGAATCATTATCAACATCAGCTTCAGTTGTTGTTGTGGTTGCGAGTGATCTCGACTCTGGAAGATTTGGAACTGTCACTTATAGAATTGTAGCAGGAAATGACGCTGGAATCTTTAGGATTGATCGAGTGACTGGAGAAGTTTTTGTTACTCGACCAAATTTATTATCAAGTCGAAGTCAAGCGTATCATCGTTTAAATATTTCAGCAATTGATGGCGGCGGTTTAAGAACTGCACAAGACGCTGAAATCTTTATCAGCATCATCGATTCATCGCAACGTCCACCGATCTTTGATAAAGCTCGCTACAACTTTTCAATCAAGGAAGATGCAAAAAAGAATACAATCGTTGGTTCTGTCTCAGCAACGTCAAGCAATTCCGGTGAGTTTCACGTTCTTCTCATTAAATAAAAGAAGAAAAAAAATTAAAACAAAATCTTATCAATAATTTGCAATCGATTTGAAATATTTATTTATTGAAAAGGAAATTCTTTTAATGATAATTTATGGGAGTTAAAACATTAAGATTTGCACATTTGTCATCATGATGAAGTTGCTTTAATTTAATGTTGCAACAACATTAAAAATCGATGAAAAGACCAGTAGAAGAATACAAATTTATAACTTTTTAAATGAAGCAAGAGAAAACTGAAAACTAAAAAACCAAATTGTAATGAAAGAGAGCCCAGTCAGGGTGAAGCGATTTCCTTTCTTTTTCCATTCAAACTAATTGGTTCCTTGTATTCTTGTATGCAAAATAAGTAAATTCTGAGAGTGAAAGAATAAGAAAAGAAATGCAAAACCCCATTGATCATTAAAATTGATCCTGTTATGTGAATTTCTTGTGGCACATTCGTTGCTGTTTTCTCTGTTTGCTGCCTGCCTTGTTTCATGTTTAAAATTAAATATGGTAATTTAAATATGGTTTCTTTGGTGCTGTAAGCGACCCCGAAATAAAGAAATGCGATTATTAATTCAGTGATGTTTGTGCTTAAACTTTTTCTCCAATTCTTCCCGGTACGAATAAGCGGAGAGCATGAAATTGTATTGAGAGATTCGTTAAGAGCTGACGGAGGTTAAAAAATGTTAGGATAAGAATTTCAGAAAACCCCAAAAAGAATCTTTTACACAAGATGAGTTGCACAAACAGTCGTAAAGAAATGCAAAAAATGCCATACATGAACTTTTGGAAGCACGTCTTGGTCCTCGGAAAAAAATTGCTTTGCTGTTTGCTCAGAAAATCTTTCAAAGTTAAAGCGAAATTGTAGAATATTGAGAAGCAGTCAAACAAACATAAGAATTACGAACAAAAATGGTTTCGCATATGCAACTTGTGCAAGTGTCTTGCTTTGCCTTTTTTTTGAGTCTTAAGAGAACGTCTTAGGTGAAGAATATTTTTTCATGCTCTTGTCTTTGAAAGTTAAGCAAAGAAGACAAAAGAAAACATCGCTGAGCGGGTGAAAAACGACAGCAAATTTATAAAGAATCAAAGACATTTAAAAGACAATCAATTCAAAGTAAATCGCTTGTTGGCTTCTTTTTTCCAATCGAACAGTTTGAGAAAAAAAATCGACGACATTTCGTTTCTTATTTTGCTGTCTCTTCTTGAGAGACTTCCCGAAAATGTAAATCAACATAAAAATATATAAATTTGAATATCTGCCTATTGGAACTGCAAAAGTTTGGCTTTTAGATTTTTTTTCTTTCTTATTCTTCTGCATTTCATGGACCCTCATTATTTGATAGATGATTTTCCTTCTTTTGAATTTCAAAACAACGAATTTCAAAATAAACAAAACGAAATGTACAAAAAAAAATGAAAAATTCACCACTGACTGCCATTCAATTGAATCTTTTGAATCTTGATGATGGTCTTTATATATATTTTCACTAAATAAATTGCAATTTCATACCACAAAAAAAGTTATATATATAAATAAAAATGTTGATTCTCTTTCGTTCGTTATTGAAATGGCAAAAAAAGGGAATAATAATAAAGATTAAAGGCATCTGATAATATTCAAAATACGAGGCGAAACGAGACAGCGTTGTTGACATCTCACCAGAATGAGTTAACATCCGAAATGAAAGCTTTTTTTCATTTGATCGAACCATTAAATAATAGAAGGGAAAAAGGGCTGCCATCGGTTAGTTGTAACCGTTCACAAAGAAACGAAGCTGAAACAATCAATTTGAGAACCTTAGACATTCTTTACTTTCATTCTTCTCCCTTTCGAAAATTGACAATAATTTATTTTCACGAATCATTTGAATAAATAAATACACCGATGGCGGTCTTGAAAGAAATTATTCCGAGAACTTTTTCACTGTCATTAAAATAATGAAATCCTTGCCTGTTCTCACCGAGATTGTAATCAGTGAACGATATATAATTGTCATTTGAAAATAGGCTTCGATTATCATCAATTGTCATTGGAAGCTTCTTTGATACATGCTTGAGATGCTTTGTCATGTGACATTTCCATTCCTTACCACAATGATTTTTGACTTTCAACTTTTAATTATCGACAAAAATTTCCTTCAGCTGAGAACAATTGCTAAAAACTTCTTCCTTTTGTTTCTGTCTTTATATGATCACATTTCCAATTGAATTTCATCTTTTCCATGCCTATCGCTCTTCCCCTCTCGTGTGTGTCATTTCACAAAGTGTTAAATTTTTTCTTGAAATTTATTTCACCAATTAAGGAAGCATTTTTGACTGAAGACGTTTCTTTTGGATGGAGAGCAAACCAAGAGCAAATTTTTTTTTATAATGACTCGATTGAAAAATGTAATGAAAATTTTTCTCTCTCATCCACTCACTCTTGCGAGTTTTGAAACATGTGTCATGACTTTTTGGTTTATTTTTTGTTATGTTTTCATGTGAAAAAATTCTTCAACATAAATATGCTTACAAGCATAAGATTTGAGATTAGAAGTGAAAGAGAGGAAAGAAAAAAAAGTTTTTGGTTAATTTAAATAATTGAATAGACTCGACTCGACTTGAACTTCTTTTCTTTCAATGTCTCTGGTCATGCAGTCGCTCGTCGAAAGCTCGTTTAATTCGATTGTTTGTAAGGCGAACGCGAAGCAATTAAAAAATGCTGATTAGAAAGAAATGCTTTATAAGCGACTTTGTTATCTGCTTGAGCGTCGAGGGCCGCTTTGAATGTCGTTTTGTATTCATTAAAATTGAATAAAAATGTTGACCCACACGACTGATCCACAACAGTCTTTTCTTTCTCTCTGTTTTCACATGACTCAATGCAGTTTATTGTGGATTAGAAAAGAGTTTCACTACGTTATGTGATCTTGAGTCTATCGCCTATCTTAGTCGCGGCTCGATTTTCTGTTACTGAATTGCAATTGCTTTCTCTAGCATAGAAAGAAAGAAAAAATTATTCATGCTCTTGCGAAGACACCAAACATTGCTGTAAATCATAAACATGAGAAATAGAAGTAAAGTGAATATGTAATTAAATTAACAAAAATATCCGAAAAGACTTTTAACCTCCATTCTCTTGCAGAAAGTTATTTTTTATTATTTCCTTAATTCTTTATTTGAAAACATTTCTAAGACAGTTGCTGGGAATTTCCATTAAAGCTTTAAAATATGTATTGCAATATGATTTCTGTCATGCGATGATTGATCAAAGAGAAAATCAAGTTCAATAATTTATCCAATTAAAATTTCAAAAGAATCAAATCATCCCAACTAAGTAACATTATTTAATTAGCCCTTGAGCATTATTAGAGAGTGGGAGAAAATGAAACATAAAAGTTTATGATAGAATTTCTAATCAACACAACTTGATTGTGACTTAGTCTTATGGAAAACTATTCAGGAGCTTCAGGAGAATTTTAAAAATAAAAAGAAATTCTAAGAGTTGCACTTTTACGACCTTTGCACGACTTCTGGTAAAACGATCTTTAACAAAATAAAAAAATAAATTCAAATAAAGAATTGAGGTTGAATAGCAGCACCTTGATATTGTTTTTTTTGTATTTCTAGAAAAAAAGATTCTCGTCTTAATAGATTTGATGCTATAATTCAATATTTTCTACTTGCACGTTGTCTCGACGAATGAATATTTACAAGAATCATTTGCAAATTAAAACGGTTTTTTTAATTAAGAGTTTTTTATTCAGTTTCGCTAATTTCTTCATTTTATACTTCATCAATCAACAGGAAGCCGCGGTGCTGTTCGTTATTCCATCTACTCAGGTGATCCGAATGGATTCTTCAGTATTGACCCTGTTACGGGGAATATTCGAGTTGCAAATTTACTTGATCACGAGACAAAGTCTCAAGTTTTGCTCAACATTCAAGCTACAAGCGGTGATCCTCCATCTTATGGACACACTCAGGTAATTTATTTATTTCATCATCTATCAAATTACAAAGCAGCGAAATTTAATTCATTAAGTATGATGGATGAATTTGAAGGTGAAAAATAACAAGAGAGTAGCAAGGACATGAAGCAACGCAAATACGAACGGAATTTTAGTGGCTAAACATAAGGAAAAAAATTCTTATGCTTTAGAATACAAATTTTTCGGTTTTGTTTCTTCTTCCCAATCTGTTGGTTTTGTTTTTTCATTTTTTTATGTGCTGCAACCGTCGTCGCGTCTCTCTTTAAGCATTGAAATTAAATGCAATCGACGAGAAGACACAAAAAAAAGCGACGAAGAGAGATGCAAGCAAACTGGATTTAAATAAGTTGCATTTAACAATTGAAACGACGGAATGGGAAGGCAACGAAAAAAAAAACTAAATAAATAATGTCCGACAAAAACAAACAAACGAAATGGTGAAAATATTCTGCATATAAATAAAATGCAATGACATCTACAAAAAGAAAAGAAAAATACTTCATCGCATATCAACAAAAAGAAAAATGCTTCATGAACTCCAACAATCCACCGATAAAAGCACACAGAAAATAATTGAAAAATTGTTATTCAAATGTGAGACGAAAAGACAGCAGCACATTAAGTGAATCTCTTTTGAACGTCTCCGAAAAGTAATTTAAATAACAACAGAACGAAAGGAATCTTTCCTTCATGCTTCTTGTATTTTTCTTTTTTTCGACAGTTTCCACGAAACAATGATTTGGATTATAAAATTTCAAGCTCATTAAATATTTTTCTGTTTTCCATCTCGTCACAGGTGAATATTGACATCGAGGATATCAACGACAATTATCCAACGTTCGAATCAAATACTGTGAGAATTTCGGTACCTGAAAATGTTGAGCTTGGAACTCCATTGTATGTTGTGTCTGCAAATGATCGTGATTCGGGAAAGAGCGGCACTGTCACTTATCGTTTATCAAATGGTGGTTCGATTCTCTCGTCAAATACAAATCTCGTCACGACGAATTCAATTTCATCAGTCATGTCATCAAACAATCTTTTCAGCATCGATTCAACTACAGGTCATTTGACCTTATCGCAGCATCTCGATTTTGAAACATTGCAACGTCACACGTTAATTGTAACTGCAACAGATTCTGGTGAACCGCCATTGTCTACGAATCTGACGATTTTCGTTGAAGTGCAGGATGTCAATGATAATCTTCCCATCTTTGAACGCAATGAATATACAATCAAAGTCTTGGAATCAACGCCGATTAATTCACAGGTAATTGCTTAAATTATTTTATTTATTATTCATGAAATGCTTCTTGCGCTTCACTTAAGACGGAATACGAAACTTTTCCTCAATTAACTTTCAATAAAAAAATCATTTAGATTATGCGAAAGCATTTTACAAGCTCAAGAACAAATTAAAAGTTTAAGAAAAAAAAACATGATTTTGTGGAATCATCAACGATTCATTAAGTTTAGTTAAAGCCTAAGCCATTCGTTGTGCAATAATTGCAATTCAATTTATTACTCTCTCTTGGAATGTTGAGTATCGTTGATGCAAAAAAATATTCTTAAGGAATGTCTATTTACATTTGATATTGCTTCGTGTTTCACAAAACGACTCTTTAAAAAGCTATAAAATGAACTTATTAACAACAAAAGCTCATTGCGTTTTAATTAAATTCAAATACACGTGAATTGTGACAGTTCGAAAGGAATTTGATTAGATTTCAAGTCAAATTTTTAATATGAAGACTGAGAGAGCTTTGAGTAAAATTTAAAGTTAATTAAAGATAACTAAAATGTTATTCAAAATCATCAGTGTCTATATTTGCTTGCTATTAAGCTTACCTGGAATTCTTTCTTTGATTTTCACATTGGCAATTTGTCTCAAGATCTTACAACATATCTTTCAATCGCCAAACGCTGAATCGACAACAAATTCCATTACATCATGTTGCGCTTTGAATTCACGAATCGTTGACTGTTGTCCAGATTAATGAATCATAATCGATTAAACAATCAACAAAAACTAAAAAAAAAATTTGTGTTGCTATTAAGAACAATAATTTGTTATTTTTATAGAGTTCTTTAAAATAAAATTCCACAACATTTCCATCACGAATTACCTTGCAAATCTTATTTAAACCTTCCTTCACCTCTTCTTGACCATAAACAAAGACTTCTGTACATTTATTTTCTGCTTTGAGCTTAGTCTAGAGATTCGTCGTTTGTGTACAGAAAATCTTCTTTTCATTTGACCTCATCATCAATTAATCAATCTTCGATAGACATTTCAATGCCCTGCTAGCTGCATTCAAGAAAGGTTTTATTTTGTTGCAAATTTCTATATCTTCTTTTTTGACAATAACCCTTTCCATTCCATTCTTTCATTAATAACATTTTATGCTCTTCACTGCCTGTACAATACACTTTTATAGCCATTACTTGATGCGCGTTACCGCAAAATTCATTTAACTTAAAGTTTTCGTAGAATTCATGTTCTTGTACGTTCTTTGGAAAGAAAAGAAACAATAAATTAAATTTTGTTTCATTATCATAATGTCAAAATAATGTTACTCAAACTTTACAACTAGATACTAAATTTAAACTTACATATGTCTGCTGATATCATGTAGTTGAATGAGAAAATTCCGAATTCTTTGTATTTTGCACACTTTAATGTTGAGCTATTTTTACGGTTCCTATAAATTTAGTTATGGCACAGTTCTTGTTGTAGATAACTGTTATGTTGAAACTATCACGAACATTTCTTTTCTCTTCCTTTAGACGCGATAGATTGCGAATAAATTTTTTGACTGCCATGAAAAAGCGAGAAATGAAAGCCAAGGCCATTACTGACTTCCGTACATTCCTATAACATGTTTTTGAACTTCAAATTATAATTTTTCTGTAATGACGACTCGATATGGATATTTTCAATTTAGGTATTTTCGGAAATCTAGTACTTCAAAAGTCTAGTTTCGAAAATCTGCATGTTTTCGAAAATCAATCGCAGAATGTGAGGTCTTAAAGTTTCCAAAAATCTAAGTGTTTAAACATTTGCTAATATCGCTCAAGAAGTTATTATATACCTAATTTAAATATTCAAAACTATTCTGTTGAAACGTAAATATGACCATTTCAAGAAATTCTTCTTCAAAATTTATTTCTATTTCCATCAATTGGCAGAGCACGCACGTTACAAATATTTATCGAATCTTGTTTCAGTGACCTAATTGATTTGATTCACTATAAGAGAGAAATTTAACAATTAGATACAAGCTGGATTAAGTTTTTATTAGTGTATTGATGGGAATGAAGATGATGAAGAATTTCTTTTCATTCACCACAAATCTCAAAAGACGAAATTAAAAGAATATTAATCTGTCAAAAGAAACGTAATTAATAACATTCTATATTTCAATAAAAGCCATAACATCATTCCCGCTTTTCACGTTCTTCCATTCTGGAGTCTTCATCATCATCATCAGCGGGACAGGAACGAAAGTCGTGGCCATTTGTGCTTCTTGCCTTTTCTTCAATTCAAGTCTTCTCCACTCGCTTGTACACGAGCAATATAATTTCTTTATTCTCGCTTCTTTTTTCTCTTTTCCAATGCCAATGCTTCATTCCTCTTTTGTGTTGCGATGAAATTGATGTTGGCTTTTATTATTTTGCTGTTGTTACAATTTTATTTTCATCTTTTTTTTGTATTATGAAATTTATTAAGGTCTCTATTTTGTTTTCTTTTCATTCTTCATTATTAGATTCTACAAGTCAATGCAGTTGACCTGGACACTGGTAATAACGCACGACTTACCTACCGTTTGGCAAATGCCGCAAACACCAATCAACCAAAGCAACAAAATAAATTAAACACCAGCGAAGAGCTTGAGTTGTTTGGAATTTTTCCAAACAGCGGATGGATTTACTTGCGTGGAACGATGGACCGTGAAGCGCGTGATCGCTACGATTTAACGGTTCTTGCGAGTGATAATGGAACACCATCAGAAACAGCAACAACTCGAGTAATAATTAACGTTATGGATTCTAATGACAACGACCCGAAATTTCTACGAACGTCGTATGAGTTCAGCATAGAAGAGAATTTGCGACGTGGCGCTGTTGTTGGTGTTATTCAAGCGAAAGACGCCGATTTGGATATAAATGCTGCCATTCGTTACAGTTTGATTCCAAGCAACACATCATTTCAGATTAATCCAACATCGGGTAAGTGTTTGAGTCTTATTTCGTTCAATGCATTAGCAGCAGTTAAAGTTTTTCGCAATTTTTCTCTTCAAATAATTGAAAGTTTACAAGTCGATCAATCATTTATTTATTTCCCACAGCGTCTAATCCAATGTTAAACAATGTAGATTATCGACCTCAAAAATTAATTTAACTTAGTTGTTTTTAACATTTCATTAGTCTCAAAAACTGACTGAATTATAGCACAGCATCTTCGTTTCAAATTGAATTCCCCCTTTATCGATATCTGCTTATATATTGGAAATATTGAGGTTTTAGAAAGGTTTGATCTAAATATTAAAAAATAAAACACTAAATAAGAAAAGGCTTCGAATAATGAAGTCATGAGATAGAAGAAGAAATTATATGATTAATGGATATTTGATGCAAATTTCTCTCTGGGTTAATTTATTGGCAGTCGGTGAAAGAAGAGAATGGTGAGGGAAAGATAAGAGTCGGTGCCTTACCGAGAGTAATTAACAAATGTATATTTTCCATTAAACATCCATTTTGAAATCGCCTTCTTCCGATTGCAACGCCAACAACAATTAATATGAAGCAGGAAAAAATATTATATCAATATGCAAATGAGATCGTGAAACTAAGAAATTGCATTTTTCAAGCGTCGGTTTATGTTTTGGGTTGAGATAAGCTAAGCTTTGGAAGCGGTCTCGCCTCAAATGTGTCATAAGTTTGTCGCTTTGACTGCTAACGAAGGAATGGGTAGAAATGTTTATTTTTTCTTAATCAAAAAACAAATATGTTCTTTAATTAACCGTGCAAATCTTTTCGTTTCTTTCTTATTATTTTATAAAAACAAGAAAAGAAAGATTTGCTTCTCATTATGATTCATAATAGATCGAAATCGTTGAAAATGAAGATTTTTTCATTAACATTAAACATGTTTGTTTTAAATATTTTCTGATGCAATGAAAAGGTGGAACTTTGAAGCTTAGAACGAGAAAAAAAATTCTAATGTTTGATGAGAAATATTTAAACAAAATTCTGGAAGCAAATAAAAACCGCAACCAGAGGCCGAAGTCACAGAACTGATAGAAGATTCTCGTTTTAACTTAGAAATGTAGTTTTTTTTTCAATAAATAAATAAATGATCAAAGAAGCTGAACCGATGCAGGAAGACGTTTGCTTTCGTACAGACAGAATTAGTGGAGTTTAATGGCTATTTAGTTTCAAACATACATAGTCAGAAATTGTGAATTCGAGACTCTTTGAGATTCCATCAACAATTACCGTCGATTAACTGACGAAAGAAGTAAAATAAAACCTTCCGTATATTTGTTTTAAAAATTAATATTGAAAGAAATTCATTTCCCTGCTGCTTTTCTCAATTAATGCTTTAGAAGCTTTTCTCTTCACTCTCGCATAAATATCCAACAGGTTGCGGCTAATGAATTGTAAACAAATTATAAGAATCCTTCTCATCATGAGAGATGATTTCTTCTTTCAAAGCCTTCCCATCTTTCGGCAAGTTCGAGGTTATCTAAACTTTATTTATGTGAAATTTCTGCGCAATCTTTATTCAATTAGAAAAGCTTTTCTGTTTGTTCCTACGTTTTTGTTTCTTTTATTTATTCCTTTCATTTCAATTAATTAAGCATACATTTATTTAAGGTTGAATTGCAATCATCATTCAATTTTGTTTCTATAAATACAATTGATGAAGATTTGCAAGTTAATTTTTAAGCTCTAAGTTAGCAAGAAGGGAAGGAAACGAAGATAAATTAATAAATTTATTCACATTCGCCACGGCTATTTTCTTTTCTGTAATGGTTATGAACGTTGAAATCTACTAGAGCGCAATAAATTAATTGGCCGTTTGAGTCACACTGCAATTTCTCAGCGTTTAACAAAACCTTTTAAAGCTTCACCTTCAAGACATTTCTTTTTCAACCTCATCTTGTGAGTTCACGTATCTCTAATCCAATTGACGGCTTAAGTTCCACATTTTCCTTTTCCTTTTAAATTGTTTCGCAACATTGTATAATCAAACAGTTGTCGTCAGTCTTCAATAAGCTTTAACGAAAAATCAGTCAAATCCAATGCTGATTACAATTTCAAATGTTCTCATTTCTTACGTAACAATTTTAAATAAAAGTAAAGACATAAAAATTAACTTATACGAAACAAAAAAAATGGAAACGAGGCGAGATGATGGTAACAAATTTTAATTCGATTTTTTATTCTTTAAATTTAATAATAAGCAGTCACAGGGCGAATATTTCTTCTCGGCAATTTTTATTTCTTTCCTTTTTTTCGATGATATTCCAACATTACACTCCACAATATTATTTTAACATAAAATGACTATTAATTTCAATATGTTTTGCATAATGTTTGTGCATGTTTTTCTTTTTGTTTCGTTTTTGCTTTCTTTGTAAGGTAACGAGAGTTCCTTCCATTTTGAGAGTTTTGCTTTAAACTTTGAGATTATAAATTTGCACAGAGATTGGAACATCACTGAATCATTAATTTCCGAATGAACATAATTTTCTTACAAACTTTTCCAGTTGCAATCTCTGAAAAGTTTCATTGAAACACTTTTTTTTTCATTCTTGTTTCTTTGGAGTTCTCGTGAAAAGATTTTGATTCTTTAACTGCTGCTGTTCTGATTTTTATCAATTTCATTTCGTAAACAAACAAACAAACATCGAAAGTCATGATTTCTGCTTGTTTTTCTTTCTGTTTTTCTCAGGTGAAATAATAACTCGTGAAGCACTTGATAGAGAGTTAAAGGCATCTTACGATTTAGTTGCGGAAGCTCGTGATCAAGGGACGCCTTATCGAAGCGCTCGAGTGACTGTGCATGTTATAGTGACCGATGTAAATGATAATGCACCAGAGATTGTCGATCCACAAGAAGATGTCGTCAGTGTAAGAGAAGAGCAACCAGCTGGAACAGAAGTAGTCCGAATTCGCGCCATCGATCGTGATAATGGACATAATGCAACAATAACCTATTCAATTCTGAAAGGCCGTGACTCGGATGGCTATGGCTTTGGAATGTTCTCTATTGATCCAGTGACTGGCCTAATTCGGACTCGTGTATCATTAGATCACGAAGAGCATACCATTTATCGGTTGGCGGTAGCGGCGACAGATAGTGGAAAGCCACCAAAACAAACGACTCGATTACTTCGTATTGAGGTGCTCGACTTAAATGATCAGCGACCAACATTCACAAGCTCAAGTTTGGTCTTTCGAGTAAGTATTCAAACCTTTTCTTTCTTTAATAATAAAAATGTTTGAGACAATGCTCCATTAAATATTCAATCCAATCTTGTCACTGTTGCTAAAGATGTTGAAATAAAATGCAACGCTTATAAATAATCCAAAATTTTTACAACACAAGAAACTTTTTTTTGTTATTGTTTTAATTGAAGAAATTCTTGAAATTATAATTTAAAGAATGTGAGATTTTCTTTCTTTTCTTCCACGTTTTTTTATTTGTGATTTCATTCTTGAATGCATTCGAGACTTTTAAGTAGAAACATTTTGAGTTTGTAAATATTCTTGTACATGGTTTTCTGAACGTTTAAATTTGCCAAACGTTCCTTTAGACACTGACTCAAGTAATGTCGAAGTTACTTAAACAGTCAGAGATACCGATATGTGATGCGACACAATAAGCGACGGTAAAAAGAAGTCCCCAGCGCGTATTAAAATGAAGTTTGACTCAGTGGAGTCAAGAGAAAAAAAAAAGTGCAAATCTTGTGTTTTATACGGCTTTGGGAGTCTTCATAGGGAAAATAAAATAAAATATAAATGGAAGAATTAATTCGCAAAAGGAATTAAAGAAAGGAAGAAAACAACAAGCAAAAGATACGAACATGAAGTGAATTTCGACTTAAGATTCTTCTTCTGCCTTTCATCATGTTCGTTCTGCAAAAGATTTCGTTTTTATTTTATTTCATCTTCAACTGATGATGAATTCTCTTTTATTTGGCAAATCTTGTTGCAAGTTACAAATGCTTTCGTCTTGGATCAACTAATTCATTGCAAAATGAAGCAGTGATGAGTGTTGATAATCTCATGGTGGTGAAGAAGTAAAAATCATTTCACAAATATTTAATTCTATCTTGGATTAAATAAAAGGATTTTCTTATTGGATGAGATCTCACTTTGATGTTAATGAAATGTGAAGAAATGAGATCTGAGTGTTCATGCAGCTTCACGCAAGATTTATTTCCAACTTGAACACCTTGAAGATATTATGCTGATTCTTCTTTTTTACTCTTCTTTTTATCTCATTCAAAAGCGAAGCGCAATGTGGTTTTGGTTAATTTCAATGTTATTTTCCTTTTTTTTTCGGGTGGCAATTTAGCCAATTGATATGGTCGGCTGTAAAAGTGTCATAATTTCTTTTCACGGGCGAATTTACACATAGACACATCACACATCCAATTATTCAGAGAATGCCATTCTAAAGGAAGTTTAATGTACATGGGTTGATAATTTGATAACTAATGCAGTCAATAAAGTGACCATATAACATCAATTAATGGTGAAATTTAAAAATGAATTCTAGATAAAGTTTCTGCTTCTGCTGAGACATTAAAACATTTGAAAGAATTCTAAGTTTCCTTGAATGAAGTTGAAAACTTGTCGATTCACTTAAAAGACTTAACTTGAGTTTATGTTTTCAAAATCCACAAAAACCTTCTTTTTCTCGTTTAACTCTTTCTTTATTATTCTTCTCATTTCATTCGTAATTATTAAATTAAGATTATAAAATGACTTCATAATAAAAAGGAAAGAAAAAAATTGTCAAACACTTCTCGAAGTGGAGAGATACTCGTTCTTAAATTCTGAAAGTATTAAGAAGCGACAAACGAGAATTGAAATGAAACTATCGCGGATAGGAAGGGAGAGAATAAAGAAAGATTCTTATGTTGGGCGTTGAAATATTTATTCAAAAAAACATTTTTTTAATTGTTAATTCTTTAAACCTTTTAACAGGTGCGCGAAGACGTTCCAGTTGGTTATGTCGTCGGCTCAGTTGGTGTGTCGGAACATTCGGATGCTGATAATTTAATCACAAGCAATAGCGGTGTTCATGTCACATATACACTTACACCGTTGACAAGTGATGTGATTGTGGGTGCTTTTGACATGGATCGAAACACAGGCTCGCTTGTCGTCGCTAGAAAATTAGATCGAGAACAGCAAAGTGAGTTTCGATTGGAGATTCGAGCGCTCGATATCAGTGCTTCGAATAATCCACAAAGCTCAGCAGTAACTGTAAAGGTTGAGATTGCTGACATCAATGACAATGCTCCAGTATGGGAAAAGGATCCCATTACGATAGAAATATCAGAAGACACTTCGGTTGGAAGTTTGATTTATAATTTTACAGCAACTGATGCAGATACCGGCAGCAATAGCGATATTCAATATAAGCTCGTTAAACAAGTTCCATCTGAGCACGACACATTTGCAGTTGATCCATTAACCGGTGCGCTGACACTTTTGACAACTTTGGATTATGAAGTAATTTCGGAATATATTCTTATTGTCACCGCTACCGACCAATCATCAAATGTCTCTGTTCGACTAAGTACATCAGTTACGGCACGAATAATGATCATCGATACGAATGACAACAATCCTATCTTCGTTCAACCCACAGTTAAAGACACGCTTGTCTACTTAAGCGATTCAGCAACAGTTGGTCAATTAGTGACGCATGTTATTGCCATTGATAAGGATAATGGACAGAATGGCTTAATATCTTATAACATCGTTAGTGGAAATGAAGATGGTCGCTTTAACATTGACACCGAAAATGGTTTTATTGAACTTGCCAAACCGTTGATTAGAAAGATTGAATCAAATGCAAAAACTTCGACTAATCAGAACAGTGTCAGTAATTTAATTAGTGGAAAATATAATCTTGTTGTGAGTGCGAGAGATCATGGAATGCCAACACCGAAAGAAGCTCGTGTCAACATTAAAATTGTGATTCAAGGTTCGACTAACAATCCACCACGATTCTTGGACACAGTTTATTACGCGAATATCACGGAGAATGTTGCACTTGGCAGTTTTGTTGTTCGCGTCAATGCAAAGTCCTTCAATAATGAAAACGGTGAGTGATTAACTTTCTCAACTCTTTAATCTTATTTTAAAAAAAAAAAGGGAGCAAGCATTGAATTGCATTGAATTGCATTGTATATGAAGACAACAACTCTAATTGAGAACATTAACAAAACGATTTAACCGCGGTAACGCTGTAACGTGTAATATTTAGTAATGTTAAAGTAAAAATCTGTTTATTTTATTTCTTTAATTCATTCCCTGATGTTCCAAGAAATATTTTATATTTCTTTTTATTATTTCCTTCGAAAGTCTTCCATTCCATCAAATGGAGAACGCAAACAATACATGCCAATTAAAGATATTAACAATAATCTTATAGTTTTCTCAACTTCTTGCGTTGCGTGAAAGAAGAAAAAAACCAAAAGACAAAAAAGAAAAGGAAGGAAAAAAAATAAGTTTTATGGTTGCGATTTCTTCAGTTTTAAAGCTTTGAATTATGATGATAATGATGATAATGATGATGATGATGATGATGAAAGTAATATCAATTCAAGCCAACACACAATAATTCTTTGGAGAGACTCTTGATAATGGTACCAACACACAAATCCGACATTCCTTCAAGTGAGAACAACGCAATAAGAAAATTCCGTACATTTTGTGTTTTAATTAACATCATGATGAAGAAATCTATCATAAAAGGAGTTTTCTTGCATAAACATTCACTTCGGCTACACTCACGATTCCAAAAACAGGCACAGATGAAAATTAAATGCTATGAAAATCCAGATAAATCAATAATTATTATACATGAACTTTAATCGCTTCAACCATAATCTCATTCATTACTTACTGATATTTTTCTCATAGCTTTTAACATTATAGAAGAAATTAAATCGAATGAAGCAGATACGTAAGGCAAACCAACAACATACCAGGGCTGGATGAATGTAGATCAATTTACTTTGACTTTTCTTCCCCCTTCCTTTTTTAAATCTTGATTGAAGATACAACAAACGCTTTACAATTACGATTGATGCACTCGCTAAACATTGCTAAGCTATTAATTCAAGAAATCATAAGCTATGATGATTTTATCATTCTTAAATTCCATTTAAATTTTATTTCCTTCTTCCATCGTGCTCAATAACTGAATTGGAAAATGTTGAATGCCCAATAAAAAAATTTCTCTAAACAAAATTGATTAAGTTTTCAAAAAAAAATATTTATGTTGGATCATCCTTCTAATATAATAACATATAAAGCTACATAAAAGCATTGTTTTCCTAATGAAAACTTATTAGAGAGATAAGAGAGAAATCTAAAGACGATAATGTTTTCATTTCTATGGCGAAGATAGAACATAGCAAAGCATAGCAGAACATAAATACATGTTCTTAAATGAATGTAGTGCATAAAGAATAATGTTTTAATAACTAAACTGAACCCCTCTCGACTTTAATCAAGCGCTGAGTGAGAAGGAAAGAATAATTTTTTTATTTTTATAGTCAATTTGGCTTTCGCACACAATTCGTTCGAGTTTTGTTTAAGTAAGCAAGTACACAAAATCAAACAAAGAAAATTATAAAGCCGCATATGAATGCAATTTATTGGAAAATAAAACTTAATCATGACATGAAATCGATAAACAATAATAACTTTGGACGGATGGTGAAGAGCAAAATGAGAAGAACGAAATCGAATGTGTTGATATTGTGTAACAGATTAAGGGCTCTGAAGTGAGCCACAATCTCAGCAGTTAAAACAAAGTTATGGAAATAAAAAAAAGCTGTTCACAACATACATAAATAATCTTCGGTATGATGTTGAAAAGTTCGAAACAATGAAGCAAGAAGAATAATGAAATATCATGATGTGTGCAGGTGCATTTCTAACCCTAAGGACATGTTGTGTGTTGAACAAAATGTTTTATATCATGATATTTTAATATACGAGATTCACAATTCTTACTCTTTCCATCCATGTCTGCGCCATGATATTAAAAAGTTATTTAATCGTGATTATTATCCGATATGTTCTGGCACATTACCGAGACAGCTTCTCGTTTCGCATTCATCATTTTAAATCTTGTCATGAAAGTTTTCGATGAGTGAAAACTTCAGATAAATCATCAAACTTTTATTTCTCTTGGTGTTTCGCTAATGATATGTAAATTTCAATTAACATGTTCATATCGCAATGATTGCTGTATGAACTTTTCTCGTTCGCTCGTAATATGAAATATTTGTAAAATTTGGCTGAGTCAGAAACTCTGAACTTAGCGCTGCGATACATCAAAAAAATAAAATCAGAACTAAAAATTATTCTTTGAGAACCGTCTTGTCGCTTTTATAAACTGCAATCAACCTCACGGCTTTATTTAGTTTAAAACGCGAGTGATGAGCGAAAGAAAACAAAAAAAAAGCTCCGGAAAGCAACGAAGAGCGAATAAATCTTTTAAATTTCTTCACATTGCATTTATTCATTTTTTGGCGGCGGACGAAATGAAATTAAATTAAAGAATATTCATCTTTTATTCTTTCTTTTGGTCATCAGTGACTTTTATGTATTATCTGTTGTAAAACATGCACAACACTTCTCAGCCATTCCTTAACTTTTTTTCAAAAGTTTTTATTTTTATTTCTCAACAATTTTTTTCCCCAACGTCTCCCAAGTTAGTTTAGCAACCTAATTATGCATATGAGCATAAAATGATTAAACTTAATTCAACATGCAAAGGCAGATCAAATGCAAAAATGCTTACAGAAATAAAAGCGAATGAAATAAAGAGAAGAATTCTGACTGCGAAGCAGCATTTCGTGCTACCAATTTGGCTGTTTTGTGCTTACGTTCTGATAAATCTCTTGCTTCTCTACAATGTTTCTTTGGCTCTATGCCATGATCTGTATTCATTTCACTGCTCCATTCTTCTTTCTGATGGTTTTGTTCACGAAATGGCAACAAAACAACAAAATTAAAGGAAGGAAAAGAAATACCGAGCAGCAAGTCAAATGTCAAGAATGGCAAGTATGTGATTTTATTTGTTCTGCCTCCAGTGACTTTAAATCTACTGTTAGCAATGATTCCACTAGGTACAGTTCAACAATCGACATTAAAAAAGCGTAAGGGTGAAAGATGAAGAAAACTTTTTAATCATCATATTTAATAGCCAACAATTAGCATATTTAATTATCATAATAAATCAAATTGACCTTATCGGATGTCAGTTTATGAAAATCAATGCAATGCTCAAGTTCCTTTTGTGATTTAATTGAATTCATGATTAATAGTAATTTATTTTATATTTTTTCATCAACTAACTCAGGTGGAAACTTAACATATGATATACCGAAAGGAATTGGCGATGATTGTTTCACTGTTGATTCTCTGCGTGGTATTGTAACGACTAAGGGAACGTTTGATCGTGAGACGAAAGATTTATACACGGTACCGATTTATGTTATGGAATCAATGACATCTCAATTCAAATCAACTGCTAATGCTAAAACGACAGCAAACAAACTCTACAAATCACAATTTGATGTTGCAACAATTGTCATTCGTATTGTTGATGTCAACGATCATGCACCTGAATTTCGACCTGGTTCATGTTACCCGCTGGCTATACCTGAGAATAGTGACGTATCGATTATACACCAAGTTGTTGCCACTGATCTAGATGAAGGTCCTAACGGTGACATAACATACAGCATTACAGGTAAGCAATTTATTTTCCAACAATTACTTGTTCCGATGCCTTTTCCTCATTCTTATGAACGTTCTTGAGCCTTCTTCACTGTTACTGCTGTTGTTGCTTTAACCATTTACATTTTTCCGCATTAACGGTTTCCAACATAAATTCAATTTACATATTCTCCCAGCATAAAATCCAACCGATCAGCAAATTTCTTTTCTTCAACGTGACATAATATTCTTAGAAATTGTTTTTCCTTCTTCATTTGATTGCTTCATCTATGCATCGGAAGTGGCTGGCAATTCTCAAGCATGAAAGTATGTAGTAAAGAGAGAATTTTTTATTGATTTTCTCAAATTGACTTCTGCTTTGAAGATGAGAAAAAAGTTTTTGGAAAATTTTGATATCTTCTTATTGAAATAAAATTTTTAACTTCTCTGTTTGAATTCAATGATTCTCACCAGATACATAACTAACCAACAGATAAAAGAAGCTTTTATTTATTGCAAGTGCCAATAAAATATTTACTTCTGTCTTCTTCGAAAGCTTAGCTCGAGCTAAGCTGATTAATCAATGATAAATAAATTAATAATCAGAAATTCCCTCTCGACTTCTCCTCTTGAATAAAACATTTCAATAAAATAATAATTTTTATATAACTTTAATGAGTGAAACTAACTACAGGATATTTTTTTTCTCAACTCCCCATTCATATTTCTCTCTTCCTTTCTCTTTTCATTTTATGCTGCGGTCCCGCGCGCAATCAACAGGTGGTAACGTTGGCAATAAATTCAGTATTGACATGCATACGGGTGAATTAACATCACGTCCATTAGACAGAGAAACACATTCTCGCTATTTTCTACAAATAACCGCACAGGATCGTGGAACACCCGTTTCGTATCAAGGTCAATGCAATATATCTGTTATTGTTGAAGATCAGAATGATAATGATCCACGCTTTGAGATGGCAAAATATGTTGCGACGATACCTGAAGACGTTCCAATTGGTACAAGCGTGTTGACAGTTAAAGCTATTGATGCTGATCTGGGAATCAATGCGAGAATTATTTATTCATTGGCCAATGAAACTGAATGGCTTTTTAGCATTGACAATCGAAGCGGATTGATTACAACAGCCGGGTAAGTTTTACTTTTTTACATACACATAAATATTTCTTAAATGTTCTTTTGAATTTTATTTATCTTCTTCGTTTTTAATGTTCCGATGTCTTAAACTATCTTTGTCAGTGTCGTAATAAGTGAAAGAGAGAAGAAAGCAAAGTTTAATGCATAAAATTCTTCGCTTTGTTATGAAATGGAATAAGAAAATAATTTTATTATATGCAAATGTTTGAATACGCATTTTAGATTTGAGTTTTGCTTCTTTTTTTTTTGGTAATTTTCTTAAACAATGCTGGCGAGTTGAAATGTTGGAATTCAATAGAAAATCTGTGATCAAAAGATTTTAATAAAGTAGCGAAGAAAATATTTTAATTTCTTTCCAACTTCAATGCGATATTGTCTGAGTATTTATTTGCGTATTTTTGTAACGAGAAGAACCACACAATCTTTTGAAGACGCATTGTTGTCTAGTTCAAAAGGCAAACTTCAGATTCGACTTCCATTGTATTCGATTTACGATTGTGGTTTGTTGTCATCTTCTGCAGGCGATTTTTGAGAGAAGTTGACAACTATTGGAATAAATACAAGCTATTAGAATGACTTTCGACCAATTTGCATTGCACGCATTATGGCTGCTACCTGACTTTCATTCCAAATGTCTACACGCAAATGATTTCGTCTCATGTTGAGTCGTGAAATGTCGATAAGTTTAATGCTCTCCTTTGTTTCATGTCAGACGAGAAGAAAAAAAAGGTGAAGTTGTCTGAATCCTCTTTCTTCTGCTTATTGGCTTTTGGAAACAGAGAAAGCTACATGCATAACAACCAAATTTAATAATTGCATTGAGAAAATACTTCGATAAACATATTTTCGTTCCTTTTTTTTCAATTCATAATTTATCCGCGCACCGAAGCGAAACAAAAAAAAAAAAGATTTTGCTTGTTGTTAAAGTTGTACTTGATCTTTATTTTATTTTTTTCGTTCCGAAAACGAGGAAGAAAAAAAGTCGTGTAAATCAAAAAATAAATATATTTAAGCGAGATATGATATGATATGAATATTTCATTGCTTGTTCGATATACTTTTTCTTTTATTAATTCTCTGAAAGATGAGATTGCAAAGTAACAAGGATGTTGCTGTATTACTGCTTCACTTAACACTGAATTTATGAAAGATAAATTTCCAATGACGTGATTGCTCAACTTCGTTCTACCACACGAATAGAAATTTATTTGAATTTAAGTTGTTGAATAATTAATTAACTTTACAAAAGTCATATGACGAATTTGAAAAATGAAATGTACAAGTCAAAATGACTGAAGTCATTCCTTTCATTACTTAAATAAATTGGCATTTGAGTGTTTTTTTAATCGACACGATGCTTAACTCTTTAAGCTAAAGGCAAAGTTAATCGAAATACAAAAGAAGAAATGAATGATTGTAAATTATTATTGGTGATGCATTGTGCAGATTCTTCTCGTATTTCGTATTCTTCATGCATCATCTCAGATAATCTTATTGCAGATTCATCGATTCCAAAAAAAAATGAAGAAAAGAAATAAACAGACTATAAAACGAAAACATTGTTTGGTCGTTCGCTTCGGGGTAGGCATTCACTCATCGACAGCCAAAGGCTTTTAAATGAAATTAAAATTAATTTCAAGCAATTGAATAGCGAGAAATAAATTTTCATTTCATGTCAATTCCATTTTGACATTGAATGAAATAAATGCAAAAAAAATTATTATTAGCAAGTGTCTTCAAATGATAATGCCGACAAAGCAAGATTTCTATGATCTCATCTTTATTTCATTTGTGTCAAATGAATTCCTTCAATCGTATCTCATATCAGTCTGCATCGAGAAAATTCCAATTTCTGATTTTGTAATGAAATCTGTTATTGCATCTTAAGTACTTAGTTCAATCGCGACATTTTTCAAAGTGCAATTTAAACTAATTGATAATCAATTGCATTGAAATGTTAAATATTTATGTACATTTCTAATTACAATTCTAAAAAAAGTTGTGTAATGCTGCAAATTTAGGACAATTAACTTAAAAGCCTCACCTTTTTTTTGCCTAATCAAATTAAATGTTTAGATAGAAAAAAAAGTTTCAAGTCATATCAATGACAAGACAGAAAAAAGAAACTGAAAATGTTAAAAATGTTAAAGATCTCTTATCGTAGGAACAGAGTAAGTTAGCAGAAAGAAAAAAATTGTTCAGCACAAATTATTCTATCACAGATCAGGCGCGAGAGAGAAAAATTATAGCTGCAAGATATTGATACGAAACCACATACATGGCATGCCAGTTTCCCTTTCATTTTAAACTTCAAATCCGATGCATTTATGTTGTTTATGCTAAATTTATTATTCCGATAATAATCGTTTTGAGGCTTGAGGTTTGTTTTTCTGTGTTGAGCTTTTCATAAAAATTCAATTAATTACATCAATATCTTGGTATCCAAGAGAGATATCAGCTGTAAATGTTTCCGATCCAAGCACAACAAGACACTTTTGCAATTGTGTTTTCGGTTTCATTGAGATTTCCAACTTCTGATGGCTAAGAAAGGAAAAACTTTGCTTAAAATGTATAAATTTTTATCGTCGAACTTAAAATATTGACATTTTAATGTTTATTATTAAATTTATAGTATTCAGTGTTCAGTTTAAAGTTGCTCAAGTTTATGTTAATTTATGCTTTTGCACTATGCCACTTGGTAGCCTGACAATGCCACTGATCAAACACATTGTGGGCTCGAATTTCGAAAACGATTTAAGATTTTATTTGAGATTCGAATGATGGCTTTTATAAAAATAAAAATCTCATGACAATCCAAGAAGTGATATGTTTGTAAACAGTGCTATTAAGCTTTTATTTAATTCGATGTCTTTCACAACTCAAAGTACTTCGAGAGTCGAGACAATCCAATTGTCGAATGACAATGATTTCAGAAGCGATGAAAAATATTTTATAGCGAGAAAATGTTAAATTGTTGAATCGAATTGATGCCGCTGAGCATAGTTACAACAACAACAACTAGATGAAATCTTAAATGCCCATTAAAATAAAATGAATTTGTCACTTTTTATAATGAAATCAATAAATTACTTTTTTAACGCTGTCTCGAGAGTTATTAAGGCACTTGATTTGCTACTGAACATGCATAACTTTTTATAAGGCTCCGGTTTTTTATGTTAAATAGCTTAAATAGATAATTAAAATTCCTTCAAGCTTTTCCACCAATTCTTTAATAATAATTGCAGTAGAATAAATGAAATTTCACATGGTAATAATTCTCAAGACTTCAGACGACAAATGAAAGCTGAGATGCTTTGCTTTATCTCAACACATTAAACACACACCTCTGGCTACTCAAAAGCATTGCATCGCGATCTTCATAATTAACAATGACATATTAAATTACAATATGCATCACTATCTAACTAAAGCTGAATGAATAAGAACCACAAGATATCACAACAACCCCATAACCGGCATTCTTAATGGTAAAGTAATTAATGTTTTATATTTGCGCTTTGTTATCTTAGCATTGTTACTCCGAAATCGCAAGAAAATAAAAAGAAGATAAAAAAATTACAAACAATTTAGAAATGCCAGGAAGAAAAGCATATTCGTTTCAATCTTAAAATGGAAATGGAATAAATTTATTCTCACTTTTCTGAGTTGAATGTTGGACTTTCATAAGAGTTGAACTAGCAAAAGATGTCTTGAAACATTTGGAATTCATCTTATGCTTTTCTAGTCGTTTCCATGTTTGCTCAAGTAAACTGGAACCAGTTTGAATTAAAAATGTCTCATTCTCAATTAGAAGTCAAAGAATGCTTCTGCTGCTTTAGTCACACACAATAAATATCGAGTAGGAGTTGTTGGCGATATAATAAATTTCATACATTAATTCTTCGACGGATAAATTAAATCACAATAGTTTCGCCAACGAACAAGCAAAGCACAATAAATGAATTTTAAGGAAATATTCGATGAGATCTCGCGTCAATGCTTGATAAATGTTTTTTCTTGAATAAAATTACCTTCGACAGATTGCATCTTGAGGTTGAAGCAACATCAGTCGACTACCGATTGAAAGACTTAAATTAAAAAAGAATTTTTTAAGAATGCCGCAGTGCACACAAACCAGACGTACAATAAGCTTATGAATTGCGACAAGATTACGAGTTTCTGTTATGTATATATTATCCTTTGAAGCTCAACTTGAGTTTTGTTCATTTTAAATAATTCACGGTTTTATACTTTTTTCTTTCTTTATCTTTTAAGTTTAGAATTGTTCGTCTGTTTGTCCACAATCGGCGGGAGAATTGATGAAGTCCCATAAAAATAAAATCCAAATGTATGACTCGTTCCGACATCTTTTGTTTATTATATAACTTTTCACGATCATGTAGTTTAACTTCTTAAGTTTGGCTACCGTAACAGACAAGAAAAAAACACTGCGGGATGCCAAAACCAATCAATAATCTTTTTCTCTTAAAAATGAAATAAATAAAAGTTGCACATTTCTCGTCTCTCTCAATCTTTAAATCGCATTTATATGCTTTCAAAATATTTACTTGGATCATACTTAATAAAGCATAAATTCTCAAATCACAAAAGCAAAGCTAAGCAGCTCATTAAATCTTTCAGATTTCCCAAGAAATCGTCAAATTACGTTGCTAAAGCATTTCAACGGCAATGTCAACGTTTCAAGCTTTGATGAATAGTTAAACTTAAGTTTCGCATAAAACTTAATTAGTTACGCTTGCTCATGTTAAAATTAACTTCAGAAAAACTGTGAAGTAGACATTCGATCGGACGATGACTGACAACCGAAAAGAATTATGAAAAAGCTTCATAAATGATATTAATAACATTTTTTCTATTTATCTCTCTGATATTTATACCTTCAATGTGCAATCCACTTCAAAGCAGGCATTTAATTATTCATAAGTTAAGAAAAAGTCGTATTGGAAGCAGCAAATCTTGTTGAGTGCATTGACGAGTGATACTGCTGTGCATATTGGCAATGGCATGTTTACTGCTCACAAATAAATAGCAAAATCAAAAGGAATTTATTAGCTTTTCTCACTGAAACGCTGCATGGAATTTCGCTTTCAATGTGTAACAAATTGTTGATTCGAATAAGTTAAGTAGGTAATAAGATCATATATTTGAATGGCTATTATAATCCTTTCAATAACGTACTTGTTGTACATATTTTGAAGCATGCTACAAAGCCAAAACACACGCTGATGTTCGGTCTTTTTTTTATTGCCATCACAATACAAAAGGCAACAACAGCGCGCAAGTCTTTTTAGGCAATGCACAATATTCGAGGTAAAAAGAGAAACATGTTCGGATATCGAACAGGCACTTTGGGTTAATTACAATGAGGCAAAGAAAAGACCTTTAAATATCTCCTTGCATCTTTCCTTCTCACTCTCGGAAGATTCAAGCAAAGCAGATTGAAATGAATGGCAAAATGTATGTATGTGCAGTGCACAGCACAGTTCATCTTAAGTTATGTATGCATAATGGCGATTGTGAACAGGCAGAGAGTGCAGGAAAGAGAAAGAAATGAACAAAAACAACGAAAAAAAAAATTTTATAGCAATGACTTCATAAAATAAACATAATAAAAAAAGTATGCAAAAAGTATGGTAATAAATCTTAATAATATTAAAAGGCGAAATGGAAAAAAATTGTATTCGGCGTATAATAATATGAAGATATTGGCAAATGTACACCGAAGAGAGCGAAATAATTCCTGCTGTTGTTGTATGTTTCCATATCGATTTCACTTCACTCAATGAATTTTTTTTAGTTTTTGTTCTTCTGTTGCAGTTCGCTGACTTTCAGTCAATTCTTATATATCTACTTATTTCGGGAGGATATGCCAAGGAGTGTAATGGGCGAACTTTAAATTATACTTCGGTCAATTTCACTTCTGAGAAGCGAACAATGTGTGAAAGATATGAAATGAATTAAAGAATGAAAGATATTAAATTATGAGCATTGATTTCATTGAATTAAATGTAGGATGAAGTTACGAACCACGGCGATTGTTCAGCCACTCAATGTCAATCTTAATTTGTCTCTTCTCACAATTATATTTGTCTTACTATTAAGTCAAAAATAATCAGTTTATCGAATTGATACGAAAGTTCATTATTTTCCCTTTCGATAAATAAATGAAATGTAATCAACGCCCACCTACACCAAAAAACAAAATCTCGATGCCATTATTCAAGGATAAATTCAGTTGGGAGAAAACGATACGAAATTGTGTTGCGATGATTTATTATCACGTGAACAAGAATTAAATAACGAGGCAAGGTATGCCGTTTAGTCGTATAACCTTATTAATAATTTCTTTTCTTCACAAATCGTGCAAGCAAACGATAAAATAAAGAAGAAAAATCAAGAGTTTCCTTACTTTATATTCTTCACACTAAACATAATTTGAAATGACTGCTTTCAGCTTATGAATGAATTTCTTTATTTCTTATTCAATTCATAAAATGTCAAAGATAGTTTTTGATTCCGTTGAACTTTTTCCTTTTAATGATAAACTAAATGTTAATTTAATTCAAATGCTTTCTATTTTCAGTATGTTTGATCGTGAACGTCAACATGTTTACAACTTCATGGTTGTGGCGACAGATGGCGGTCGTTACGATGCGAGATCACAGCGTGTGCCAGTTCAAATATCAATCGACGATGTTAACGATCAAAAGCCAATTTTCGATAAATATCCATTTAGTGCACAAGTTGGTGCACTTGTACAGCCGGGTCAGCAACTTCTTCAAATATCAGCAACAGATGCCGATCAAGGTACAAATGGTGAAATCGTTTATAGCTTGGGAAGTGATGGTGCAAGTAGTAAATTTCGTATTAATCCAACGACGGGCGTTTTGAGTGCAACACAAAGTTTGGCAAGTGAAAATGGAAAACTTTTACATATTGAAGTGATTGCACGAGATAAAGGTAATCCACAACAAACAGCTACTGGTTTAATCGAATTGCGTGTAGGTGAATTATCGCAAGGCTTACCAGTGCTTCGTTTTCAAAAAGATGTTTACAATGTGACGTTGATGGAGAACACACCAGTAGGATATACCGTCGTTCAACTGAATGCTGTAAGAAGCGATGGTCGTCGACAGAAGACAATTTATAATTTCGGCAGTGGTAATGAAGACGGAACGTTCTCGATTAATGCAGCAACGGGCGATATTCGTGTTCGTAATGCTGATAAATTGGATTTTGAACGATTTCAACAGAAGAATACCGTGAACAATGCTGGCAGTGGAAGTGCAATTCGATTGATTGCTGTCGCTCGGACTGACAGTTCTCCATTACTTTATGCTTATTGTGAAGTTTACATCTCACTACAAGACGAGAATGACAATTCTCCACGATTTACGCAACAACAATACAGCGCTGCTGTGTGGGAGGGAAAGTCAAAGGGAACATTTGTGATGCAAGTGAATGCACATGATGCAGATCAAGGTGCCAATTCGCGAGTCTTGTACCACATTGTTGATGGCAATCATGACAACGCTTTTATCATTGAGCCAGCTTTCAGTGGCATTGTGAAGACAAACATCGTGTTGGATCGGGAGATTCGCGAGACGTATCGTCTGAAAGTTATCGCTACGGACGAAGGCGTGCCACAGATGACTGGCACAGCCACTATTCGTATTCATGTGGTAGACGTAAATGATAATCAACCAACTTTTCCGCCCCACAGTATCATCACAGTTAGTGAAGGTAAGAAAGAATGTTGATTGTCGTTTTTATTTATTTCGACCGAGAGACGAGAAGAACAAGAAAGAAAAAAAAATTCAGTACGGAAATCAACGAAAATTGTTTTCACTTTAAAATTCATCATTTCTTGCTTGAATGATTTCTTGGAAGTTTCTTGTAAATTGAAGGTTGGTTGTTAATCAGGGCTTTAGTTTATTTGGAATTTGAGTGAGTTCACGAGAGAAAGCATGTCAAAGCCCTGATTAAAATCGATTTTAAGAAATAATAAACAACTTGTGTAATCCAATTTCATTTAGGAAAATTTCCTGGAAAAGATTTGATTTTTCAATCAGTGACTGTGAAATGTCTTCATATCAATTTTTAAATGTTCGTATTTAAGACATGTTTAACACTTTTTCTTTTATCGAAATGACACAAAAATAAAAATTGTCATGTAATTTGATTATTCAACGAAAAAAGAAAACTTTAAAATATTTCCAAAGGCTTCAAATAATTTCTTTGTAAAAATATTTTACCAAAAAAGTTTCACAACATCATTGCAACGGTATTCGGTGTCTTTTTTTGCTGCTTTTATTAATTTATGTCCTTGCTTTCATTTGTTTGGCTTATCTTTACGCTTGAGAAGAATAAGAAATGATTAAGCAATTTTTCAATATTGCATTTTGATGGGATGAGTTTCGACGATAAGTCACAAACGATTTTAATCTTCCGCATCGAGACAGAAAATGATTTTAAAAATTTCCCACATCGAAATGAAAGTTTTTTTAAATATAGTTTGTTGCTTCCAAAATCAGAAATGACATTTACGATCTTATTTTCAAATTTATGATGCTTGATAATGTTGTGTGTGGAATATTGTGATGTTGTTGCTATTCTGCACACATAAAATATATGCAACAGCAACAAAAATGCATTAAGTTCTCATCTCAGTTGTTCTTTTCTTTCTTTCTTCAAAGAGAAGACAGAGATGGACGTCGGATGAAGAATCTTTGTCTTTCTACTTCTTCTTTACCGCATTTTTCTTAATCGTTCGTCGCATTTTTTTATCACCGCTTCGCTGTTGAAGAAGTTGCGTGTATGTAAATACATCGATGCGAACTCGTTTCTTTCCTTCTCTCTCTCTCTCTTCGTCTTAAGTCTTTGAATTATGCAATTGAATATTGTTATGGCCTCGTGAATAATCTTCTGCCTTGAAATTTCTAACAGGAACTGAACTTGGCTCGATTTTGACGACAGTGTCAGCGAACGACGTTGACACAAATCCTGCAATTACATACAGCTTCATGGGATCATCAAATGAAACGGATTTCGAAGATATTGCCACAACAATTTTCTCGATTGATAAATTCAGCGGAAAAGTCATCTTACAGAAGCAATTGGATTATGAAGATCGACAGGAATATCAATTGAGAATTTTAGCTTCTGATATGGCGCATGTTGCACAAACAACTTTGACAATACGTGTGACAGATGTCAATGATAATCCTCCAATCTTCCAACAACCTGCGTATCATTCATCACTTCCAGGTTTGTATTTAAATTTACAAGATATATTATTATTTTTAAATAATTTTTATAACTTTTCAGATGAAACTGGAAATGCAAACATTGAAATATTGACAGTGAATGCAACTGATGCAGACAGTGAAACGAATGGTGTGGTGAAATATTCGATTAAGAATGCACCGCCAGGATTTACAATCGGTGATGATTCTGGAATTCTTTATGCAAATTTATCGAGAATTCAGAAACCATTGAAGAATGACATTCAACTAACAGTTGTAGCCACAGATTCGGGTGTTCCATCGCTCAGTTCAACGACAACTGTTCGAATTCACATCAATTCAAAGAGTCATATCAAACCGCATTACTTACAGCATCAATATCGAACGACGATTAACGAAAATACGCCGAAAGGAACAATTGTCACGAAACTTTTATCTGTCGATTCTGTTTCTGAACTTTCAGAGTTAAATGGAATTTTCTTTGACATCATTTCTGGTGATGATGATGGAATTTTCGAAGTGACATATCCGGAAAGTTTTCTCATTCTCACGAAGCCACTTGACCGCGAGAAAAATGATTATTATCATCTGCGTATTCAAATGATGGAAGTTGGCATGTTGCCATCGATGCAGAAAGAAGACAATTCAAGCATCATAAATGTATTTGTGTCAATCGAGGATTTCAACGATCATCATCCAGTCTTTCAACCAAATAAATATGAAATTGAACTAAGCGAAACTGTTCCACTTAAATATAGCGTGACGAAAATTGTCGCAATCGATAATGACGAACCCAACTCACCAAACTCCGAAGTCGTTTATGACATAACATCCGGAAATGATTTGGGAATGTTTTCAATTGATATCGTGACAGGAGTTTTGTCAGTGAACAAGAATCTCGATTACGATACGGGCCAGCAAAATTTCAATCTCGTCATTCGTGCTTGTGACTCAGCGATTGTTCCATATTGTGCACTGCAATCTTTGATCATAAATCTTAAGGATGAGAACAATCACGCGCCAAAGTTCCCAGTGCCAGAATATCTTGAATTTGTTGGTGAAAATGAACCTGTCGGTGTCAGCGTGTTTACAGCACGTGCAACAGATTTAGATGCGGGTGATTATGGTAATGTCAACTACACGATTGTCTCATCGAATGGCTACAACGAAGTTGACGATTCATGGAAAAATTTCAAAATCGATTCATCAACTGGCGTTGTCATCTCGAATGCAATATTTGACTATGAACAGCGAAGTCGTTATGTGTTCTCGATTAAAGCAATGGATGTTGGCGGTAGAAGTGCAACAGTGAAAGTTAAAATTATGATTGATAGGCGTGACGAATTTAGTCCGCAATTCACTGAACGAACTTATCGGTTTGTGTTGGGATCAACACATAATCTTCCAGTTGGACATATTGTGGGACATGTGACAGCGACAGATCGTGATCGTGGCCCTGATGGTCGTGTCGTTTATCAACTGACAACTCAACATTCTTATTTCAAGATCAATCGAACGACAGGTGGTGTCATTGTCAAGAAGAAACTTGACTCTGGTGTTGTTATTGATAATGGACGCGACATTAGCTTAGTCGTGACTGCAAGTTCAGGTCGACAAGGTTCATTAACAAACATGACAGTCGTCGAGATTGTTTTCGATCCATTAGCAGAAATTGGAACAAATCTTGCAACAAACATGAACAATTCCAACGAAGAAGATTCAAACAGTTTTGCTGGATGGACTGTTGGATTGTTGATAACATTTTTGTTTATTCTTCTTGGCTTTGCAGCTGTTTTCGTCTTCATGCATATGAAAAATCGCCGTCACAAACATGTTGCTAAGAATGGAATTAATAATGAAGGTGTTGGAAGTTCAAACAGTTACGTTGATCCATCGGCTTTCGATACGATTCCAATTCGTGGCAGTTCCAGTGGAACTGGTCAATTTGCACCACCAAAGTACGATGAAATTCCACCTTATGGTCCACACACAGCTAGTTCAAATTCAGGAGCGCCAACAACATCAGAATTGTCAGCATCTGAACAGTCAGGTTCAAGTGGTCGTGGATCAGCTGAAGATGATGGCGAAGATGAAGAAATTCGAATGATTAATGAAGGTTTAAGAGATGCAAGAGATGGCAGATTGTCAGATGTTTCTGTTCATAACACGCAAGAATATCTCGCGAGACTTGGAATTGTCGACAATTCTTGTACAACAGGAAATGCTTCGAATTCATCGAGAAGATGTTCTGAAAGTATGGGATTAGGTAGTACGAAAGATTCAATTCTTCATCATCCATTGCCATTACACATGTTCGATGAAGAACCGAACGATGGCGATTTAACGAATTTAATTTATGCGAAATTGAATGATGTGACGGGAGGAAGTGATCGAGCTAGTGAAACTGATGATGCTGGAACAACAGCCGGAAGTATTGGCATTGGAACAGCTGTTGATCATGTTATGATGGGCAATTATAGTGACGTGCCAGTTGTCGTAGGTGTCGGTCAAACTGGACCTTCAATGAATGGTTCGTTAAGCTCAATTGTTCATAGTGAAGAAGAGTTAACGGGAAGTTACAACTGGGATTATCTTCTCGATTGGGGACCACAATATCAGCCGTTGGCTCATGTGTTCTCTGAAATTGCAAGACTGAAAGACGACACAATGTCGGTTCATAGCGGCGCAAGTGGAGCTTCAAGTGCTAAAAGTAAACAATCAGCACTTCATATTAAACACATTCCGCCACTTATAACAAATGTCGCACCACGGTCAGTTCCTGTTCTTTCCGCTCGTGGAAATATGTCACATCATCCAACAGCACCAAATTATCATTTGTTATCACGTTCAACTCGTTCACCAATTAGTCATGACACACAGGGAGTTTTCACATCATCAGCGATGTCACCAAGTTTCTCACCGTCATTATCGCCATTAGCGACACGTTCACCATCGATATCACCGCATGTTTCAGGCACACATCATATCGTGTCATTGCCACGACAACAACAACCACAACAACGAAAGCATATGTGATGATGTTGTAATGGATTATCGAAATGAAACGTGAAGACTTTCGGCTGTGTTAACACGAAGATAATACTTAGAAACGTTCATGGAAATTGTAAAATTAATTAGATATGATTAAATTTTATAGTTAATGTTGTTCCAGTGACTAAGAAAGTAAGAAAAAATCCTATCAGGCTTTGTATGAGTTTTAATACTCATTGTAAATAAATGAATACGCCAATTGTGCCTTTAGTATTATAAATAAGAGAGAAAAAGAAAGCTTTGTAAAAGTTAAATGTACATAAATACTCGATGAGAATGTAGCGGGTGATGACGTACAAAATTTAATTCTTTTATATTCTCTATTTGAGCGATGTTTGATGAAGAATGGAAAGTCCGTTAGAATTAAATTTCTATTAAATATTTTATGATGCGTGTAGATTTATGACACAAAGAGGTTTAGATAACCAGAATGGATGCTTCGAAGAGAGAAAAAGGTTTGATCAAAAATGATTTTTAAAATTCTTTAACTTTTCTTTACATCATCGCAAATATTTTTGTGTCGAAATTCTATTTTAATTCTTCCGAAAATTTATTTTTAAATTAGATTTCTCGTATTATATTATTGACCAATGAATAAGACTGCTTAGTGTGCTGCCTCAAGCCATATAACAATAAATAATTTTAAAATCAATAACATTTCTTCATACTTAAGCAATACAAATGGGAAAAAGCAGTTTTTAACTTAAATTGAAGAAAGAAAAAATATTATGCCGAGGAGAAGAAGAGAAATAGCCATAATTTGTCATTACCATCGGGAAATTCATCGTACATTATTATGCAATAAAATGCCTTGAGAGGTGACAGACTTCTGCCTTTCAGTTTTCATATCTTCGTACTTGTTAGGGTAAAAAACCTAATTCGACAAACATTAACGAATTCATTTCTTAACTTCTGACTTTACCCTTTCGTTCATTTTGTCTTTCTTAAAATTACTGCAACAAAAATTCTTGAAGCTAATTTGTACAAACATCGAACTGAACATCATTTCAAATGTAGATATATTTAAAGATTAATTGTAACATAAGTAAGAAATTAACTTAAAAGTTTTTTAATATTATAAAGAAAATGATTCTGTAGATCTTTTACTCACTTTTATACTAAAAGTGATATCGATTTGACGTTGTGTAAATTTTTCTTTTTTGTAAAAGTCAAAGAATGAGAAGATATAAATCATGACAAATAAAATTTCCATTGGAAAAATTATTTATGCAATGTTTGTTTGCTTTTCTTTCGTGCATATTTTTTTAATTTATTTCAGATAACAACACAGAACAAAAATCAATTTGAAAATTATGTTCCGTTCGCTTATCATGTCTTTACACCTCACAAAATCGGTGACATTATCATTGAGTTATCTCAACTCAATCGAAATAATTCTTTCTCAATTTATGTTTTTATTTCTTCACGTTTTATGCAAAAATATTTTGTTAGGCTGTCGAAATGTTTTCATCTTTTTTTTCTACATTCCACAACAAGACAATTGAGAATGTTTTCATATCAATGCACTTCTTAGATACAAAATTTTTATTATTTCGGCAAATGTTTGTTATTGAATTCCATAATCGGATGTTCTGTTGTTTTTCTTCCCTTACTTCCAAGTAAACTTCACATAATCATGAAAGTGATTTAAACAGTAAGATACAAACTGACATTGTCGCATGTTATCGAATCTTGTTCAAATAAAAGCAACAGAAAAGCAATCACCAAGTGTATTGTTGCTTCTTTCTTCTATATCTGTCACTGACGATAGAAAAAAAAAAAAGTTTAAACATCGTGACAATGAAAAGACTTTCAGATCGATTACATCTTGCAATGGTGCATTTATTCCTGTCAAATACATAACGGAATGAAGAAATATTGTTAATGGAATGGGGTTAAAATTATTGTCACGATCAATGCATGTGTCAATTCATTCATTTATTCTTGGAAAGTATAAGAAACAGTTGTGAATAAAATTCTTCACTATCTCTGTTGGTAGGACGAGTCTAGTCATGCTTTAAACTTGATTGAAAATGAGACAAACAAAGAAACTCAAACTGTAGAATTTAAAAGGATTTTCACGATGAAGAAGTAAATCGACTATAATAAAAATAGATAAAAGAAACTGCCGGAAGCGACACTGATGATGAACAATAACAACTGCGATAAAATCAGACTCAAATCATCAACGTCGAGAATTTTTCCAGCTATGATGGATGAAATTCCCAATGGACTCGACTAAAGACGACACAGATTCACCATTTTCATTATAAGTTTGTAAATTGGCGTGAAATATTTTATGATGCTCTGACCCTCATCATCGATTGTTGCCAAGGTCAAATAGAACCAAATGAATTCAACTGTAATCAATGTCGATCGATATTTTATTATATACGAAACAAATTCAGCATTCACATTTCATTTCCAACATTTTTTTACATGTTGTAGCTCGTGAAAGCAAATTGACATGTGCAGTTTAAAAAATGTTCACTGAATGAAGAACATAAATTAACAAAGGAAATTTGTTACTTTAAAGGGAGTTTACCTAGTTGAGAATGTTTTGCATAAATTTCAAGCTTTCCATGTTTACATTGCTCTTAAAGTTTCACATTTTGTATCGCTGTTGCTTGATAAAATCAAATTGTTGCTGCTTCCGAAAATATTTTAGCGGAATTATGATCAGTGAACAAAATATGACCCACGCCATTTTCTACACTTGATGTCATCTTTACAAACAAATGTCCGGAATCTTTTGTTTTATTCATCGCAATTAAAATATCGGCAAGGGTTGATTTAATTATTTTCGCAACGGAAAATAAAAAAGGAAAGAATCAGCGATGAGGCAAAAGTTTAAAAAAATTAATTTTGATGTGCTTCACAATGAGTTTGTGCCTTTTTGGATCCGTTCTCGAGCCTTTTCGGGCTGAAGAAAAGCGAAACGTTATAGGATTAAAAAGTTCTGTTAATTGTAATTGCTTGAAATAATGAATGAAACTTGAACGGGATCGCAACCTGCTTGCAGCGAAAGTTGAATAAAAATGAGACGTTTTTCCACCATAAAAGCAAAAGTTTTAATTATTCTCTTTTAAGTCCTTTTCGTTTTGACTTTACAGTATCAAATGCGTTTAGCGCTTGAGGGTGTCGAGTTTTCGTGTTCACGTATCGATTTTTTAAACGTCTTGTGTGATAAAAAAAGATTTTGAATGTTAAAGCTCTGATTTTCTGACTAAATTTATGTTTACCAACAAACTTATTTAATGAATCCGCGACAGCATAACTCAATCGTAAAATTTAAGTCTTTTATGTAAATTATCGTCCCAGAGTCGACAAACTTGAGTTTATAATCTTTTGATAGCTTTAAAATGTTTATTTCAATGAAGAAATCATTTCAATTTTCACAACGTAAATGATTTTACGAAATTTGATGTAAATTTGAAGTTTATAAACATGAAGAAACGTATTCACCATATCTAAATAATAAAATTAGTTTTAAAACATTGCTTTATCTCGATGTTTACATGAACACTCGTTGGGTTTACACAATAAGTGAGAGAAAAACAATCAAATTTTTATGGAAAAAGCTGTCAGCGTTAATACAAAGTTCAAAAATTTCTTTCAACTTTTAACATTTCAGAAATTTGTTCAAATGCATAATTTATGAAGGCAAAAATAATGAAAAGTTATATTTTCAAATTGTTATCAGATTTTCAACATCAGCTAGAATGAAACTTTGTTTCCCAGACGAATGGAAAGTCATTAGGAAATAATTGAAATAAAGGAAAAGATGAGTGAAAAGTTTAATCCTTTTTCCCAGAAAGTGATATCCACAACATATTTTATGTTATTCATGTTTATCCTCTTTAGTGGAAAGGTAGAAAAGAATCGAGTAAGTCGTTCTATAAATACGCAAACGATTTTATGCAAATATTTGGTTTGGCATACAACATTGAAACGATTCTTGACTTGTTCCTTCAGATGTGGGGTGAGAATTTCGAGTGATGATGCCAGATATTCAAGAAATCTTTTCGGAATAATGATTTACGATATTTTGTTTTAGTTTTCAATCCTCCTGCTGTCGACCTTTAACCTCCCGGTAGCTCAAATTAAGTTTAAATCTCTTTCATTTTGGTTTCCATGGAGTTTTCTCTGTTTTTTTGGGATCCATGCCGATTACAATTTAAATTCAAGGGATATTTGATGCTATCCAGAAATAAATGATGCTGAAATTTAATGCTAAATAAACCCTCTTATTAAACTCGTACCAAAAGCTTCAAACGTACAGATCACTTTCCCTAAAAGAATCACAATCTGATCCACATCGGCAAATTTTTGATTAAAATGGGATTTACTTTGTCCACCGAATCGCTACGTCATGTTAAAAGCACTAAAATTTACATTAATTTTAGATGAAAATGTTAAATAAATTTCGTTATTCGATTCCACTCTAATCACTTCTTCATTTCCCCAAAGCTTTTCGAAGCTTCCAACATGAGTCAAGTGTCAAAATGTCTAATTAAGTTTTTGTTTTCTTTTCGTTCTCCCGTTCGTCATTAAAAGGTAATTGAATTCTCCGAGTTCAAATCTCTTGTCGTTTTAATCATAAAATGAAACAAAAATTAGCAAATTCAAATCGAATTTGAAAATAATTTCTTTGTTCATTTATGAAATTAAAATTTGTTGAAATTGATGCTTGACGTCTAAAGTGTTCGTTCGTAAATGTAAAAGAAAATTCATTTCATTTTCCAAATAATTTTCTTTTTTCTAATTTGATGTTTTAATTTCTTTGACATTTATTTGAGTTGCCTTGAGGGAGAAATCAATATTTACATAAAATCTGTCCAAACTTTTTCACTTTATCATGATTTAACATTTATTGACATAAAAGTCAACGAAAGCTTTTCCGACTTTTATGTGCATGATTTGATAACATCAGAAAGAATTAATTTTGACATGAAGTGAAATCCTTAAATCTTTTTTGATCAAGAAATGAAAGTCTTTAAAATTCACTCGAATTTTATTTATTTAGTTTTATTTCCTTTAATTGCGTCTATGTTATTGCTCATCGATTTTAAGCATTAAATAATTTATTTTTATTCTGTTATCCATCAATACATTTTCATAAGAACTTGTTTTGCAATTGTTTTTAAAGGGATCCATTCATTACAGTCGACAGATGATCAAGATGTGCACACAGTACAATTGAACTTGTTACAAAACTTTTCGATAAGCTCCAATTTATTTCTTAGCTCGATTCACTAAATGGATTAATTTTAAATATTTATTTCTCATACGCTGATAGTTTCAAGAGTAAAAGATTTTCCATTTGTTTTATGTTCAATTGCACCAGTTAAAATTTCATAGCTTAATTTAATTATTGGTTCAAATAAAAACTTTTAATTGAAATTTCAACAACACAATTATCACAACAAAGTTTGTTAGCAAGTGGGAGCATAAATTTCCTTTCATTCTTGTGTGTTAAAGAGAAAAATCATTGAAAACCGTCTAAGAGGTTCAAGGTACATAAATTTTATTTCACATGACTTACAATAATTGCTTTAAATGGATTCTTTCCTCCCTTTTCATTCGCTTTTCCGGAAAATAATTGGAGACATTCCATTGAGAAATAAAAAAGGGTTTCAAACGACACCGTAAAAATCGTCATTAACATGATTTGGTGCTTGAGTTATTTCTTCATCGATACTCTCAATATTCACATTGTTATCGCCGGCGATTGTGATCCTTTCGAGATTCGAAGAATTATTTGATGTTGATGATAATTTATGGTTGATTGTGTGAAATGTTTCTTCCTCCATTGATTTCCATTTGGCTGGTGAAATCTGTTCATTGTTGCCACAAATCTTGTCTATACAATCGAGGGAATAGTTCAATAAGAAAAAGAAAGATAAGAAAAGGAATTGAATGGAATTATTCGCTTTCCACGTGTGCTTGTTTTTCTCAAAAAAAAAAAAACAAAGAAAACTTCTAAGCACGTTTGCATTCATATGAGGAAAATTTGTTATTTTCCCTTCTTCAACCCACCTTCGAAAGTATCTTCAAGAGCATTCAGACTACTTGTTGGCACGATTCGATGTGGAAAACGCGGCGAGCCTCTTACACGTTCACGAAGTGTTGGTTGGGAATTCTGATGAATGATTGAACTTCTTCTGCGATTCGGAAGAATGAAATTAACGCGTGGTTCACTGCTTTGTTCTTCAACTTCATCAATCTCGACATCAGGAATTTTTTCGACGTGAGCACTTATCGTAAAAGCCATCGATTTCCGTCGAATTCGGCTCTTTATCAATTCAGGTTCAACAATTTCAATCGTTGAGTTAATTGCGTTACCGCTTTGAGCGAACGAGACTTTTCGAAGTGGATCGGGATCAATTGGGTTGGTGTTGAGAACATGACATGAAGAGCTTGTGTTTGGTAAAAGCCCGGTAAGTATACTCATGTGAGATTTCAAAGCATTAGCTATGTGAGATGGAGCTAGAGATGCTGTTGAAGTCTTGCGACTTGGTGCTCGAGACCCAAATAAACCTTTAATCTTGTTCAAGAATCCACTTCGCTCTTGATTTTGTTGCTGAGTCAATCGCAAATTAAGCAAATCGATTGCTGGCGTTCGAACGCCTCGTTCATCAAGAATTTGAGGCTGAGAGCTGAAGCAAATTGAGCGTCTCATGGGAATTGTCATGTGTTCAGTATTTGGCCATGAAGCACGTGGAATGACTGGCGGTAGCACTGATAATAACAACAATGGAAGCGTTCCCGATATGCTTGGACGACTTGATTTCGTATTCTCACTGAAATCTCCTTCAATGACAATCTCCGGCTTTGTAAGAAATAATTAAAATTTAAATAAAAAAATAATTGAGAAAGTTTTTATCAAGATTTTACTTTAATGTGCGGCAACACGGAAATCTGGGACGACGATGTAGATGAAGAACGATTCTCAAGCATTCTCTCAAGTTTTGCAATCTCGGCATCAAGCGAAGCCATTTCTTTCCTGTAAACTCGATTTTGCACTTCAACTCGATATTGCAGTTCCTTCCGTTCGTCGGTTACAAAGCGCCTCGTATTGCACTCGAGTTTTAAACCCATGCTTTGAATGACGGGATCTTCATGTTTGCCTACATGTCAGATTGTGATGTGAAATCTTTATGTCAAATTCAATCTCAACTACTTCTCTTACCTTTCTTCCATATGTCATTCATTTTAGGTAGAAAGACAAGACACAAAGTTGCCGTCGTTGATGCGAGAATTATTGAAGTGATGATGATGAATGCAAGCGTGACTTGTTCAGAAAGCAAATTTGCAAGAACAACCACACTAACGCTAGTGATTACAGCACCATACACAGAGAATCCAATATACTGAGAGTCATTTAGTGCAGGGATTTTTACATGACGGGTTTCCCATGCCATATAAACCCCGACAACTAATAAAAGTCCCTTGTAAGCGTATAAAACTCCAAGCCAACTTTTTGTATGTAAACTTTGACAAACTTCCACCTATGAACATTTCAAATGAAAGTTTTGAAATGAATGATTCAACCAAAACTGACTTTTGCATCTGAAATTGGAGTTTGCGGGATTGAGTTAAAAATTTATTTTCCATTTAATAAATTGAAGCAGACTTTAACGTAAATTATTCTGAGTTTAGTTGCTTCACTTTGAGATAATCAAGAAATTGATTTTAAATTAAAGTCACGATAAAAGAAACTTTATTGTCGCCTTTATGGAATTTTCAATGCGATATTTATTGAATGGAGAAAAGCTCACATTTCAGCTTTAAGTGTATTAAAACTATCAATCTTGATAAAAGATTTTCTCAAGTCTTGAAACTGTCGGATGAGGAATTTTTATTTTTATGTTCCTCGAAAATTGTTTCTTCTTGAATGTCTTCTTCAAAATTTGAGTGAATTTGTCTGCTATGACGAATGCAATGTAATCACACATTTTTAGCATTCTACATTTCATCTCAACAAGTCCTTTTACAACATGTGAATTGTTGTTCCTCAAGCTGTTTTCAGCTCGTTTTGTTATGTCGTTGAATGTGTAATCACATGAACAGATTTTAACATGAAATTAAATGTAAGACAAATGTTGGTTTTCAAAATGAATTCCAAAGCTTTCTCGATTAGGTTTTGTAAGCTGTTAGGTAGTTTGAAATGATACGAACCTTCATGAATTATTTCATGCTATGTTTTAAAATCAATTTCATGAGGATAACTTTATATTGTTTTATGTACATGTGGAAGTAAGATTGACGTTAAGGAGGGAAGTAAATGAAGCCATTTATTGAGTTAGAAAAGTAAGAAATTGAGATTGATAAATTGATGGAAATTAAATTTTGATCTTGTTTTGATTAATGGTTGTGAGAATTTCCACGAAACTTTTCATTCTTTCCTTGCTCTCTTCATAAATAAACAAAAACCAAATGAGGAAAGCAGGTAAAGGTCGTCAAAATCAGATGCAAATCTTAAATGATGATTTTATACAGCTACGTGATGGTTTTAATTTATGAATTCCACAGACCTGCGGTTGATAAACCACGGAACGATCTGTCAAACTGATTTCTAGAGTGAGATTCCGTAAATGCCGCTCCATGGGGTCACTTAACGTCCAAAATGTTACAACGAGAGCATCAACTAACAGCAAACAGCAAACCATCGAAATAAGCTTCGTGTCCTTAAGCATTTTATCTTTACAAATTCCAGCCCAACTGTGAGTGAATATTCGATGAACTCGGTAAGTTTTCGCAAACATCGATCCAAATGTAAGAGAAAATCCAGCCGAAAGCAAATAAACTCGTGCCTTTTGTTGTTAAATGATATGAAATTTGAGAGAAGAATAATTAATTAAATATTTTCTACTTAAGAGAAAGAAACCCTTGTCATTCAAAGATATTAAAATTTCATTCTTTGATTCCCTGGAGTTGAAGAATAAGCAAAAAAATGAAAGAAAAAAAAGAATTAACATTTCATGATTAACCGCAAAAGGAAAATTTATTTCATTGCCTCTCAGGCGGCACTAAATTATTATTTAAAAGCCTTCAAATATTGAAATCTCATTTGAATTCCCCTTTCAATATCATAGTGAAAGCGTCGACAGATTGTTATCATTTCAATTACTTTTCACTGTCAGTGATTGAAGGTAGGAAAGGATATAAAAAGAAAAAACATTTTCAATTTCCCTCCCGAAAGGAAAATAATATCACGAGACGTTCATATTTACAAACTCACAGTATCAAAAGACGCGCTTTTACCTCTTTTTTAGCGCAACATTGTTAAAGAAATAAAATAAATGCTTCAATAATATTTATTTTACTTTTCTGCAAATAAAAATTTCCTTCATGTCTTTTTATCGGATGTCGATTCCATTTGAAAAACGAAATTCTTCAATTGATTTTTATTAAAGTTATCAAATCCTGCTGTGAAGTTGTAAAAGAGGTAAAAAAGCTTTTGATCATTGAAGTGTAGATGTTGAACATACAAAGCAATGAAATGAGAAAAAAAAAGATTGAACTTTCTTTCTTCTTTCAAATAATAATCTTAGATTTCTAGGAACCAATTCTCCATCCTCTCAATCTTATGCTTCAATTATTATCCCAAAATCTTAATCTTTTAACTTTCCTTCATGTCGTAAACCATGAAATCTTCTTATAAAGTTTAACATCATTAAAATCATCTCTTATTTTAAAAAACATTTTAAACTGAAAGTTTGCAACATAAATTATTCGAATTAAGATTATAAATTTTATGTCTAAACTATAAAGTAAGAATGTCATCTCAAAAATAGAAACAACTTTCAACCTTTTTTCTTCCTTTTCTTAACAAAGTTTTTCAATTTCAAATGCATGATGAAAGATTATCAAGAAAGGGAAAAAAAGCTGAACCTACACACACAGCAGAAAAAGAAATCTGCTGACTTAGGAAATTAATTTATTTATGCTGTCGAAGAAAAAAACGTTCTAATGTGATACGTTCAGTAATGTACATAAATGGCTTAATTTACCGTACAAACAGCAGGAAATGCTGTGTCAGTTGATGGAAGTGTTGAGTGATCCAGACCTAGGAGTATGACGGCTGCATATACAAACACACAACCAACTGCTGTGATGTTAGAAAGTTTATAACTCGAAAGTTTTATAGATCTGAAAAGTAAGAAGTTAATTAAAAGTATTGAATTGGTGAGACTTTGATTAGAAGTATGGCAAAAAAAAAAGTTGAATTAAACTTTTACTTGAGCTTCCGAAAGTGCAAATTAAATGCCAAGAACATGATGGATAAAATAATTCCCACGATTGCTATTGATGTGATGGTGAAAAATGCAAACTTTGAAATAGTGGCAAACCGAAGTTTAAAAACTCGCTTAGCTATTGGAACGACGTTATTTTGCCATTTGATTGTCATGCAATTTGGACATGTGAAATCTAAAAATTCAGTCTCAGGGTAGTATAAAGCAACAGGTTGTAATTGGGCAAATTGAATTTGATAAAATGCTGTCGTGCCAACACGATCCGCTCCATCAAACGAAACATTTCCCTGCCAATTAAAAGTATGAAATATTTACTAAAACCTTTTAAGCCTTTAAGATTAACTGATTATGCTTACAGAAATTCCTTGAAACTTTAAGCGATGAAATTGTTCAAGAAAATCCATCGCCAAGTCCTTTCTCGTGTAGTCAAAACCTTCCAATTTCTTTCGCTTTCGTTTTCTGTTTATTCGCGTTTCGTTACGCCATGACGCTTCCGCACCTTTCAAAGCAAGTGCGATACTCCAAACAGCATCATAAGTCTCTGGTGCGAAGCGAGAAAATGGTTTCGTTACATTCATAGCTGACAATTCTTTTTCGAAGCGGGAGTTCGTCTGAAAAATCACAAAAATAGTATAAAGTAAAGAGAGAGAAAAATTATCCTTTAAAAAGATTTTCCGCTTTTCCTACCAAGCCACTAATAGACTTCTCTTCACCCACGATATTGTTATAGGATGAAACGATAAGAACACTTTCCACAGCTTTATGCAAACTCTTCTGTGAACATTCGAGATTCTCTACTTCCCTCCACCATCGCTTATGCTCGAATGTTTCCTGTAGAATCCATGCATAATCTGCGCCATACATGCCTAGTTTATAGGCCTTTGTAAGATTAAATATATAAAATTTAAATTCATGACTTAAACTCGACAAAGACGAAAAAAAAATGAGATGAAAATTCAAACAAAGTTTCATTCATGAATTTTTCAGTTTTCGTTTACCTCACAAAAGATCTTCGGTGCTATTTCATCCGAGAAACTTCCAATTATGATCCTGATATCCAAATCCTGCATTTACATTACCAATAACATGGCCAAAGAAATTGGATGTCGAAGAAGAAGAAGGGGAAAGATGAGAGAAAAATAATAACAAAACGCTACAAAAATTACTTAAACTTCTTTCTTTTTATGAGTGGCAAAATTGAAAATTATATGAGAACAATACAACGATAGGGATTTGTACGAGAATGATGTAAGCAATTCTAAAATGCTTTCAAGTTTTCATTTTCACTTCAACAACGAAAAGTTCGTACAATCCACAACCAATTTTCAAGAAGAAAAAGCTTCATTGAGTTGTTGTTTTTCATTTCCCTCATCATTTTCATTCTGTCTGTTTTGTGAAACATCCAAGAGTTGATCCAAATCAAGGACAATTTATATAAAATTTATTTTCAATTCTTTTCATCCTTTAAAGAGACTCTCAATGTTTATGAGTTTAAATGTTCTACCGCAATAAGTTTTAATTGGAGTTTTCTCTTACTTTTTAAAAGGCTTCATTGATGAGTTGAAGCACCAAATTTATAATTACAATCTGCATGATTATAATTAAGAAGTTTTATTTCCAAAAAATGAACATAAAGGAAGAAAAGAATTTTTTAAATAAATTTGTAAATTTCTTGATACAAAAGTTATGAATAATTCATTGTGTGAGAAAACAAAAAGAATGTTCAGAAAGACAGAATTGCATTTTTATGAGATAATAATAAGTATGAAGATTCTCATCATGATATCATCGTCTTCATTGAGTTGCAAATTGATTTTCTTTTTTTTTTAAAAAGTTTCTTTTGCTATTTAAATGGGAAAGAAAATCTGTTAGATTTGCTGATAACAAGTTGAAGATTATTCGTTGAAAGCCCGAACACGTATCGGTTTAGAAAATCTTCTCTTTTTCTTTTGTCGATTGAATACAATAGTAAGCATGAAGCTTTTTCTTTCTGTTCAAGTTCAAGATTGTTCAGTTGAAGTGCATGGTAATATGTTTAAGGATTATCTACCCTTAAAATCTTTAATTGGTCTCTGAAGTTGGTTTTTCCGAAAGTAAGAGTAGCAGCACATGAAATGTTTGCTCGTTCAAGTTGAGTAACAAGGTCATTGACGGCTAAAGAGTGAACTTCTTCATTCTGGGAAAAAGTTGTTACTGTATCCCACTTAAAGCGCCTAATAAAGGCAATTTTTGCGGGATTATGTGCGGAGTCAGGCATGACCGTACGAAAAAAATATGGAAACTCTTCACGGTCACTTAAAGCTGGTGCAGTGCTGCCAAACGACACCTTGAACACGAACATAATGAGAAGGAAAAATGTCAGTTTACAAAGCTTAATTGTTTACCCACAAATAACTTTACTTGAATAATATTCCAATAGGGAACAACTTTTGCTAAACTTTCTGTCACCTCCGGACACGCAGACCCCAAAAGCATAACCATCTTCGTCTTATTTTGAGTATAAATAGCGTGAAAAAATCGATCAACTCCTACTCCTGGATCGCACTGAGAGCACGGTAATTTACGATGTGGGAATACGTACGAAGAATGAAAGAAGAATAAATTTGAGAATCTGTTAATTCATTTCACTGACAACAACAACAACAACATCCTGAGGTAAGAAAAAGTTTGTATGTGAAAACGAAGGTGTTGTGAAAACAATTCGTAAGTCAACATGAAAACACTAACATGATTTGGGTTTTCTATGTTTTTCTTTTTGCTTACTTACATATGTTTACTTAGTGATGAATGTTTAGTTGTGGGAATAAATAGAAATTATAAAATTTATCTTGCACCACAAAAACTCGGCTTTGATATATTATAAATGAGAATAAAAAGGAAATAATGTTCTATGTGAGATAAAAACATAAATATATGTTGCGAATCCGGATGGAAATTAAATATTTAGTGAATCAGACGACTGCCTCACTCATATTCGCGTAAGAAATGAGAAACAACTTAGCGTCAATTTTTGGTAAAAGCATGACAGATTTTTGTGGCTCTGAGAACAAAATGTTCCATTCGAAGGCTTATGTCTCAAGGGTAGATACTTAAGAGAGCATCGTACATATGATAAAGGACGCTTTATGAGCCTTCCATTGTGTAAATTGGGAAAATGATACCGTACGATCTGCTTATAAGATGTGGTTGGTCATGATGAGAAGTAAATACATTTATTGAAGTAACTTCGAAGGTTTCTTAAGAATAAAATAATGATCACAAGATTTAAACTTATGACTATGAATTTTTCATGGTGAAGAGAAACTAAATGGAATAAGATAATTGATTTGCCTTCATAAATATATTTTCAACTGAGATGATTCGTTTTGTTATCTCACTTTTGAAAATTCTTCATTCCGAACTAACATCGCTTGCAAGAATACAAAACTTTTTACATTTCTCTTTCTCTTGTGCGGCCAAAAATTTTATCCACGATAAAAAATTCACCATCGCAAAGGGTTAAAACAGAAAAAGAAAAATGACTGAGACATGGAGAAAGGATGTGAAAAGTTTCATTGTGTAGAATGAGGAAAACATTTTCTTTCTCCATTTTCTTCATCACAATAAGATTGAAATGTAAACGAGGTAAGAAGAAAACTGTTCGCTCATAACTCAGCTGTTAGAAAAATCATTAAGGCTTTAATACTTTTTCAGTAGACAAACGATAAGCGATCAGATTAACTTGTAAGTTATCAAATATTCTCAAGTGTGCCATGCAAACATTTCCATTTTCTTTACTTCTTGAGAGATTATCTTGTAATTCAAATGGACCTTCGAGACAAAACTTTTGAAATTTCCTTTATTTACTCGCATTTTACATCATTAAGAGTTTTAGATGGAAATGAAATGAAAATCGTTTTTGATTCTGACTGTTCTACCTAAGCATGGAAATCCATTTTATTCCGTTTATTTAGTTGAGAAAGTTTTTTGTTTTCATTAACTTAGCTTTCTTGAACATTAGCATATGAAATGACTTGTTTTATGGCTGCATCAGCTTCTAAAATTCTCATAGTCTGAATCCTTGTATAACACAAAACGTAAAAACTTTTGGTTTTTATTAAGCTTCTTCTGGTCTGTCTAAATAGACATAATAAATAGTAGGAAACAATAGAGAAAACCAACCTTAAGCTTCTTGTTACCATCGTCATAAAACTTTATTGACATGAACAAAAAAATTTCCTCAAACTAAACTAATTTGAGAGGTGTTCAGGATAAAAATACTCTCACAAAAAAAAGGTTGAGATGAAGTTATAATTGAATTAAAATACAATAAGTTGAGAAGACTTTAAAATGTGTTTTTTAAAACATTGAAGATTAAAGTTTGTCTATTGAAAAAAAAAAATTTATTCAACCTAAAACAAAAAAGAAAGAAAATAATCAAACTATGCAATCGATTACCTAAGTTTGAAGATAGTTTTAGAAGTTTGGGAAAACTCATTGAGGTGGGAAAGCCTCAATGAATCGAGTGAAAATCGATTAACAAAGTTGAAGCGAGAAAACCGAAACTAATTACAAGTGTTTTCATCTATAATTAACTTTATAAGATCATACTCTGAGATAATACTTGTATGTTGTGTGTATGTATTTATTCATAATAATGACTTTAAGCTGATGAAATTGAGAAAAGACGTATCTAGCGTGTTAAAGGGTTTGAAGAACAAGAAAGGGAAAAAATTAAGCTTTCATGTATGAGTTGCTTCACGTTTCCTCTTAATAAATTTCAGCGATAACATGTAGCACGTGAAAACGTTCAAGGTCTAGATTTGAGAAAGGCAATATTGCTAAATTGTGTAGACAAGAAAAGCACTTAAATTATAATTTATCTGACAAAGTAAACGGAACGAAGACAAAAAAGATTAAGAAATTAACAAGAAACTTTTTCCGAGATGGGTTGCGATGTATTTGTGGCACTTTTAATGATTCTAAAAGTAATCTAATCTTGATAATTGATTGACTTTATGGCATGAGAAAATCACAGCAAAAACTTTCCTGTTTTTCTTCTTTCGAGTTACCTGCGTGTCATTAGTTATTAATTCCAATGAATATCCGGGAAGTAATCCACGTTCATTAATATGTTTCACTGCTAATTCTGCAGCTGCCAATTCACTCTTCCCTTCCCATCTTGTTCCCGAGTGAGTCGTCATCTCAAACAAGCCCAAAAGCGACACTTTCGAGAGTTTCCTTTTTTCATTATTTGACACAGTTTTTGTTGTTGTACCTTTCAAGCGATTCTTTGAAATATTTTTCACTTTTTTTACTTCACTTTGATTTCCATTTCGATTTATCAATTGCTTCGATGACGAATTGTAATCAATTTCTAATTTACTTTCACCTTGTTTTGTAGCATTTTTTACGAGCTTCTCTGACTTTTTCACCCGCATAAATGTCATGCCTTCGGCATCTTTTACGACTCCATTTGTGTGATTCATGTTTTCCGGTTTGATGACTTTAGTTGGTCCTTTGCGTGTCATTGCTGTGCTTGAATTGTTCAAGCTTGTTATGCGATTTATGGATTCGTTCAAAATTCCGTGCTTGGATTTAATTGAAAGGAAATGTTTTTCACTAAAACTATTTTTAATGCTTATTCCGAAAATCTCATTGTGCAACACGAAATGCGTAAAGTTATGGTCTGCTCTTGTGGATTCAACTCTTTTTTGTTCATCTGATGTTCTAAAGCTTTCAAAACTATTCGTTTTATTGGCTATTGTTATCATACTTAAATCACTTTTATTGTGCAAATTTAAAACAGTGTTTCCATAGGTCGTCTCGTAACTCCAAACATAAACCGAAAATTTTTCACATATTAGCCATAAATATAACAAATGATTCAGATAATTTTTCCATCTAAGCTTTGGAAAGCTTTTGCTTTGTCTCTCCGATGTGTTGATGCTTCTGTTGATGTTCTCCATATTTCTCACCATTCACTATTCATCATCATCATCAAAATAACTTTCAACTAGATTATTCTTCATGATTAATTTTTTTTTGTTCTTGTCTCGATGAAAAAGAAGAACAAACTTGATAAACTCTTTACCAACACTCATTGATTTTTCACTTCAAAATGTTGAAAGCGGATTTTACGCTATCAATCTATTAAATAAAAAGCCTGTTAAAGTCAAAGAGTTTTCAGCAAAGTTCTCTTTGAAATAACTTCATTGACAAGATAACGAGGAGAAAGGAAAGAAATAAGAGTTATGACCTCGAAAAGAGACGGAGGCGTTTAAAAAGGAAGCCACACTGAGTATCTATAATAAATAAAATGCTATCAAATTAAAAGAAAATTGTGAAAACGTGTTCAAGTGACCGTAATTTAATTTTCTAACATTCAAGAAAAAAAATTCGCTTTCAGTTATTTCGCAGCCTTGGCTTCCGTTTTCAGAGCTACCTCTTTCCACGTCAATGAATAATCTCGAATCGCTAATGATATGAAGTGCTTTTAAGTCGTTCATATTTATTATCCACTTCTCTCATAACACAATATTATCTTAATATAAGCAAAAAACTTTTTTTTTCTGTTTCAAAATTTTTGCGATTGCATGAAAATCAAAAACTTTTCTTCAATGTTACTTGTGACACTTGGCATTCTTAAGATGTGACATGAGCTAGAAACAAAAAAAAAAGCCATCGAAAGGAAGAAAAGAGCGTTCGTAAATAAATAAATATTTCATATATTTAAGCCAATGTAATAATAAGTAGCACGAATGTTAAGACACATTTTAATCTCACTATAAGAAGCCCTGAGATTTTTTCTTTCCTTCCTCCCGCACAAGAAAACATTGCATTCATTATATGATTGCCAGACAGGCGAAATAATTAATCACACACTAACATGGAATCTTCTGAAGCTCAAAGCATATTTCCTCAGTTTCCCTTTTTATTTTCCCAACTTGATAACATAAGCTTAGGATTTTTTATTCTTTGGTATTTTCATAATCATTCACCACATTTTCCTTCACGGCAAGTAATTTCCGAAACTTCCGAAATGCGTCTTAGAGCTTAAATATGAATTTTTAATCAACACCAAAATTTTATCAAATTCCAGTGATAAAAGGAATGTCTTTTGAAATTTTCATCACACAAACTATTATTTTTATTGATATTATCACTTCCAAGATATCAAGTTTTAAAAAGTTTTTTATTTCTTCATCTTATCGCTTAAATAAAATATTTTAACATAAAATTTCTGAATTTTCTTCATTTGTTTAAAGCACCGAAGTGTCGGCAGAACGAAAATTTATTCCGACTTGCCGCACTGAAAACAAGGAAATGAATGAATGCTGAATTTTGGTCCAGACAGCTTGACGTCGACTGACTTTCATGAGAGAACTTTTCTCCGTCATTTTCCGAGAGAGTTAAGAGATGAAAACCTTTTATGCCACGTGCTTTTTCGATGAAAATAAACAACATCAGCAGTTTTCTTTTTCGTACTTTTTATAACAGAGTAAAAAGAGTAAAACAGCAAAGCTTTTTTTCCTTGCAAAAATATTTAATCAAAGAAGAATTATTATCCTTAGTTAGCAGATTTATGAGATTTTTTTACAATTTCTATTACGCAAAGTAGATGAAAACTTGCATAAAATTATTTTCTAAGAAAAATGAATATTGTTTTTCATTATTTTATTTAAAAGAAATTTATACTTAGATACTCAAATTGAAATAATTTTGATACTTTTATTTAATTAATGTTCCACTTAATTTTGATGCTTTGGAGTTGTCAAATATGAACTTACAATTTATTTCATTAGCGCTTCAATTCCACATTGCTGAGAGTGCATAATAGTTTTACAGTAGAACAAAACAAAAGCTCCAATAGTATATAAAAGCTGTCAAATTATTCACAATCACATTTCTCTTGCAAAGTATTGCAGCTGAATGCATTAAATTTTTCTTTCAAAACACTTTGGTAAATACATATTGCATATTGCAAATTAACGTAGCGAAAATGAAGAAGCATTTCAAGTCCGATGGGGAATGAACTTTACCTTATTCATTTTGTGAATTTTATGATCAGATAAATTACAAAAAAAAATTTTTCATCTCTTTACACGTATACATTTTATA